GACTAGAAATAGGCATCAATTGTGTCTGCACCGTCTATTGATTGACAGACGATAACTCCACCCACATATTCTCGATTATCAAGTTACATGCACACTCACTATGGTAGTCTCACTTGGCAGGCCTTTCATCATCAGTTTCCGGTAGTGACCTCAGCGACTAACGGTAAACGTTAGCTTGGTCCGCCATTTAGAGATTTAATTTTAAATGGACGACTGTTTAAATCTAAACTGTATCCAAGCCATCCGTGGGCCTACAGAGTTGATTGTGAGCTTGTCGTATAAATAAAGGTCTAATTAATAATTTCTCTAACATCTGAAGCCTAAATAAAGACTAATATCTTCGCTCAGAATAAATTATTTAAAGGAATTTACAATATCTTCGTTTTGCATTACCTAATTTTGAACTATTGTAGCAAGAATAACCACCCCTTTATCTAATTCTTTGGGGTTGGGTGGCCCAATGGTAAGCACGTGCGTTGTATCATAAGATCTGTCATGGAGTCAACTGTCGTGGTTTCAATTTCCCGGTTTCACGTGACAAGGAGTACGGTCGCCTGTCCAACCTCATGGGTGTTCTCCGGGTTCTCCGGTTTCTTTCCACGGCTAAAGACCCTACGCGCAAGCGAATTATTGTAATAAAATTGAATCTTAGGTTAGTCCCGAAATGACCTAGTTGGTGTTGAGTGGCAGTTAAGCTCTCTCTCTCTCTCTCTCGCTCTCTCTCTCTCTCTCCCTCTCTCTCTCTCTCTCTCTCCCTCTCGCTCTCTCTCTATCTCTCTCTCTATCTCTCTCCCTCTCTCTCTCTCTCTCTCTCTCCCGCTCTCTCTCTCTCCCTCTCTCTCTATCTCTCTCTCTCCCTCTCTCTCCGCCCCCCCTCCTCCTCGTTGCTCTGAGCTAGTTACTGTCCTGGTGCGGGTGGAGGGGGGTATTTTGCCCAAATAAGGATATTTTTCTCTTCGGCATCGGTCATATTTACTCGTAACGTCCCTTCACTCCAGTCCAACTGATTTAACCGATACAAATTATAATACTGTGTTAGATAGACATTTTGCTTCAGTCAGCGAAAGCGCGGACTCGCTAGCCTGGAGGTCACGTATTCGATCCCTGGATTGGCGGGGAAAGTTCATCGGAATTTCCCCTTGTCAGTGGTGCAGGACGGAGGGTCTGACAAGGACAGCTGTCTAGTCCTTCAGATGGGACGAAAAAACCCGATATCTCGTGCAGAACATAGGACGTTAATCCTCATTTTATTTCAGCCCAGTCATCAATAATTGATCAGTGGCTATGTATAACGTTATAATGTTATTGTTATATCGTTCTTATTTGATTAGCGCCAGTAATATGTACTCCATTACACCCTATTCAACTGTAGGTGTAGCTGAATCATTTAGGTATACTGTTTTAGTGCAGTCTTCCTCACGAATTCAGTCAATGGATAGACGTTTAAAGGGGGGTAACTCTTGTTATTTAGGTAAAAAAAAAAGAAGAAAAGGTTCGCTCAGTGGAACGTTTATTAAAAGAAAAAAATTGGGCAAATTCAGATCTTGCCACTTGTTGAGAATGGAGCGGTTTCACTAGCCAGACGATACTGCCAATCCAGGTGTTGACCGAGAAAGTTTTTTCGGCGCGTCTCTTTGTCAACGGGGGGAGAGAGAAAGAGAGAAATGGGGTTTAACGTCCACTCAACACAAACTAGGTTATTTCCATTATTTGCTTGCGCCTAGGGGTCTTTAGCAGTGGGAGGAAACCGGAGGACCCGGTGAAAACCCACGAGGTTGGACAGGCAACCCTACTCCTTGTCACGTACAACCGGGGATTCAAAACCACGCCAGTTGACTCAATGACAGGCTTTATGATACAGCGCGCACTTGCTAACCATTCGGCCATCCACCCTCACCCCCACCCCCACCCCCCTTTGTCAACGGTGCAGGGTAAAGAGTACAATAAGGCAAGGAATACACGTCTAGTCGTTCGATTGAGACAATTAACTGAGGATCTGTGTATAACATTGGCACCACATAAGAAAAAAAACCCTGATATATGAATAGAACTAGGCGGAGACATTGCTGACTGAGCGAAAATTCCCAAGCTCCCTAAATGGAAGAACGCTAGATCGGAAACAGTCCTGCGGCCTGTTTCTCGAAATCTTAACAAAATCCAAATTTTAGTAGATACTTCAATTTTGATTGGCTAAGCACGAAAATCAATCTAATATTATCCAATCAAATTACTAAAATTTGGATTTTATCTTAGTTAAAATTTCGTGAAACAGGCCCCAGGGCTCTGTTTCTCGAAATCTTAAATAAAGATAAAATCCAAATTTTAGTAGATACTTCAATTTTGATTGGCTAAGCACGAAAATCAATCAAATATTATCCAATCAAATTACTATAATTTGGATTTTATCTTAGTTAAAATTTCGTGAAAAAGGCCCCTGCACATTTTACCACATATGACGTGATATGTGGATTGTGGGTTAGGGTTAGGACTTGTAGATTTCGTCAGTCTCGAGATGTAAACAGGGCTAGCGCTAACCCTAAATCTAATCCTGGACCAAGCCTAACCCTTATCCTAACCCTAACGCACAATCCATATATTATGACGTTATATGTGCAGGACCGTCTCCGATCTAGCATTCTCCCCCTAAATAGGGTATGCCCGTCTTCATTATCCCCGATTGGTGCAGAAAGTGGGACGTTATTAAAACCCAATGGCATAAAGAGGCCAGATGATCCCAGGTAAATAACATGTTTTAGTGTCATTTAAAGTCTGCGTACCTCCAGAGCCTCGTTTAACATGGCGACTAGGCGCGCCGCCGCCGCGCACTGGCCAAACTTTGCCGCCTACTGAGCCCAAAAGTTGAAGACTAGGCGGCAACATACATACGTTTTGAAAATCGCTGACAAGGCTTATCCCATGTGCCAAGCATGCCTGAGGCTGATAATCTGTCATGTCCAACGCCGGATTAACCATGGTGGGGGCCCTGGGTCCTGGAACATGTGGGGGCCCCTGATCACCGACCGCGAGCGCCGAAGGCTCGAAGCCGCGCAAGGGGGGTGTAGGGGGGGGGGGGTTCTTCCCCCGAGGAAATTTTCAGAAATTGGAGGCCGGAAACGTGATTTCCTGGCATTTCAGGCACTTGTGTCGGAGCCATTTAGAAGTACCTCCCCCAGAAAAAAATAAAATGCTGCCACAAAATTATCGCATTCTGGCGTTATTTCAGAAGACCAATCCATGCGAGTGCTATGAAATGATGGCATTTCTAGAGGAGGGGGTTGGAGCCCATTGAGCCCGTTAAATCCGCCACTGTAAGTGAGCAGAGCTACATCAAACCTAATTTTGAAGTCGCTCAGTGATAAATAATGGGGTCACTTGATTCGGAATCGTATTATATCCCCCACGATGATTTGATGAATGGAGGTCGTAACGTTCCGACCAAGCCGGACTCGATTTTTGACGAACGTCTAACACTATAAGTACCAAATGGTAATACGAGATTTAATCAAGAAATCTGAATATTTCGTGTGATCATGATGTGCATCTCATCAAATTCAGTTTATACCCACAACAAATATCAACAACAACAACAACAACTACAGCTTATATACAATCGTACGTCAATCAGAGGCAAACTTCGCGCTACTCGAAATGATTGGGACGGGTAATTTGTTCGAGTTATACGATAATTCGAGTTAGACGATGTTCGGTCCGATAGAAGATCTCACGACAATAAAAGACCATGTGTTACACCCTTAGATAAAGCCACAAAAGGCGTTTATTCTTCAAATCTTCAAGTTTCCGGGAAAGTTGCCAAGGCACACTCGCCTGCAAGATCCAACCACGTACAAGGCAGTACTCTCATTAGAATTTGACAATTCGCCTGTAAATAGCGTTGAATTCCGGCGATCCACTCAAAAAACATCTCGGAGCATCGGAGGGGCTCCGTCACTAGGTCACCGGCCGTTGGAGTCCTTGGTCCGACCATGCTCGAGGCGCGCAACTGAGATTTTTGTGGGGGGTCCGCTAATGTGGGGGCTCTGGGGCCTGGGCCCCATGGTGCCCCGTGGTTAATCCGGCGTTGGTCATGTCCCTGGCTTGAAACCGTACGTACATCATGGTCCGTTATAGGTTTACAAAATCGTCTTTCTGATTGTTTTATGGGTATATTTCTGTCTGCGGATCAGCCGCAGCAGTGTTTTGATCTCGATTTTACAGGGTATTTATAAATGCATGGTTTAACATAATGCCAAAACTAATAGTGTATCAAATCTCCGAAACTATTTTTAAGTGCTCAGAAATCGAGTCTAAGGGAGTCAATTTTCAAAATTTTCTAGGACACCCCCCCCCCCCCCGCGCGGGATCACACCTGCGGTCTGGTGGCAAGGTACGGTGTCTAGTCTTTAGGATGGAACGAAAAGCCATTGAGAGTTTTAAGACATGACGTAAACGCCGCGGTTCGGACAGAAGTTATCTATAGTATAGCGCACTGCCTAGATGTGCCGTAGCGTTGGGCCAATAACATGTCAGGTTGGTGCAGAAAGCTCGGGCGTTATTTTTATAACACATTTCATTCGTTGGCCTATTATAGAAAGAACAGAAAACAGGGAAATAGGGTGTGATATGGAATGGTTGAGATGATCTTTTTAGTTGTCATCTTCAATTTCTTTTCAGCGACATTGTATCCTTTAATACGCGTTATTTCGTTTCAGTTGTTAACTAGTTGAACTCGTTCTTATTTTTGTAAGATACCTACTTTAACAATGGGCGAATCTATTATTTTATAGGGGTGTAATGCAGAGACCACTCCCCTTCTATAAGAATATCAATTGCTACCAAAAACGAAGAGATAATATCGTCTTAATATTATATGTTTTATATCCAAATTATTGAAAAATAAAAGATTAATATATGTATTTACGAAAAAATCGATGTTATCACAGAATTATTTAACCCTGTTTTGTTGCTATGATCATCCGCCATATTGGATCAACACGCTAAGATTTGCTTGCTTAGCAACCCGTCGTGTTGATGTGCTATCTCTGTTAAATTTAATAAGTCGAGTTAGTTTTTCTTGTATATCGTTGTTTCTCACACATTTAAATCCAATTAAAAAGACAGAATGAAGCTTAAGTGTATATGTGAGATATGCACATGTGGGTAAGTTGACATTAATTAACAGAATTTCTAAGATTTTCAGGTCAGCAGAGTTGTGACGATTGGAAAGACGTGAGACAATCACGGCACAACAGTCACAGTTTGGTGACATTTTTATTTTCTGAACATCGATTCGTATAATCGTGAATATTATATAAATCTAGAATCTCAAGTAATTCAGCTGTGTGTGAATTCAAAGCAAACATTTGACTGTCCATTCGCCATAAATAATCGACTTTTTTTCCTATTGTCCCAAGAAGACCAAACAAATGACGTTTTGTTTTTAATTAATTAATTCCGTTTCCTGCCCGGGTCCCATCAGCTGTGGAATTGTGATGTGCAAACACATCGAGAATAGGTACTGATTTCAATTTGAATGTTAATGACAAAATCACTGACTTTATAATAACATTCTTTAAAAGTTCAGAGAATTGAACCGGTATACGGAAGGGCCTATAAAGTAGTAGAATTAGAAAGTTTTGTTAAACTCTCCCACTATGTTCAGGAGGGGGTCAGGGTGGCTAAGTGGGTTCCCCTTGTCAGTGATGAAGGACGGACGGCCTGACAAGGACAGCTGTCTAGTCGTTCGGATGTGACGAAAAACCAAGGTCCCGTGTACACATTGGTGTGCATGTATTTTTAAAATCCCTTGACAGTTGGAATTCTATATAAGAGAAGGCCGTAGTGCCGTTGTCCGGGCAAAATATCCCTCATAGCACACTATATGGCGCATGCCCTTCTTCATTAGCCCAGTTCCGAGCAGAAAAGTAGGACGTTAAACCCCATTTCATTTCTTTGTTCAGGAAGGGGCCTGTTGACCTCTTGTCGAAACATTTTCACTCATCAGTAAATGACTGTTAAATGGTTGTGTGTCAGTCCCTGTACAACGTAAAAATACATTTTACTTAGTGAGAAAATAAGACCTTGCTTATCTCACTGTCAATGTGTGATACAACCCGCAGTTAAAAAATATGTCTCCTCCTGTCGGGTAGTTTGGGTGCCGCCATTGAAGTCTAAATATAGGGCAACGTACAAATTTAAGAATGTCGGGTATACAAAGACAAAATGAAATTTAGGTAACCAGGGAAAAAATTGGGACCTTTGAAAAAATTAGAATCTTCAGTCATTTATTTATTGCTTTGCCTCCCTTTTAAATTTTAATTTTTTTCAAAGATTTCGATTTTTTCCCCTGGTTACCAAAATTTAGTAAAGGGTGAGTGTAACGAAACTTACATTCAGAGCTAGAGGGGCAATGAGTGACCTAGTTTGTGTTGAGTGGATGTTAAACCCTATTTCAGAGCTAGAGGGGCAATGAAAATAATGTTTCTGTAGTATCAGTTATATCATAGTATTAATAGATAAACATTCTGCATTAAAGTACCAGAAATTCCAATCAATACACATAGGATTAGTACAAGCAAAAGGGAGTTGGTTGGATGGCCAAATGCTTGAGCTTTGTATCATAAGCTCTGTCATTGAGACAACTGGCATGGTTTCGATTCCCTGATTGTACGTGACAAGGACTAAGGTCACCTGTCCAACCGCGTAAACGAATTATTGAAATAAAATTGAACCATGTGTTAGTCCCAAAATGACCTAGTTTGTGTGGGGTGGAGTTAAACCCCATTCTCTCTCTCTCTCTCTCTCTCTCTCTCTCTCTCTCTCTCTCTCTCTCTCTCATGATCAAAAGTTGAGCAATAACATGTAATTCTAACATGTAACATGTAAGATACATGTAATTAAATTTTATATTTTTATTTTTCAGTCGGCACAGATGTCCTCACCGACCAAATGCTCCAATCGGTCGAGGTGATCGAGAATGTTTATTAACAGAATACAACACGACATATCGTCAACATCCTATGCAACCAAGAGAAAGTTTCAAACCAGCAAATGTTGCAGTTAAAGGAGAAGGACCAATGGATGATAAAACCACTCATAGGTAGGAATAAGTAGAAGAATAGCAATCTATATTTCGTTTTTTTTTTTTTTATACTTTTGATGGCCTACACTACATGAAGATCTGACCTGTTGTAGTGATAGGTCGCGTCAGAGGTCATACGAGCGGCTTTTGACCCTATGACGTCAGACATCTCATTAGCCAATCAGCATTGATGTTACCAGTGGATTACCCACAATTTCGTGCAAAACACGCCTAAAGCTCGCCGTAACAGACCGTTTCATTGGCTAATCTAATCCCTTGCACCATTCAGAACACGTCAATGATAACAACTCTTCCAGGTCCTAGTGTAGTAAAGACAAGTAAAATGGAATTTTGAACTATAAAAAAGAGAAACGAAATAGGATCTGTGTTTTAATAAGATTGAAAGAATAGTATATAATATGAAAAATTAAAATTGTCTTTTGTGATGTATAGGAGCACACTAATCAGCAGTGAATATTCGCGTGGCCGCCACAATCACTGATAAGAATGACATCGATGCGACTTAATGATTCCCCAAATATTAACTTCTTTCCTCCGACAAATTAAATTCTAAAACATTTTTTTATGTATTAGAAAAATAAAGACGTTTGAATAATATGCAGGTAAAAATTGTTTCCTATTTAGTGTAAAACGCGTAAAAGGCACCATTCTGCCCAGACCAGTGACGTTATGTGTAAACAATACTCGCGCCATTAAGCTAATGATTGACGCTAATACACTGCTAATCAAAAAGTCCAATTTTACCAAATTTGATTAGCAAATTTAAAAATTGATTAGCAGTTTTTCAGTTTCAAAAAAACATCTAAATAACAAGATATTATTTTAATTCATAACAAATATATATATCTTTATTTCCAAAGCCCCACTCATTTTAATTGTTACGTTAGAAATCTTCGTTAAAAAACAATTTCGTCCGCTTTTTATCGTGTATTTTTTGTTCAATCGCTGCACCTCGATTAAATTGACACACGCGATATAAACAATAATATTTTACGTGAATTCTTAGTTTGATTGATCAGTTTACAATATTTGATATTTTATTTACAATACGTGGGGTATACACTGGATTTATTTCTTTCAAAATGAATACTGATATAATTACTTGATGTCTCGCAACGTGAGTGGTACTACTTGGTTCTCTATTGCCGGTTTAATAGTCCCTATTCATAGAGTTATGTCCCTGTATTATATAGTGTAATGAATTGTGTCTGGGCTGTTCGAGAAGAAAATATCACACAGAGAATTCAGTTTTGTTTATAAAATTTTATTCGACATTTTATACACGTTGAAAGTGTTGAGAAAGCCTTCTAGTCTTCAAAATGTGGATTATCCTTGTGTCAATATCCAAAATAATGATTCATAGATGAACCGCCCTCTCTTCAAACGACAGTGATTTTATAAGTGTGTTTTAAAGGGACTTTTTGATATACAAGGACATTTTTATTTTGTATTTTTACCAATTTTCAACCTGTGAATAATATCATATCTAATGTATTGGGTGTTAAATCTGTAATAAACAACAACAACATTACCTCTGAAACAGATTGGTATGGTTTTGTGGGGGTGGGGGGGGGAATCGCGCGGCTGAATGGTTTAGCACATGTGCTTTTAATCATAAGGTCTGTCATTGATTCAACTGGCGTGGTTTCGATTCACCAGTTGTACGTAACAAGGAGTAGGGTCGCCTTGTCCAACCTCGTTGGTTTTCTCTGAATCCCCTGGTTTCTTCCCTCTGCTTAAGACTCCTACCTACGTGCAAGTGAATTATTGAAATAGAAATGTAGCACAGGCCTATGTTAGTCCCAAACTAACCTAGTTTGTGTCGTGTAGACATTAAACCCCATTTCTAATTCACTCTCTCTTATGTGATGTCTTTATGACACTAACTAGTAATATACATTTATCGTTTTATAAACTATGATTACATTTGTCGGAGGTGAATTTTCCCAGGCTGAAGCTCTTTTGTCTGTTCTCTATTCTGATCATAGAGAATGACATTGCGTTTTTCTCCTGTAGCCTATACATTGATAGTCGCACAGGTGTTATCCTAGACAACTAGGAAAGAGGTTTGGAATGAAATGAGGTTTTATGGCACGTGATCAGCTTCAAACATTGCGTTAAACATTGGTGAAATTATTCGAGACATAATAAAAGAAATCACAGAAATATATTTATATCCATAAATAAAAGCAAATATCACATATAATATATAAAATTAAAAATAAATATCAAATACTTAATGAATATAAACAATTAAAATGAAAGAAAATGGGTTACATGTATGCAATTAAAACTTATAATGAAATTTTGTCTTATTTTAAAAGTTGAAGGATGATACAATATAACTGCGGTTGAACAAATAAATGGTGTAATGTCCGACAACTGCAACTGCTGTGGTTTCGATTCTAGGTTGTACAAGACAAGGAGTAGGGTCGCCTGTCCAACCTCGGGTTTCTTCCCACCCCTACGCGCAAGCGAATTATGAAAATTAAATTGAACCATATGTTAGTCCCGAAATGACCTAGTTTGTGTCGAATTCATGTTAAACCCCATTTCTCTCTCTCTCCAAGATACTTGCACGCAAACAAAATGTGCTTCACCGTCTTTGACAGTGTCCACATTCTGGTTAAGGCTCTCACTTTCAGATGAAAAAATGTTTGAATTGAAAAAGGTTAAATATATGTTAAAAACCAATTCTAATGTTCTGGCCTTTTATAGTTTACATCAGTTGGTTTCTTTTGATTTCACACTGCCACTCTATGTTGGTCAACTGACATGGTTTCGATCCCCTGCTTGTATGATGGAGGGCCTGTCAAGGACAGCTGTCTAGTCCTTCAGATGATACGAAAAACCAAGGTCCCGTGTATATATTGGAATGCACGTAAAAGATCCCCTGGCAGTTGGAATTCGATGTAACAGTAGGCGAAAGTGCCGCTGTCCGAGCAAAATTTCCCTCATAGCACACTGTATGGCGTATGCCCGTCTTCATTAGCCCAGTATATAGGAGCAGAACAGTAGGACGTTAAACCCCATTTTATTTCATTTCTCACTGCTAAAAAAGACCCCTATGCACAAGTGAATTATTGAAATAAAAATTGAACCATATGTTAGTCCCAAAATGACTTAGTTTGTGTAGTGGCCGTTAAATCCTCCCTCTGATCTCTCTCTCTCTCTCTCTCTCTCGCTGATCTCTATCTCGCTAATTAAATCATGATACCTTTAATTAGAAGTTAATCTGGTTATCAGTGCATGTCTCACTTTATCTTTGACTGCAGGCCACCAGGAAGTGCTAATAATATCTTTTGATTGGTTAATAAAATATTAATGACTGTTGTCATAGCAACAAGGAATATTTTTGATTAAAGTAGTTCTTCAACTGCACTTAGGTAACATTAAGTATAGTTGTAGTTTGGAATTATGGTAACTATTATTGCTAAGGGCAACAGGCACAACTCAAAATAAAAATCTATAGTATCCATTGACATTACATGGAATAATGAGAGGAGAGCGAGTTTAAGGTCCACTTGACAAAAACCAGGTCAATTCGGGACTAACATAATTTAATTTTATTTCGATAATTCGCTTGTGCGTAGGGGGTATTTAGCAGTGGGAGGAAGCCAGAGGACCCGAACAAAACCTGTGAGGTTGGACAGACGATCCTACTCCTTGTCACATAGTGGGGAATCGAAACCCCACCACTTGACTCCAACGCACACGTATTAATCATTCAGCCATGCTGACATGTTATAAGATGAAATGAGTTTCAACATCTACTAGTCTACACCAACCGGGATATATATATATATGAGAGAGATTTTGCCTGACAGTGACATTTCATCAAATTGCAACTGCAAAGGGTTCTTTAACACTTGTGTCAATGTGTAGATTCTGTACACAGTGTCTAGTCATTTGGATGGTACAAAAAACTGAGGTCCCATGTACACTTTAACATGACAGAAAAGAACCCTTGACAGTAGTGTCACTGTCCAGGCAAAATTTCCTCAAGGCACATTGTATGGTGTATGCCCATCTTCATTAGCCCAGTAGGATGTTAAACCCCATTTTATTTCATTTTGCTATTATAAACAAGCATGGACCTTATATATTGTTATACAATACATGAAGAAATGACTACTATATAATTTATACCTTAGTGTTATACAACACATGATATCTTGTATCAATAATAAAGTTATATGATAATCTTGATCAATAAATATATATAATTAAATATCTATATATAGTAGATATATCAACAATATAGTCAGTGACCCGTATATATTTATTTATTTAAAATTGACATTCTGTTTATAAGCCTCTTTTATATGGGTCCTAATCAATATACGAGTTTCACCCGCGATCTGAATTCTACACCCTTGATCCGATCAAAGATTATCAATTTAACCAAGTGTTAATGAGATTAACTATAGTATTTCTCAGACAGAAGACAAGTTTAAACATACATTATGCAAGAGGTAAATCTGCCTATTGCAGGTCTTTCTTTAGGCCTGAAATGTTATCTAAATTATTGGGGGGTTGGATGGCCGAATGGTTAGCACTTGCGTGCTGTATCATAAAGCCTGTCATTGAGTCAACTGGCGTGGTTTCGAATCCCCTGTTATACGTGACAAGGAGTAGGGTCGTCTGTCCAACCTCGTGGGTTTTCTCCGGGTCCTCCGGTTTCCTCCCACTGCTAAAGACCCCTACGCGCAAGCGAATTATTGAAATAAAATTAAACCATATGTTAGTCCCGAAATAACCTAGTTTGTGTCGAGTGGACGTTTTAAACCCCATTTCTCTCTCTCTTATCTTAATTATTAATTGGACATTAATTAACTTAACCAGACCATATTCAACTCTCAATGTCATCGCTAGCCTGTGATATTTAGCGGATTGGAATACATTTTTTGAAAAAGAATTAAACATAGAAATGGATAATTGAGACTTTGTTTTTTATCCTACCGACTTTAGTAATGATGATCGAGTCTAGCCACCAATTCAAAAGCAAATTTCGGTTCAGAGTTGATCAATTTGACTGAAATTTTCAGCATATTCTATTTACGTTATCTATTTTTTAACTATTATAGCGAGAACTGTCAACTCTTTATCTAATCTCCCATAATTCCTTTTTAACAATATGGTAAATAAATATTTTTTACTGGCGTCATTTCGATCACTTAGTCACTTAGTGACCCAATGTTGAGCGGTTTATTTCACAGTATAATTAAGAACCCTGATATGAACCTACTAAAATTAAGAAGAAATCAAGGTCTACCATATATCAATGTACCTGAAATATGAATTTAATATTTTTAAAAAAGACTCAATATACAAACCAGTCTCAGATGTTGTATCCATACACCTCATCTAGATTACCTAGACACTAGAGTCGCTTAACTTGTAATTGCTCTTCTAGTGCACCAGTATATGAATATAGACTTGATTACCGTATCTGAAAACAAAATACTGCAACCACGATATTAGAGTTGATTATATTTGTATTATAGACTTCATTATATTTGTTATAGGGTTGATTATCTTTATTATAGAGTTGATTAGGGCCTATATTTGTTATGATAGAGTTGATATTATTTGTTATAGAGTTGATTAGGGTCTATATTTGTTATTATAGAGTTGATTAGAGGCTATATTTGTTATTATAGAGTTGATTATATTTGTTATTATATAGTTCAATTGATTATATTTGTTATTATAGAGTTGATTATATTTGTTATTATAGAGTTGATAAAGCTTATATTTGTTATTACAGAGTTGATTTTATACCACATCCTGTTGGTCGACCACCGGTACATCAACCCGATGCGTATAAAAAACCACATGGTGAATTTGATATGTTGACATCATACAAGAAAGAATACACAGGTACGTACTCGAAATTACAAAATATTCTGATCCTCAGGTACTGAAAATTAATTCTCCGATCCTGTCTATAGGTAACAATTTGTTAATATTGACGAGTCCAGTTCAGTTATACTGGCATGCATAGAAAAGGGACAGATTAGGGTCGCCTGTCCAACCTAGTGGGTTTTCTCCGGATACCCCGGTTTCCTCCCATTGCTAAAGACCCCTATGTGCAATTGAATTAGTGAAATAAAATTGAACCATATGATAGTTTGTGTTGCAAGCAGTTAATAAACAATATGAAAAGAGACCAATTAAAATTTCTTATCTAACACTTGTAGGTGACTCTAGTAAAATTTGAACAATTGAAAAACGAACTGATATATGTTGGGTTCATGATAGTAGATAATAAAATAAATACATGTTGCTAAAGAATACTTGAACAGTCAAAGGTGTTAATTTATAGTCTATAACCATTCTAAGTGTTAATGAAATAATAAATAAGTTTTAAATACCAATCAAGGGAATCTCTCTCTCTCTCTCTCTCTCTCTCTCTCTCTCTCTCTCTCTCTCTCTCTTTCAATGAGTTAAAGTTATGTGGTTAGGATCATCTAACCTTGTTTGTTTTCTCCATAGCCCATCGGTTTCCTCCAAGGGAAAGATTTCTCTAAGCGAATTTTTAATTTATACCATATTAGTCCCAAAATGACCTATTTTGTTTTGAGTGGACTTTAAACCCTAGATCTCACTACTAAACTATTAATCAATACAACTGGTAGAAGATTTTAAGTAATAAATTACTAAGACAGGACGTTGTTTGTTTTGAGGATCTCTCGGTATATATATGTTGACACGAGGTGTTATATATCATGTCTACAGGTCCTTATAATTCCTTTATAAAGGGGAGACTATTTGGGTAAAGAAAGACAGCTCCTTGGTTACGGCACACTGATTGTATTATGATTGTATAGGCGGTTCCCTTTAAGTCTTTGTGTTCGACAATATTATTGATTCTATAACCCCTGTTTTTTATGTTGTCTGTTGAATGGGATAATGTGATGATATAGGGTATTAAAAGAATACCAATATGTTTGTTAAAGGAGATAAACTTCTAACTCATATTATCCATAATAATATTCAAAATTAAAAACACCAATTAGAATTCATTATTGATCAATTTCAGTCAATATTCATGTTACTGTGAAAATATGGGATCCGAAATATTAAATATTTAATTAAGACATAATAATTATTTTAAAATCATTACAGATCATTGTGTACTCTATGGTTTTGAGAACCATTTGTAATGAACCAAGAAAAACATCCCATAAAAAGGCATAAGACAATGAGCAAATGATTAAAAATAGCTAGTTGTTTCACAAACGACAAAATAATAAAAAAAAAAATGTGTAGATTCTAAGCAGTCACAATTTGGACTGTTATGGTATTTTACTGAAATTAATTGATTAGAAATTACAGAAGATTTTTTAAAAAATGGATATAAATTTCTTTATATACACTCAATCACTCATATTATGTGCTTTTTAGACCTACCAGTATATTTGTCTAATTTAAAATTATATACGCCCTTTTAAACTTACTATATTATAATCAGTTTGTATATATCACATTACAATCTGATATAAAACATTAAATTTTAAAAAAAATAATTAAAGTATAAGTCAACATCAAATATATAATTAAAGTTGAGACAGAAAAAAATATTGATAAAAAGATTTTTTGTATTTTTAAAAGCATTGATTAATACAAGGCACACCCAGTTTAGCAGATTAATTATTTCCCTGTTAAAATATAATTGTGATCATTTGATAAGTTTGCTGCATATATCTGGCTTCAAAGTGAAGCAATTTGGCTGAAATTTTCAGCATATTTTATTTTCATTATCTATTTTATAACTATTATAGCGAGAAATGTCAGCTCTTTATCTAATCTTACCTAGTGCCCTTTAAAGGGGTATAAGGAGATAAGAGTATTTTAAGGCTGATAGCAGAGGAGGTTAAAAATGACCACACATTGAGACACTTCAAGAGTTAGGGGTAGGAATGACTGTCCAAACTAGCATATATCTCCTCTCCAAATGGAGCATATCCCATAAACCTTTGACGTATCAGTAGCTTTTGGAACCCAAGGATGTTGCTTAATTTGTATTCAAGATTTTTAATCTGATAAAACATTGACATAATTTTGTTGTTTTTATTCTACAGAGAAAGGTGGAGCTAAAGCTATTCCAATTAAACATGAAGGCCTACGTCAGCTTCCTGCCCGATTTGAAGGAGAACCAACCTATCAATGTAAGTGTATCCATAAAATTTGAGATAAGAAATTTTCATTTGAAATTTGGCGTGTGTTGCATCACCGAATGGTTAGCGCGTGCGCGTTGTATCAATTCCACGTTGTGACAAGCAGTAGGGTCACCTGTCCAAACTCGTTGGTTTTCTCCAGGTCCTCCGGTTTCCTCCCACTGCTAACGACCCCTACGCGTAAGCGAATTGTTGAAATAAATTGAAACATATTTGTTAGTCCCGAAATGACCTGGTTAGTGTTGAGTTGACGTTAAACCTCATCTCTCTATCTATAATTGGTATGAACTATCCAAAGGACTAGGCACTCTTGGTTTATCAGTCTAAAGGTTCTTACCCCTGATAAGAGAACACCACATTTGAAAAATCATATTTTTTCTCAATTCATGCAAGGAAAGTCGAGTGTCCATAACTTCAATATCTCGTCTACCACAGTCCCAAACAGATATTGACACCTTTCCATGTAAGCCTAATCCCTCTGTCGTCCCCCACCATCCTCCCCTAGTGTTAAGTATCAATGAATGTAGAAACAAACCAATCCAGGATATAAAACCCTTCATGTTCCAAAATTCTTCTTTAAATAATCAGGGGGTTTAGGTGGCCGAATGGTTAAAGCGTGGGTCCAACATCATATGGTCTGTATGTGACAAGGAGTAGGGTCACCTGTCCAACCTCGTGGGTTTTCTCTGGGTTCTCTTGTTTCCTCCCACAGCTAAAGACCCCTACGCGCAGGCAAATTACTGAAATAAAATTGAACCATGTGCTAGTCCTAAAATGATCTAGTTTGTGTCAAGCGGAAGTTACTCTCTCTCTCTCTCTCTCTCTCTCTCTCTGTCCCTCTCTCCACCTCTCTCCCTCTCTCTCTCTCTCTCTCTCTCCTTGTCAGTTTTTGTGAATCTAAGATGATATATGTTTGTATATTTACAGCTGATTTCAGAAAATGGCCAATCATTCGTCAAGCTCCTTATGGTAATCAAGCGTGCTGGCAGCCACCAACACAAGAGTTTGAGGGTGAAACCACATTCGCTCGCGATTACCAGAAGTACAATCAACCTCCTCGTCAGAGCATGAAACCTCAAGAAGCTGTAAAAGCCTCGGATATACCCTTCGATGGTAAGACAGGTTACAGAGATTACTATGTCAAACACCCTCTTGAAGCACGCAAAGCTAAAGAACAAGCTAAATACAAACCTTCTGGTATACCCTTCGATGGTCTGTCTACGTTCAGACGAGATTACACTGGTCCTCCTGGCGAGAAGACCCAGAGTTGTAAACCAGCCAATATGGCCTTCCAGTCGGATGCTCCACTAGAAGATATGACCACATTCAAGAACGATTACCGAAAATGGGCAACGGAGCGACCCCATTTCCACGATCCCGATACCTACAAACGTCCAGAAGGGGATATGGACATGAACACCACACATCTGTTAGCGTATAAAGCTCATCCTCTTCAGAAACATATGACGAAGAGACCGTGTTCAGCCACAGGTCTTCGTCCAGGAACCTTTGATGGTACTACCAACTATAGTATGGACTTCAAACAGTGGGACATGGGCCAGAGGAGTCGTCCAACCATGAAACCCGATTACAATCCCAACACGGCGCCATTCGAAGGCTTACCAACGTATAAAGCACATTACATTAAACATCCAGTCAATCCCATGAAAAGCTGCAAACCAGATAACACCGCGTTCCAGAGCGACGCCACGTTTGAGGACGGTACCATGTACAGAATGGACTACACACCTAAGAAAATAGATCCCTGTCCTGTCACCATTATTGAAACTGGCCGATCCACATTTAAATTCGATCACGTTGATGGCCGGGGTCACAAAGTTTATTGTCCCGTCTATGAAACGGTTATGCCAATAAACGGAACGGGTCCCGCAACTAATAATTTAGTAGCGGTACCCGTGGCGTAAGTTTCCAATGTGAATGTATCTGTGATGTTTATATCAGATATTTTATTTAATCTCATTGATATACCCATAAAATAAGTGAATATCACTTGATCCCTTAATAACTGTGCAGGTAAATACAGGTGGGAAGGGGCCAAATTCACACAAAACCAATCTCTCAAAATCGATCATCAAGACCTGTACGTTCATTTCCCATTGTTGTCAAAGGTCAGGGTTCAAGTTCTAATATACTTTTATACATTAGAAAGCCTGGAAATAGAGCACCTGTCAGACTCTGTCCGGAACAAGCCCACTGATGCCAGTCCTTTCATTTATCAAAGATTATCTTTTTATTCCCTGTGTTTTTGATTATTAACACATGCCTGCCACAAGATTCAAAATATCAGGTAATTGTTCAATAGAGCCACAGATTTTCTCAAGAAAAACTAAAATCCCCCTCCTACCCCCACCCCAACCACCTGTTATAGCATTTAGTTTAAATTAAGAATCATCTGGGCTATAGTGATATTCAGCTTATTTTATCACGCCTCTGAATTTTGTACATATATATATATATTTTACAAAATACTATTATTAATGTTATGTATAGAAAATGGTGCCAAGAGGAACCAAAAAGCCAAAGCGAACCCCCTGAGCAATGGGTTTAGTGATCTTATTGAAATTTTATTATTTTTGAACAAAATCTGTGATATATAGCTAAAGCTGAAAATTTGTCAGTGGCCTGTCAATGTTTTTCTTAAAGAACATTTTTCAATGGGTTGGTGGATCCACCTCAATATAGGCTGCCGATTTTTTTAAAGCGGGCAACTGACAAATTTCCAATAATTTCTCTTTTAATATAATATTTAAATTCTGTATTTTTTTTTTATATTTAAGAATATATATTATTTTCACATGTCTTAGATCATTTTGATATTATATTTTGCACAATCAGCATTATTTAATGAAAAGCTAAGCATTAGATATTTACTTCACATGACTTGGATAATTTTGATAAATTATATTTTGCACAATCAGCATTATTTAATGAAAAGCTAAGCATTAGATATTTACTTCACATGACTTGGATAATTTTGATAAATTATATTTTGCACAATCAGCATTATTTAATGAAAGGCTAAGCATTTGTTATTTACCTACCTTGCCATTAGGATAACTCTTTCATCAATAAACAGAAGCATTATTTCAACAGTATCAGATTTAATTCAGAATATTTTCTACAAGTTTTAGATATGGGTCATAATTCATATTTCGTACATTTCTGATGAATTAGGACAATATTATTAACAAATAACCTGGGTTTTCTAGCGTCTTTCTGATGAATTAGGACAATATTATTAACAAATAACCTGGGTTTTCTAGCATCGTTCTGATGAATTAGACATTATTATTAACAAATAACCTGGGATGTCTAGTGTCGAAGAGATGAAGACAATATCTCGGATGAATTAGAACATTATTTATAAATAAGCTACATAGTATATATAGATTCGTTCCAAGAAAATATTTACAAATAACCTAGATTCTCTAGGGCCTGTCTTAAAAAAATTAATTTTGCTTAAGAAAATATGAATTTTGTGAAGGGAATATGAATTTTGTGGAAGACAAAAACATTAAAGTCCCCTGATTATTAAATTTTTCAGCTTTGATAATATGATTTTCTATCTGTTTTGTTATATGCCTACAATATTAATCATGGTTCTCCACCAAATTATTTGTTTGTTACATTGAAGTCTTCAAAGAATTTATGTTTGTTACTTGTCGGGTTTTAACTAGATTTTGTGTTGGCAAAAAATTGAAAATAGTTTTCGCAATTAATGACAAAAACTATAAATGTTTATTTTTACTATAAGATATCGAGTCACACCAATTTGACTTTCTCTTTCTGCATGCTCGAAGCACTGCATTTAAGCAGCCTCTTGTTAATTAAGTGTGGTTTAATGGTCGAGAGCGAGACATTAAGTAATATATTGAAACAACATTAAGATTAAGAAAGGTTCTGTAAGCTTATTTATTTGTGGCTAATATTTTTTGAATAAATTTCTGTTATACAAGCTTATAACACAAAGTGCTAACATATTCTTAAAGAATTTAATATTTGTAGTTTTGTTTTCTATAATTTTTTAATAAATTATTTTTTTATATTTATTCTAGAAAGAGAAATGAAAACCACATTGATCAGTGGTTGTTATACATGTTCCAAGTAAGGTTTGGAATTAAATTTTAAATTAGGAAAATTTGAGTATATTGTTTTGGAATTAGATCTGAAGTTCGAAACTTCGGGTATATGAAAATAAACGTTTAATAATAAAAATATGCAAATACAAGCCACATCGCCCTTTTCCGTCTCTATATGTATATTTGTTATTGTAAATAGTCTATTATTTATATATCCCTGTCCTGTCATTCAACTGTAACTTATTCATCTTTAGTAGAAATAAATTCTATATTCTAAAATCATCTATTCTATTTCTCATTCATTCAAGGAGTAACTATCTTTAATATATCCTACCAAAAGGAGAGCCACCGTGGTCAGAAATTAAATAGCCTAAAGCCCCGTTTACACCTGGCCGCGATAATCGTGCCGAACGGCACGGTACCAGGTCACGATAAATTTAAGAAATTGACCTTTTTACATTACTGTAAAAGAACCTGTCTCGGAACCGTGCCAGCCACGCCAAATGCAGAACTCTTCACAGAAAAGTTAATTTTAGTCCCTGTGCAAATTACCCTGATGAAAAGAATTATGGCGGTTGATTTAATTTCGGCAGCCATTTTGACAGAACGTTTCTATTTATCTGTAGTCATTCAAAGAGTAACTATCTTTATACCAATAGGGGGTCTACCGTCGTCAGTAAGTATACTATGATGCATTCTGATTAACACGCAGATCATATTTCGTTTCGTTTTTTATAGTTCAAAATTTCGCTTTACTTACTACACTAGGATCTGGAAGAGTTGTTATACAACCCGCGTCTGGGTGATGTGAGGGATTAGCCAATGAAACGATCTGTTGCAGCGAGCTCTTGGCGTGCGATGCACAGAACTGTGGGTATTCCATTAGAAACATAAACGCTGATTGGTTAATCAAATGTCTGACGTCATGGGGTCAAAAGCCGCTCGTATGACCCGGATAAAATTTCTCTCATGGGATACTGCCCTGCGTATAATGTTGTGCAGCCAATCTCATTTTTACTAAACGGTATATGGAAATAATAATAACGCCATCTGACCATTCGCTGAAACTCAGGAGTCAATTTAAGGCCCATGTGTGTTCATCATCATGTGTCGCCTTCCAAACCCCTTGCGGAATTTCTCTCAGTGCGCATGTCTTCTTGATTGTTTGCATACAGCAGGAATGACAAAGTTGTGTTGGCTATATCCGATTTCCCCCTTGTCTTCCTGACGTTGGGGGTTGGATCGCCGAATGATTAGCGCGTGCGCGTTGTATCATACGGTCGGTCATCGAGTTAACTTGCGTGGTTTCGATTCCCTGGTTGTACGTGGCAAGGAGTAGGGTCGCCTGGCCAACCTCGTGGATTTTCTCCGGGTCCTCCGGTTTCCTCCCACTGCTAAGGACGCCTACGCGCAAGCGAGTTATTGAAATAAAAGTGAACCATATGTTAGTCCCGAAATGACCTGTCGAGTGGACGTTAAACTCTCTCTCTCTCTCTCTCTCTCTCTCTCTCTTTCTGACGTTCACCTTTTCGATGTTCACGTATGTGAATATAGGAGAACTTATACATGTACTATAATTTGTAGTTGATAATTTACTTTTCAAACATCAAAGAGACACCTATATTAAAGTGGGTTAAGACTTGGGTTTTGCATCAGTTGCCCCATTGTGATATCGCAATGCTCCTGGTTTTACATCCCCGTAAAACGTATTACACTGAACTGAACTGTGAATTACATTAATTTTATTATCACAAGCATTAACGGTGGCCATAAAAAGAAATCAACAGTGTGGAAGGGTCTGTTTATTAAAACCTACCCCATATGAATCTATTTTAAGAACCCGTCTACATAAACTCATAATCAATCGCATTTTAAGATCTAAATTTCAGTTTACTTGTAAGTTCAATACGCAAAAGAAGCCTGGTATGAATCCTTCAAACGTTCAATACTGGTATAGTTGCTGAGTTGAAGAACGGTTTTAGGTTAACATCAAATAAAGGGAGCTAACTCTTTCTGAATTAAAACCGTGGGCTAATGGTTGTATTTCGTTTACCAAAAATAAAATATTTTTTGATTTGTCGACTGTATAGAAAAGTTCTAGGACGTCATTTGAAGCAATTTGAATCTCTTGCAAACTACAAACTTCTAAAGGCTTAATCGTCAAAATTAATTATCCGCCCGACAATAGTTCCGTTCCGTATTAGGCCGTACAAACATACGATCAACTGAAAATTCGTCAATATTGGGCATCTACTCAGGGCTGGTAAAGTCTAGAAATTAGAGCCAACTGCAGATTTCGTCAAGGTCGCGAGTTGTAAACAGTGCTAGGGCACATGCTTGTTGACAAGGTTGTGGGTTAGTGCTAGGGTTAGGGCTAGGGTTAGCGACAGCCCTGTTTACATCTCGTGACCTTTGACCACATCTGCAGTTGACCTTAATATTTAGACCTGACACTCCAATCAAGACTGGATTAACCTTTAAGCTAAATAAGCACCTGCTTAGGGCTTAGGGCATCATGGGGAGGGGGCACAACAGAATGTCTGCTTCGTTAGATGACGAATTCAAAATATTTAAGTTCAAAATTAATTAAATATACATTATGGGAGATTCGATAACGAGTTGACAGTTCCCACTATAATAGTTAAACACTAGATAATGTAAAGGCAATTTGCTGAAAATTTCATTCAAATTGATCCACTATGAACCGACAACAAAGTGATTGAATTTCCGCCTAGCCTTGATCATCATTACTAAAGTCAGTACGATAAACAGCATAGTCTCGATTATCCAATTAATCGTTAAATCGATGCCATCTAGAGTTGATTATGGTCTGGATAGGTTAATTAATGTCTAATTAATAATTTAGAAAACATTTCAGGCCTAAAGAAATACCCGTAATAGACAGATTTAGCTCTTGTATAATACTTTTAATCAGTTTTCCGTCTTTACTTACGTTCTTTGAATTGCATACTATATGGCGGCACCAAAATCTTCCAAGTGCTTAGGACCTCAAAAGGTCTTAATCTGGCACCGCATCCACTGCGGACAATTCGTTTGCGCGTAGGGGTCTTTAGCAGTGGAGGAAGGGGGGGGGGGGGCTAACTGGAGACCCATAGAAAACCCACGAGGATGGAATGCGACCTTGTTACATAAAATCCTGGAATCGAAACCACGCCACTTGGCTCAATGGCAGACCGTATGATCAAAAGCCCACGCGTTAGACCACTCGACCTCCCAACTTCCCTCAATCGAAAAAGAGATTTTCTACATTTCAACATGAATAGACAAAGCCTATAACTCTCCTTTTACGTTATAGGTGCAGGCCGAAGGGCCCGACAAGGAGGAGCAAATTGGCTGTTCGTTCGAATGAAACAAAAGAAAACAAAACAAAAACAAAAAAACGAGGTCACGCGTACACATTGGCGTGTATATCTTTTCTTTTATTCTTTCTAGGAATATGTATTTTGGATTAACTATAGTTATACTGACAAAATATACCTCATAGGACACTACCTGGCTCAGCTTCATTAGTGCTGATAAGTGGGATATATGAAAATAATACCAATGTTGCCTTACGATTTGGGTGTACCTCAGGGCTCATTGTAAGGCCATAGCTCCGTTGGGAGGGGTTGGTGACCGAATGGTTAGCGCGTGCCCATTGTATCATAAGGTCTGACATTGGGTCAACTGGCGTAGTTTTGATTCCCCCGTTGTACGTGACTAGGAGTAGGGTCGCCTGTCCAAACTCTGGGTCCTCCGGTTTCTTCCCAATGCTAAAGACCCCTACGTGCAAGCGAGTTATTGAAATAAAATTGAACCATATGTTAGTCACAAAATGACCTAGTTTGTGTCGAGTGGACGTTACGTTAAGCCCCATTCCCCCCCCTCTCTCTCTCTCTCTCTCTCTCTCTCTCTCTCTCTCACACACACTTTCCGTTATCCGGGCCAAATTCATAGCACACTGTATGGTGTATGCCAGTCTTTATGAGCACGGTCGGCGCAGAGATGCAGGACGTTAAACCCCATTTCATTTTATGTACGTAGGTTAAAACGGTGCGAATTTTATAGAAATTATTTTATAAAGAAAATGTCTGCCGCGGATGTTTAGCTTTTCAATTAATTTACAGCCTGTGAAGTCTACTAGATACATCAACTAGATCTGTCATTGTCATCTAAAACTGCAACGCTCATTCATACTTGTTTTTTAGTTTAATGTCATCTTACCTCTTGAAACCTGTCTGTCTTAGTTGTGTTTGGTTAAGTACTGCATTCAGACAGGGTCAACAGACTGGTAGAAATAAACTTGCACTCGTTTTCCTATTTCACATCTACACAGTAGCTGTTGAATTACACATACAAATTTAACACAGCAACGTCTAAATTAAGAAATGAAAGAAGTTAACAGAACAAAATTTTTATGGGATACTATCACTGGTTTTATTCTAGAATCACGACGTTTCGATAAGTATCCTCTTATCGTTATCAAAGAGAGAGAGAGAGAAATGGGGTTTAACGTCCACTCGACACAAACTAGGTCATTTCGGGACTAACATATGGTTTAATTTTATTTACATAATTCGCTTGCGCGTAGGGGTCTTTAGCTGTGGGAGGAAACCGGAGGAGACGGAGAAAACCCACGAGGTTGGACAGGCGACCCTACTCCTTGCCACGTACAACCGGGGATTCGAAACCACGCCAGTCGACTCAATGACAGACTTTATGATACAGCGCGCGCACGCTAACCATTCAGCCATCCAACCCCCCTTTATCGTTATCAAGGACAATGAAATGGGTTTAGCGTCCTACTGTTCTGCTCCGACTGGGCTAATGAAGACGAGCAGCATACAGTGAGCTATGAGGGACAGTAGCGCTACGACTACTCTTATATCGAATTCCAACTGTCAGGGGATCTTTTACGTGCACGAAAATGTATGCACGGGACATCTGTTTTTCGTACCATCCGCACAACAGACAGCTGTCCTTGTCAGACCCCCTGTCCTGTACCACTGACAACGGGATGCCACGACGTAAAATCCCGATGAACTTCTCGGCCTACACCGGGTTCGAGCCGGCTAGTGAGGCCTGCTATGTCTGAGGCAATTTCCGCCTGCTCTTAAAACGAATTCTAACGGTCAATGGATAATTTTAAGTGCACGCCAACAATATGACCTGGGTTTCTGGACAGTTTTCTTTGTCAAATCCATTAACATGCAACGGGAAACCGCACTAGGGAATTTTCTCGGCCAACACACTGCGATCGAACTTGTAACGTCCGAGTCATGGAACAGGCGCCTTATGCACCACAGGCCTAAAATAAGGTACAATTCTCGTAGTACGGAGGTGGAAAATTCGGAGCTGAAAAACGCCATTTGTGGACTATTCTGGCGCAGTTTACATAGGAGTTTATTTGGCTATGCGCAGCTTTTTATCGCATGAAAACTCAGCACTAGGAAGATAATACATCAATTCTATCATCACATCAACATCAAAATTCTATCAGTAACAAGGGTAGAAAAAAAAATCTGATTATTGTCTTTAAAGTCTCTCTAGGGAGTGAATCCATTAGGGATCAGGAGTCATCGCTACTTTACACTTTTTCAGAGCACTACGCCATTTTGTTCAAAGCACGGTTTTCCTATTTTCGAAGCAAGGTTTTCTTATTTTCGAAGAACGGATTTTTCATTTCGAAGCATGTTCGTGTTCCAAGGCATGTGTTTTAGACCCTGGGCCACGATGGCTACCTCTACATAATAAATACAGTCGGCAATATAGCCGAGTCAGCGACACAAGAGTCACCCAGGGCCGTAACCTGAAATGAAATGAAATGAAATGAAATGAATTGAAGTCGACAATCTTTTCACAGGGGGGGGGGGGGGGTCGAAACTTTTTGAAGGGGACCCCCCCCCCCCTAGTTACGGGCCTGGAGTTACCGAACTTATATCACATATTACCATATCTTTGTTAATATTGAACGTAACTGAAACCAATCTTGGATTAATATTCCTGTTAGAAGTTTAATCTTTACAACCACCCGATTAGATTTTATTACATACTTCGAGAGGGTATTTGTTGAGTAATAAAACCTTCTAGTAGTTTATCGAGGGCTGGCCGTCCTTACCGCACGGTACAAATATTATTACCACTAGAAGCAACAAATTCCAGAACAAGCCAGAACTCATACCAAAATGGCCGCTTTATACAAATGAGTATTTAGGGGAATACTAACCCTAACCCTTTTTAAGAGAAGTAAAACCTAAATAAGACCCAAGTTCAGTCTTTTAAAAAGGGTTAGAGTTAGGGTTCGGGTTAGTTATCCCTAAAATTCTCATTTATATAAAGCGGCCATTTTGGACTCCGGAAGCACCCGAACCTCGATAAACTACTAGAAGGTTTTATTTGTACCGTGCGGTAAGGACGGCTAGCCCTCGATAAACTACTAGAAGGTTTTATTACTCAACAAATACCTTCTCGAAGTATGTAATAAAATCTAATCGGGTGTTACAACAAGGGTGTCAAACTAATTTCGATTCAGGGACCTCATGAACTGAAATATCAAGATAAAGATAATTTTATTCATTTATTTGACGTTTCCAGAGTGCCATGATATCATATTGAACACAACGTTGTCTTGTATTACATACTGGCAGATTATCGCCATTTCTGATACGTCTCTTTTTTTGTATTCCTGATTGTTTTTCAAATTTGAGTGAAGTCTGTGTCACTACAGACCCGGGACTGTACAGCGCAGTGGACGCTTACGGCTGGTCCCCGGATCCATCGATCACTTGATTTGATATTTGTTTATTTGGTGCAATGTCTATTTTCTGTCTTGTCCGCAGGTTTATCTTGTAGATTTTTGTTTTACGTGTAGAGCGGTCCTCCTACACTTACTATTAGATATCTATGACATACAGTACAGAATTCAGAGTTTTACTGAAACCGAAAAAACAAAATAATAAATGATTTCCACCGCTAGATTCTAAAAATTATCGACACGTCAGTTTGTTGAAATTTCTTCCACGGGCCACATTTAAACCGTTGGCGGGCGGGATCTGGTCCGCGGGCCGCATGTTTGAGCCCTGCTTTACAATATTGTAGAGTACAAGGGATTCCGGTATCACTCAAATCACACCCGAGACTTCATTCACAGTGGTCCCTATCAAAAATGGGGTGGGGGGGTAGCACGTGCTCGCTGTATCATTAAGTCTGTCATTGAGTCAACTGGCGTCGTTTCGATTCCCCGGTTGTACGTGACAAGGAGTAGGGTCGCCTGTCTAACCTCGTGGGTTTTCTCCGGGTCTTCCTGTTTCCTCCCACTGCTAAAGATCCCTTATGCGTAAGCGAATTATGGAATTAAAATTGAACCCAATGTTAGTCCCGAAATGGCCTAGTTTGTGTCGAGTGGACGTTAAACCCCATTTCTCTCTCTCCCTATCAAAAATTCCAAAATAGAAAAATTAAAATAAATAAAAAGAAATCCACATGAAATCTAAGATATAAAGACCCAAACATATGTCCAGATGCCACCAATGAAGTATTTTTTTAACGTAAATGGGAGAAAAGTATGTTTATTTATTCGAATACTGACTTGTTATTTTGATGGACGTCTGACCCGGCGTCTTACTAGCCTATTGTCCGGTGTTATGACAGGCGAGGAAAGTGAATGTTATTTATTCAAGGAAGTTAAGCCTGATGTCGTTTGGTTTATATCCGTTACTGGTCTAAACATATGCTACTGTCGTATTTATAGGTCAACTTATAACATTTATTGCCGCCTACCCTTCAACTGATGCGAACCACGGTGGCTAAGTGGGTGAGACGCTGGCTCACTAGCCTTGAGGTAGCGTGTTCGCTCCCTAAATTGGCCGAGAAAGTTCATCCAGATTTTCCGGCGTGGTTTCCCTTGTCAGTGATGCAGGAAGGATGGCCTGACAAGGACAGCTGTCTAGTCGTTCGGTTGCGCGAAAAACTGAGGTCCCGTGTACACATTGGAGTGCACGTAAAAGATCCCTTGGCAGTTGGAATTCGATATGAGAGTAGGTCATAGTGCCGCTACCCGAGCAAAATTTCCCTCATAGCACACTGTATGGCGTATGCCCGTTTTCATTAGCCCAGTCGGAGCAGTAGGAATTAAGTTAAACCCCAATTCATTTCCCTCAATTGATCCCGTTTGTCTGGCTATCTTTATCATTGACGTATCATTTTGAAATCACCAGGGTTACATGCCCCATTAAGGTTCTTCATCCGAGGGGAGAGGGAGAGGGTGGGGGTGGGAGAGGGGGGATTATCGCGCGCGTGTTGAATCAAATTAAGTCTGTCACTGGGTCAAGTGGCGTGGTTTCGATACCCCGCTTGTACGTGACAAAGAGAAGGATCGCCTGTCCAACCGCGTGGGTTTTCGCCGAGTCCTCCGGTTTCTCCCTACTACTAAAGATATCAACGGGTAAGCGAATTATTGAAATAAATCTAAACCATATGTTAGTCCCGAAATGACATAGTTTGTGTCGAGTTAAACACCCCCCCCCCCCTCTCCCCTCTCAGGACGACGATTTAAAATTGTGTAAAGAAAAGGTCCAAGGGATTTTCCAGCCTGGTCGCCCCAACCCTTTGTTGTGGGACAGAGACGCTGGTAAGCAACAAAACGTCTCTAGTGTTTCGGATGGTACAAAAAAAAGCGGTCCACCCGTATACTCACTGGCGTGTAAATAAAATAACCCTTGAAAGTTGGAATTCGCTGAGCGAGAATGCGACAATATCCCTCCTAACACGTACAATCATAGTCTCATAAGCTTAACATAATTCAGATAACGCTCCATTACCGAGCCAGCTAATTTTTTTTTTATGAAACCCTATCTCGCCTTTTATGTTTGTGTACAATAAAAGTGTTAATATATCCCATATAACTCCACCCTTTGGTACGCTACGCTGAAATGGGATACACGGTATATATAATACAAGATTATAAAATGATTGTTGTTAAGATTAGGTGGGAAATACACCGACCCTCCTTCTCTAAAAAGATGTGTTGACATAATCTAGTCGTAGACGGTCGTAAATTATGAGTGTAAGCTAAACCACGTGTAAACGCATTCCGCTACTGTTCTGTGTAGCTCAGTCGCCGCTCAGCTGGTATTAAAAGTTATTTCAGATAAAGTTTGGATGTGAAAGGAGTACGCTGTGGGGAAGACATTAAGGCAGACCGAATACATACTAACACTCACAGAGCATTCGTAGCATATTGGCGTGTCTTGCGCTCAGAGGAATAGTGCCTCGAGATTCGAAGGCACACTTTTTGTCCACGGACTAAGACCTCTGTGAGGATTTGCCTTGCCGGATCGGATCAGTGAAGGAAGACAGTTTTTCGGAAACATTGGATTGACAAGATCGCGTGTTATTGTGTGACCAAATATATTGTGATTTATTTTTTTACATTCCCCAAAAGACTGAACCAGAACTTATCTAGACGACTAGACATCATCACGTAGAAATAATTCTCATAAATTGTTTGTTGCAATTCACAGTTGGCTTCAATTCATCATTAGGAAACCTGCATATAGTGTAGTCTTTAAGAGGCCACTCGGTAGTTGGAGCTCAGATTACCCAACCTCACTTCCTACTAGACCAATTAACTTAAATATGGAGTAGAAACCAATTTGTGTTAAATGATAAGCATTTATTTATCTTTATTTTTATGTGTTATATAGCAGATTTGTGATATTCGATTTCCGAAAATGCTTATTTTTGGAAATAAAAATGTGTTGTTAAGTTTGTGTATATTTGGGTTTGGTATTATTTTATTTTCGGACGGAGCTAGGAGAAGAACCAATCGACATAGATCTCTTCAAAGCGACGAACCAAGAGGGTATGTTACAATTAGATAACTTAAACACATATTATGCAAGAGCCAAATCTGTCTATTGCAGGTCTTTCTTATTAGAGGCCTGAAATGTTATCTAAATTATTAATTAGACATTGATTAACTTATCCAGGCCATAATCAACTCTCGATGTCATTGCTAGCCTGTGATATTTAACGGATTGGAATACATATTTTAAAAAATAATCAAACGTAAAACTGGATTATCGAGACTTTGTTTTTTATCGTACAGACTTTAGTAATAATGATCGAGGCTAGGCTTAAAATTCAAAAGCTAATATCTCGATTCAGAGTGGAGAAATTTGACTAAAATTTTCAACATATTCTATTTATGTTATCTATGTTTTAACTATTATAGCGAGAACTGTCAACTCCTTATCTAATCTCCCATAATTGTTTTTAGAGAGAGGGAGACCTTGTGATACAGCGCGCATGTGCTAACCATTCGGCCATCCAACCCCACGATTTGTTTTAAGACTAACAATATAAAAGCCATAGCACACTTCATAGAATTCTTCCCGTGGGTGTATTTTAATATTAATAATCTTTTTATACAGCTCTCTCTCTCTCCCCCTCTCTCTCTCTCTCTCTCTCTCTCTCTCCCTGATAACAAGGTTATTGACATGTATATAAATGTTTATATTATACACAATGTCCACCCGTGTCCGACATGCCATGCCTGTGGTGATATCAAATACTGATTTTGCTATTCCAGCAATTTACTCGGTCAATCCAAATTATACTTTCTTGTGTTTTGGTTTTAAATATTAGTAGATTTCAATGAATTAATATTAGTAAAAATTACATAGCAGACATTAAACTGATACAATTCCACAAGTTTGAATTGACACCGTATAAGGGATAGTAAAAAATTAGTTTGGGGAGGTCTTCCAACTACCCAGATTCTAATGTTCGACTATTTTGTGTGACATTGAACAACAATGGATTCTGAACAGTAACATTGGCATTAGGAAACCCCCGATTAGCTTTCATAAAATGAAATGGGGTTTAGCGTTCGACTGTTCTGCTTCGACTGTTCTCGCATGAAAATTGGGATTAATTTTCAACCGCCATTAGTTATTCACACGCTTAAAATTTCACCCTTCACCTTCCATTTTGTGAACCCGCCACGACCTTTCTCTCAAACAGAGAAATTCTTTTAAAAAATTGAAAATTCCTCGTAAAGTTAAAAAAGTAAGTTTATTTTGTCAAGCACTTGTTGGTCGGATATGGTATTTAAACCCGGGGCTTGTAGGATATGTAGATAACGCCCTTAAGATTTCATTCCGTAGAAACGTTCTCGAAGAAATGTTTAAACGACAGTAAACAATCTCCCCACTGCCTAAGTTTTACATATTATATTTCACAGTTGGGGTAATAACCACAAAAAATAATAACTTTATCGTTTTAAGAAACATTAGATGTTTCGATTCTCACACGATATGTCTTTAAGTCCTCGTGCATATTTAAACATACATTATTCAAGAGCTAAATCTGTATATTGCAGGTCTTTCTTTAGGCCTGAATTGTTATATAAAGTATTAAAAATACTTTATGCAAGAGCTACATCTGCCTATTGCAGGTCTTTCGTTAGGCCTGAAATGTTATCTAAATTAGGCTATTAACTAGACATTAATTAACTTATCCAGACCATAATCAACGTTCGGTGTCATCACTAGCCTGCGATGTTTACTGGATTTGAATCCGATCTGCTGCTCCCCACTCATTGATGGTTAAATAAAAAAATTGGATAATCGAGACTACGTTTTTTTATCCTACCGACTTTAGTAATGATGATCGAGACTAGGCCCAAAATTCAGTCGCTTATATCTCAGTTCAGAGTGGAACAATGTGACTGAAATTTTCAGCATATTCCCTTTACAATATCCAATTCGTCACTATTAAAGTGAGAACTGCCAGCTCTTTATCTATTCTTCCATAATACATCTTTAATGTTTCATAGCTGTGGTAATACCTACAACAAGAATGCTAACTTTGCCGTCTTTAAACCCGTATGGTAGTTGGCTATAATATTTACAAAAATAAAAACCTGCTAACTCTACCTTTCCACTTTTCAATGATGCAGGACGGGGGTTCTGACAAGGACAGCTGTCTAGTCGTTCGTTTGGGACAAAAAACCGAGGTCCCGTGTACATATTGGCGTGCACGTAAAAGATACCTTGGCAGTTTTAATTCGATATAACAGTAGGCCGTGGCGCCGCTGTCCGGGCAAAATTTTCCTCATAGCACACTGTATGACGTATGCCTGTCTTCATTAGCCCAGGTTAGGAGCAGAACAGTAGGACGTTAAACTCCATTTCATTTCATGCTAACTCTACCATTTAAAGACACATATCCCAATTGGGGGGTTGGATGGTCGAATGGTCAACACGTGCGCGCTGTATCACAAGTTATGTCATTGAGTCAACTGGCGTGGTTTCGTTGGTTTTCTCCGGGTTCCCCGGTTTCCTCCCAGTGCTAAAGACCCCTCCGGGCAATTATTGAAATAAAATTGAACCAGGTGTTAGTCCCGAAATGACCTAGTTTGTGTCGAGTTGACGTTAAACCCCATCTCTCTCTCTCTCTCTCTCTCTCTCTCTCTCTCTCCATATAACAATTATCATACTCTCTGTTTTTAAACCCTAACACTTGATGCATACTCAAAGGAGGCAAGTCCCTTAATCAGTATCATCCACAGTGTTCGATATTGCAAACACGAATTATTGATCAATTTAAATCAACATTAATGTTGCTATCTTGTGAAAAGATTGGATTCGGATATCTAATATTAAGACAGTGATGATTTGAAAATTGGCGGACTGGTCGCGTGCCAGAATACTTTTGGGCACCATTTGTAATGAATCAACTCGATGAACGAAGCTAAACATATCCCACAGGAGAATACTACTGATATAGACTGGAATAACCCGACGCCAAAGCATAATTGATTAAAATTAGAGTAAAATCAGAAACAAGTAAATGTAAATCAGTTAATGTACTTTCATATTACATTATTATATGCTTTGCGACCAATTTGCGTCCATTTCTATGTGCCAATGAATAGCGATTTAGCTCCTTTAATGACTGTTGAAAAAATGCTTATTTGTTGTGGTAATACCCACAGAACATGACAACTTTACCATTTCAAGATACATTTGATATCGCAATTCTCACACTCTTCTGTCTTTAAACCCCAAGACTTCCTGCATACTTATGATAGATGTTTCTGGTGACATATATACATCCTTTAGTGTCAGTTTAAAGATGGCGGTAGCTATATTTTATTCAGGCTTGAGCAAATCTGAAGAATGAGTTTAGTTACTGTTGTGCGAATTATATGATATAATGCACGTTTTACTGGTAATAAATACCCCAGAAACTCAAAAAATGATTTTCCACGATCATGCAAGGGTACTTAATTATGCATTATGCAAGAGTTAAATTTTCCTATTGCAGGTCTTTCTTTAGGCATGAAATTTTATATAAACTATTAATAATACATTAATTAACTTGTCAAGACCATAATTAACTCTCGATGTCATCGCTAGCCTGCGATATTTACTGGATTTGAATACATTTTGTGATGGATGATTTAACGTACAAATGGATAATCGAGACTTAACTGTCAGCTCTTTCTCAATTTTACCTAATGCTCCTTTAAAGCTCCAGAAAATAAATAATATCTCTATCTAAGTACTAGATGTTTAAGTGTCCTACCTGTTGTGTAAATTATCCATTACATCCTATTTTACTTGTCCAGAGAGTTCGAAAATATTTTTAAATCAAAGTTTCATTTGAAAAGGTTTACTTTAGACTTTTCAAACCATTATGTTGAATTTTTCAAAATTTTTAAATAAGGTGTGTTAAGATACGAAAAATTATTTTAAAAAAGCACCCTTTTCATAAGGCTATAAGTTGAAATTTGTACTAGGAACAGGCCATAGCCTTAAACTATGTTATACCTTTACTCCCTTAGAATATTTCAAGATTTCATAAATAAAATTCCGGGCTGAGTATGATTGATACTATTTGGTAATGAATAAGGCGTCTGACTGTGTATGATTGATACTATTTGGTAATCAATAAGGCGTCTGACTGTGTATGATTGATACCATTTGGAATGAATAAGGTTTCTGACTGTGTATGATTGATACTATTTGGTAATGAGTAAGGTTTCTGACTGTGTATGATTGATACTATTTGGTAATGAATAAGGTTTCTGACTGTGTATGCTTGATACTATTTGGTAATGAATAAGGTTTCTGACTGTGTATGATTGATACTATTTGGTAATGAATAAGGTTTCTGACTGTGTATGATTGATACTATTTGGTAATGAATAAGGTTTCTGACTGTGTATGATTGATACTATTTGGTAATGAATAAGGTTTCTGACTGTGTATGATTGATACTATTTGGTAATGAATAAGGTTTTTGACTGTGTATGATTGATACTATTTGGTAATGAATAAGGTTTTTGACTGTGTATGATTGATACCATTTGGTAATGAATAAGGCTTCCGACTGTATATGATAGCTAGGCGAACGAGTGATCTACACTTTAGATCATGAGCTTTGCTATGGATTCACCAGTAGTGAACTCGATCCCAAATGAATAAATAAATAAATAAATAAATAAATAAATAAATAAATAAATAAATTATCACAATAAGTAAAAAGATAAATTAAGATATTATATTATATTATATTATGTATAAATTAAAAAGGGAACAAGGAATGGGAAAAAAACGCAAAACTACTTTGCAATGTGCACTAGTGAACTTGATCCCAAATAAATAAATAAATAAATAAATTTAATTTAATATCACAATAAGTAGAAAGATAAATCAAAATTTCATATGATATAGCCTAGAAATTAAGAAGGGAAAAAAGAATGGGAAAAAAACGCGCAAACCTACTTTATAAAGTGCACTAGTTATCCCTTCCTGTAGAATTAACAATACGAGAAATAAAAGGTGAGGTCATCAATGTCAACTAGACTGTGATTGTATACAGACTGTGAGAAATAGTTTGTTAATAATTACAATATGGTGGAGTATTAATTGCATCTGGTTTGTTTAAAACTTCCATGCAAAGATCACAGTTGGTCACCGTAAGATATAATTGAATTCTCCACGCCCTTATACTCAAATATCAAACGGGTTCACGCCATCATTAAAATATTTGGGAGGAAATTCTACGATTTGTTACTTTCACAAGGAGCCGCGGTGGCTCAGTGAGTAAGATGTTGGCTTGTTAACCTAGAGGTCACTACGTTGATTGAGAAAGGGCCTGGCAAGGACAACCGTCTAGTCGTTCGGATGGGACGAAACACCAAGATCCATTGTACACTTTGGGGTGCACGTAAAAGAACCCTTGGCAGTTTGAATGCGAAATAATAGTAGGCCGTAATGCTGCTGTCCGGGCAAAAAGTTGCCTCATAGCACACTGTATGACATATACCCGTCTTTATTAGCCCAGTCGGCTATGGACACGGGGTCTCGGCGAGTAAGGCACGGTCGTGGTACCCAATCCCGTGTTTTCTCAGATTGTACCACTGGGTTTCCGCTTGTCAATATCTCGAAAACGCCTCAACGGCGGACTGATTACCACTCGGCATCGTATTCTACGCAAAATTTTTCTCTAGAAAAGTTGGGTCTGGTTTTGTGCCCATTTGATGGACCCTTCCCCCTCCCCCCCCCCGCCCCGAGCTGAGCCTCCAGACTATATCCCGGACCGCCTGTTGGGTGACCTACCGATCCACTAAGTCTAACGAACTTGTTATACAAACACATTATAATATTTGTAAGTTACGTATACTATATATTTGTTGATACATTTGTTTAAAACGGTGGAATGTTTACACATAATTATGCAACTATAGCAAAACTCGAACAAAAGCATAAATCCCAAAATACAAAAAAAAACAACATTGACACGAAAGTTTTATTGTTAAATAATTTTAACTATGTGTCACACATGAATGTGGTTGTTTGCTCTGCATTCCTTGCATTATTTACGACAACAGCTTTGAAATTGAAATGAAATGAAATGGTGTTTAATGTTCTACTGTTCTGTAACAACCGGGAAATGTGAATTAGCATACACCATACAGTGGGTTATGAGGGGAATTTTTGACCAGACAGTGGCGCTACAGCCTTCTCTTATATCGAATACCAACTGCTTAGGGTTCTTTTACGTGCACATCAATATGTACACTGGATCTTGGTTTTTCGTACCATCCGAATGACTATACCTTGATCCCTACCAAGTCGCCTCTCCTGCACCACTGACAAGTGGGAAACACGCCGGAAATCCCGATGAACTATCTCTGTCAACACCGGAATCGAGCACGGGACCTCCACGTTAGCGAACCAGCGTCTTACTCACTGAGCCACCGCGGCACCCAGCTTCGCAATTCAAGGTCTTTTTAATTAAATATGCATTTTGTAAGAGCCAATCCTGCCTATTACAGGTTTTTATTTTTGCTTCAAATGTTATATAAACTATTATTGAGACATTTATTCACACGACAAGTCTATAATCAACTCTCTAGACCATCGGATGACACAGATGTAAACGGATTAAAATACGATCGCCATTTAATGATTTAATTTAAAAATGGAGAATCAAGACCGAGTCTCGATTGACAAGTAACGTTGTTATGATGATAAACAATCTATGTCAAAACTTCAAACCATGATAACATCACTCAAACATAAAGTAATTTGAATGAAATTTTCAATACGTGCACATTAATTTTGAATTATGTTTTTTTGAAACTATTATAGCAAGAACATCTCTTTATCTAAATCGTACATACTGTATCTTTAATGTTATTTTATTTTCAGTCCAAATGTTTGCGGTCAAAGATTTCGTCGGTTTTGTTGTGCTGGATGGATGAGACCTAAACGAGGGCGACACTGCAATATACGTAAGTTGTTTCTGTCACTCCATCATCTGATCACAGCCAGGACCGAATTCATGCTGGGCATTACCGGGCTTCCATTATAAAAAAAACCTGTAACAATTAGAATTACTTTTATTACGAAATACCCCCCCCCCAAAAAAAAAAAGAACTAAAAAATCCATACCTTATCTGATAACCAGGCCCCGCGTTTACAAAGCATTCTCAGACTTAAGTTAAGAATTTACTCAAAATTGTTTGCACTATTTTAACTAAAATATAGCCCTTTATAAAACTGGTATTGTTTTAATGTATCAAATACATCAATAAGAAACAATATGTAAAGTTTTGTGTTTCTGGATCAAAGATATTTCTCATAAACAGTGATTGAAAGTTGAGTAAATTCTTAACTTGAGTCTGAGAATGCTTTGTGAACTTGGGGCCAGTAATTTATGTCACTTTTAGAATTTACATTTTGAAAAATGTTGTAAAAATTATAGTTACAGTCAATATCATTGAGAAGACTAAATTAGAACCTACCGTATATTTATAATTGTGTCATGTTTTATTCTCCTTCAGTTACTAAATGCAGTTTAAACAATTTAATGTATGTTTATCATTCATTTTAGATCATTTGTTTAGTTGTCATGGTATTTATATCATGATTAGGGTTCGCAAACCTGAACTGCCCAAGGGCTCCGATCCTGAAGTTCTAAATTCCCAACTAGAAATATCGGAAATATTTAGTAAATTTAATGAGCAGTAAAGTGGCTTTTAAGAAACCGACTGTAATCACTTGTAGAAAACGACTTGTCAGAGGGCTTAGTCAAACTTAGTGCACGCCATGTGTGGACGCGTGTTTATTTGAAACAGACGCGACAACCATTGACTGACTCATGATAAATTACAAATGAAATGAAAAAGGGTTTAACATCCTACTGGGCTAAAAAAGACGGACAGTGTGCTGTGAGGGATATTGTTCCCGGACAGAGGCGCTACGATCTACTTTTGAATTCCAACTGTCAAAGGTTTTTCGTCTCATTCGAACGACTAGACAATGTTCCTTGTCAGGCCCTCCGTCCTGAACCACTGACAAGGGGAAACCACATTGGACAAACGTGAGGAAATTTCGCGGCCAACATCGGGAGCAAACTAGGTACATCATTGCTAGCGAGCCACGTACTTACTCACTGGGTCTGTCATTGAGTCAACTGTCGGGGTTTCGATTCCCCGGTTGTACGTGACAAGGAGTAGGGTCGCCTGTCCAACCTCGTGGGTTTTCACCGGGTCCTCCGGTTTCCTCCCACTGATAAAGACCCCTACGCGCAAGCGAATTATTGAAATAAAATTGAACCATGTGTTAGTCCCGAAATGACCTACTTTGTGTCGAGTGGACATTAAACCCCATTCTCTCTCTCTCCCTTAGTCACTGAGTCACCACGGCTCTCGATACATTTAAAGTCAATTGAATTGCTGTCATACATACATTACCGGCTCAACAATTGGTACAGGACTAAGGGCAAAAACAAGCGAGATCCCTTGAACACGTTGGTGTGCACATAAATAAAAACCATGACTACTGAAATTCGAAATACGAGTAGGCCGTATAGCGCCGATGTTCGGGTTAACATTCCCCATATACTGCGTGACGTATGCATGTGTTCATTAGCCCAGTTTGTGCTGAAAGGTGTGAAATGAAATGGGGTTCACCGTTCTACTGTTCTGCTCCTATACTGGGCTAATGAAGACGGGCGTACGCCATACAGTGTGCTATGAGGGAAATTTTGCCCAGGCAGCGGCACTATCGCCTACTCTTATATCGAATTCCAACTGTCAAGGGATCTTTTACGTGCATTCCAATGTAAACACGGGACCTCGGTTTTTCGTCTCATCCGAAGGACTAGACAGCTGTCCTTGTCAGGCCTGAAAGGTGTGAAGTTAAACCCATTCTAATATAGTGGCGTGGTGCAAGGCTACATTTTAAGCCCTATTCCATTAGTATGATGCATTAATAAAATGATTGTGATTATCCCCATCCTAGCTTATCCAAAGAAGTTAAACACAATCTAATTCCATCTCTAAGTAATAGTGGCGTGCTGCAAGGCTACATTTTATGCCCTATTCAATCAATATGACGCATTAATATATGATTGTGGTTCTTAAATATAATATGGTATCAATATATCACTCCAGCCTAGCTTATCCAAGCAATATACATTCACTGTAAATTTAATTTATTTTTAAAACAATATTATAACATTCACAAAGTACCCGCAAATTGTGTAGAATTTAGGAAATGTATACTTTAAGAGAAGCCATACGGTGACCAGCTGGCACACGACGATAAAACCCATTCTTGCAATGTAAACGATATTTGGCATATTTCTTTTAACCCCTTTTAAATCTGATACAATTATGTAAAGAATCCGATCATTCTGTACAAGGTTACATAATACGAAACCGTGTCATCTTTAAGATAAATAATTCATGTTTTATTTCATTTTCTAGATTTTTATTTATTTATTTTATTTAAGCACAAACTATCCGGCTGTTGATTCTACTAGCTAATTCATATTTTATTTAAGCACAAACTGTCCAGCTGTTGATTCTATTAGCTAATTCATATTTCATTCGAGATCTTTTGTTTTTATTTTATTTATTTAGAACACAAATTATTAGACAATTGATTCCGTTATATCTATTTGACTTTCGAGATCTTATTTTTTTGATTCTTTTAGTCAATTCGTATGTATTTGATTTTCGATCCCTGCATTGGCCGAAAAGTTCATCGGGATTTTGAGGCGTGGTTTCCACCTTGTCAGTGGTGCAGGATGGGGGGGGGGGCTGACAAGGACAGCTGTCTAGTCGTTCGGATGGTACGAAAAAACGAGGTCCCGTGTATACATTGGTATGCACGTAAAAGATACCTTGGCAATTTTAATTCGATATGTGTAGGCCATAGTGTCGCTGCCTGGGAAACATTTCTCTAATAGCACACTGTATATAGTCTTGTACAATTTGGCGTGCGCGTAAAAGAACCTTTTTACAGTTGGAATTCGAAATAAGAGTAGGCCGTAATGGAGTTGTTCGGGTCAAATGTTCCTCTTAGCACACTGTATGGCGTATGCTCGTCTTCATTAGCCCAGTCGGAGCAGAACAGTAAGACGTTAAACCCAATTTCATTTTAATTTCTGTTGTTATTTTATTTATTTAGAATAAAACTATTCGAGCAGCTAATTCATATGTTATTGCATTTTCAACATTTTGTTATTATATACAATCTAGGCTACTGGGCATTTGATTCTTTTAGCTGATTCATATTTTATTTCGATTCTCGAGATCTATGTTTACTTTTATTAAAGCACAACCTATTGGACATTCGATTATAGAAGAAGAAGAAGAAACTTTATTGCATAAAAAAACCTTACAAGGTTATGTGTATATACAAATAAAATAATAGAAATATACATGAAACAAACAAAGGATACATACATGGACATAATTATACAAAGATACACAACTTTACAAAGACATGAACAAATTGTATACAAAAGCTCCTAAACATTTTAAAATTTCTATATTTGTATTCATCATCAGTATTTTATTTGATTTACAAAATCTTATGTTATTGTATTATTTTATAACACACAAACTATTAGATATTTGAATCCATTAGCCAATTTAGTTTTTTGTTATTTTTATTTTATTTAAGCACAAACTTTTTAATATTCGAATCTATCAGCTAAATTTTGTACTATTTGATTTTCAAAATCGTTTGTTATTTTATTATTTTTTAACACACAAACTATCTGATATTTGATCCCATTAGCCAGTTTATATTTTTGTTATTTTATTTTATTTTACATTTGTTTCTACTAGCTAAATGTACCGGTGGCTGTAATGGAGGACGATGTATGAAACCCAATCTATGTTTTTGTCCCAATCGACAACTTGGCCGCACCTGCAATACTCAAGAATCCAAGGGTAATAAAATTTAAACGTTTTTATGGGTTCATTGTACGCAGCATGATTAACACAATAATATGCGTATAGTTTAATATTAGGTTTATGACATAGATCCAACTCAAGTTTAAAAAGATTGAAAAATGCTTTAAGTGGGCTATTCCATATTACATGGTGTATTCGTTATTTGATATTATTTTCGTGTGGAATTCAAACTCAAATACTTGAAGACATGGTCTAGTTAAAAGTTTCGTAGTCCTATTGGCTTGGAGATAGAGGCGACTTTTCAAACCTCATGGGTTTACTCCAGGCACTCCGGTTATAAGACAATTTGCCTGCGATATCATCTTCGGTGAAGCGGAAGTTAAACCCTGAGAACAACATGTCCAGTTGTCAGAGTGACTTGATGACCATGACGATCAATTGTCACCAACGTATGTTAACTTGATTATCCAGTCGCTTGATTTTGGAGGTGTCGCAGAGTCAGGGTGGAAATATTAAAACTATGTACTTCTTTATAATTATACCCCGAATTAACCAATTTTATTCACTAAATATATATCGGGAGCTAGAAATTCAGTCTACTAAACAATGGAAAACATTACAAACAAGAAGGGCCTACTTAAGTTTTTAAATGACCGAACGCACAGAGATCTCTAGCCCTGGGGAAAACCGATGAACATCCACGGTATTAGACAGGTGAATCTGTTACCTCGGTTACATACCTTATGATCTGAAACACATGGGTTAAACCAGTTGACTGACTACCCCAACCAGTATCAAAGGTTTCTACAACCACTTACTCGTAATTGCTCGAAGAAAATTATTATTCTATAATTTTGTACAAATTTTAAAAGGGAAAATATGAAAGCAAACATAAATATTATTTTAAATAAGATTTCGTTTTTTTGAGGTCGTTACCAAATGGTTAACTTAAATGTGTCTGTTTGAATACTATTCTTGTCTTTTAAAGCCGTGTGTCGTCAGGGTTGTGAAAATGGCGGAAGATGTGTGGGACCTGATCGATGTGCCTGTCCTTATGGATTTGCAGGTCAAAGGTGTGAACAAGGTAAATTAATGTCCTTAAGACACGTGTTAGAAAATAGGTCAAGTTAAAGATAAATTGACTGTCGTGAATTTAAAGATACATTATGGGAGATTAGATAAAGAGCTAACAGTTCTCGCTATAAAAGTTAAAAACTAGATAATGTAAAGACAATTTGCTGAAAATTTCAGTCAAATTGATCCACTCTAAACCGAGATTTTAGCGATTGAATTTTCGGCATAGCCTCGATCATCATTACTAAAGTTGGTACAATAAAAAAATTGTCTCGATTATCCATTTCATGATTAAATTAAGAATGAAAGTGGAGCAGCAAATGGTATCCAAATCCAGTAAACATGACAGGCTAGCGTTGGCATCGAGAGTTGATAATGATCTGGATGAGTTAATTAATGTCTAATTAATAATTTAGATAACATTTCAGGCCTAAATAAAGACCTACAATTGTCAGATTTATCTCTTGCATAATGTATGTTTAATGTTTGTTACAGAAGAATGTTGTTCTCTTTTTTTGGAAGATATATTTTATTCACATAAAAGAATGGGAAAATAGGGAAACAGACAGACTGGCCTATATGTCAGAACAATAGGACGTTCAGTTCGTTCCACTTATCTAAAGCAGACAGACAACGTTATCTCTTTTTTTACTGCACAATCTGCGTCAATGCACACTAAAATGGAGTAAGCCCGGATTTAGCAAAATAGTAGGATCTTAAACCCATTTATTTTAAATCTTTTTTTTAAATGATAAACCACTTCGTCTTTGTCGCATTCTCATGTCTCGAAGTATAAGACATCTTGTAATTGGTTTACCTAAATATGCTGACTCGTCTAATATCTTATGTAATAATTTCTCTTATCAGCAGAATATGTAGCTATTTTAATTGTGGGGTTTGTCGCTTTGATATAGTTTATAATGTCTTACAGATTCGGATATTTCGGGGTAAGGTTGCACTTCAAAGCGTAAAGAAGCCGTGATAAATAATTCATGGACTGTGTGTACCATACATTTGATATAACCATTACTAATTAGGCATAACCCAAATATAATGGAGAGAGAGAGAGAGAGAGAGAGAGAGAGTAACGTCCACTCGACACAAACTAGGTCATTTCGGGACTAACATGTGGTTCAATTATATTTCAATAATTCGCTTGCGCGTGGTGGCCTTAGCAATGGGAGGAAACCGGACGACCTGGAGAAAACCCATGAGGTTGGCATGCGATCGTTTTTCTTGTCACGTACAAGCGGGGAATCGAAACCGGGCCACTTGATTCAATGACAAACCTTATGATGTAGGGGAGGGGGGGTGGATGGCTGAATGGTTAGCGTGCGCGCGCTGTATCATAAAGTCTGTCATTGAGTCGACTGGCGTGGTTTCGAATCCCCAGTTGTACGTGACAAGGAGTAGGTCGCCTGTCCAACCTCGTGGGTTTTCTCCGGGTCATCCGGTTTCCTCCCACTGCTAAAGACCCCTACGCGCAAGCGAATTATTCAAATAAAATTAAAAACCATTATGTTAGTCCTGAAATGACCTAGTTTGTGTCGAGTGGACGTTAAACCCCATTTCTCTCTCTCTCTCTTATGATGTAGGCCTCGCGCGTTAAAATGTTGGAGATTGTGTGTACCATTCAGTGTGAATTAAATATAATAATTATTTCTAGAAAATGGTTATTATAATGTAAACCTAATAAAGAGAATTTCTCTACAACTTCTTAAGTGGTCATGAATGATTAGAAAAGTTTTCTAAATTTCATGGGTTCTCTACTGTTACAGCGTTTATTCATAAATTGTTTGAACGAACGGAATGACTATAACCTTTTTATAATTCTGGCAACTTAATTGGAATTAAAGTATATGAACTTATTTTTTCAGTAAACCTATTATTAGTTTTAATTAGATATTAATCCGTTACTATTACTGTTAGTTATTAATTTCAATACGTCGTTGATGGCTCGGCCCCTATCGGATCAGTATGTCTTCGTGTCGTGCATTCATACTGGCGAAAGCCACTTTTAAGGCATATTATTAATGATACATTATGCAAGAGCTAAATCTGCCTATTGCAGGTCTTTCTTTAGGCCTGAAATAAATGTTTTCTAAATTATTAATTAGCCATCAATTAACATATCCAGAATATAATCAACTCTCGATGTCATCGTTAGCTTGCGATATTTAGCGGATTGGAATACATTTTTTGAAAAACAATAAAACGTAAACGTGGATAATCGAGACTTTCTTTTTTTATCGTAATGATGACCGAGGCTAGCCTAAAATTCAAAAGTTAATATTTCGATTCAGAGTGGAGCAATTTGAGTGAAATTTTCAGCATATTCTACTTTCGCTATCTATTTTTTCAACTACACGTATCATAGCGAAAACTGTCAACTCTTTATCTAATCTTCCAGAATGACCTTTTAATGATTATGTAATTTTATCGATATTATTATGATGAATCAGCTGCATATGAAAGCCAGGATGTTGAAAAACAAACTTGAATCGATTATATAACCCTTCCTGTGACCTTTCCCATAATTTCAGGGTTATATGATAGTTTATTAAATGATCAGTTCATCCTGAGCTCAAATTATGATTAATGAGAGTATTCTATAAAAAAGGTTCGTGATAAGTCGGTCAGATACTAGCCCTAAATTTACACAGATAAAGCCCTTAAATCCACCCTTCATAGCTATTTGTAATTATTTCTAGCATATTAAGTACGCATGGTGATAAAATAGGGGGGAAACCCCGCGTGGCCAACAATAGGTATGGATTACCTTTAAGAGAGAAGTCAACAAATTGTGTATCGTTTGATAACACGTGATGAATTAGTTTAGAAATTCGATTTGCCGTGACAGGAGGCATGCATGACCGATATATTAATAAATGTTTCACGAATTTGATACTATATTAAATCAGCGATATTGTTATGAATTTGTAAAAACTAACCAGCAAAAATTGTTATAAATTGATAAAAACCTAACCACGTGCAGTCTTTGTTAAAGTGTCCATATTCTTATTTAATTTATAAAAAACCTAATAAGATATATGTCATAATATTGTTACCACAGCGAAGATATAAACATTGTGAACTTCATGTCCCTCATAAAGGCCTATAAATAAAGCACTCCGAAACGTTATATAGAAATTGTCTGCGATATCATCTCGGTGGAAGCGGACGTAAAATACAACTAACTCATACACACACTTTAGAAATCTAGTGATTACTTATTAAATATATTCGGCGAAGTGTCAAGGGGTCTATTTGTGAAATACACTTTATTTCAGTTCTGAAATCTCCTAATTAATATGCACATCTATGTCTAAGGTGTGTATCTCTACGCCAATTATACTTATTATGGGTATCATGTGTCCAAATGTTGTATCTTGATTTGCGGAAATTTTGAAATGCAAAAGGTTCTATTTCTTAATCTTTTTTTCAAAGAACAAACGTTCTATTTTCTTAATCTTTTTTTCAAAGAACAAACGGAAACACAGTTAAAGATACATTATGTAAGATTTAGATAAAGAGCTAACCATTCTTGTTATAATAGGTCAAACATATATAATGTAAAATGAATAATTTGAAAATTTCATTCAAATTACTCTATTGTGACTGAAGATATTAGCCTTTGATGGTTTGTCAAGACGTGTGCAATAATTTCAACCACCGTACTGGTTGTTCGAAGCTAAGTCTCGCTGCTCCATTTTTAGCTTAAATCAAAATTTGGCTGAACTGTTCTAATCTGTTTAATATCGGAGAAATCCGATGCCATCGAGAGTTGATCATGGCCTGGATACGTTTATTAATGTTTAATGAATAATTTAGAAAACATTTCAAGCCTAAAGAAAGACCTGCAATAGGCAGATTTACCTCTTGCATAATGTATGTTTTATATGATTATTACAATGACATCATTATTAATGTGACGTCACAATGTATTTTAAATGAATATTTACGAGTATATGGAAGACTAAACAGCTCTTTATTCAGTGTTCTTAATTCTTAGTTTTTAAATCATAGTCCTTATATATATATATATATATATATATATATATATATATATATATATATATATATATATATATATATATATATATTGGTAGATTTCTATACCTATTAACGAATGTCGATTTATTATAAATAATATGATGACACTATTCTCTATTCTCAGATTATCGCACGGGACCATGTTTCACACAGATCTCCGACAATATGTGTCGAGGCCAGTTAACTGGTGTCGTGTGTACCAAGATCCTCTGCTGTTCAACGATTGGTATGGCGTGGGGACAGCCTTGTGAACAATGTCCAGCTCAACGTCACCCGTGTAGACGGGGCTACATTCCAAACCCTGAAACCAACACATGTCAAGGTACGTGCACCATTTAAATTATGATATCAGTCAACCATTAATCAGTCAACACAGAAGTTGTTTAACTAAAGCGCTTTAAAGTCAATCTGATTAAAACACAGATCCTATTTCGTTTCGTTTTGTTTTCTTATACCTTCGATGGCCTACACTGCTAGTGTAATAAAGACAAGTAAAACGAAATTTTGAACTATAAAAACGAAACGAAATAGGATCTGTGTTTTAACCAGATTGCTTTAAAGTTCATGTGGATTCTTTCAGTGTTTGTTTTTAATCAAATATTTAATCTCTGTAATCAATATTCGATCTGGATATCACTAGAGTTAAAATGGCCATTGTATAGAAATCTTGTAAAACAATTGTGGACGCTTACGGCTAGCCCCCGGATCTATTCACTTGTTTTGAATTGTTTGTCTGTTTGTGTTTTTTTCTGAGTATGATGTTTTGTCCTTGTATTTGTTTTTGAGGAAATTTTGTGTGGTGCAGCCCCCCTGCACTAACTATTAAGGATGTGATCTTCATTTAAATATTTGGGACAATATCTAACGTCACATGTCTGTTTTCATTACTCTGAAATCTACTCTGAAATCTAATCTGATTATTTAACATTTAATTTAGAAGACAAAACAATTTAGGAACAATACATAATCCAGCGGATTGGATTAAAATCGAATCAAACGATTTTACCGAAACCATGCAAGGTTCTGCTGGCGCTTTTGTAGGGGGCTGATGATGTTAAATGGTGACAATTTTAAATTAATCTTATCCTTGTTTGTGCTGAACGGAACTGAATAATAATTAGACTGATATTCTTTTTAGAAAATCCACTTCATTTTACAAGATATTCAAAATCTCACAATGATGACCACTGGCTTTAAAGTATCTGTCCGTGCTTTCAGGTGCCATTATGTTGTATGTGAAGGCCATGCATTATGAAACCAACTGCTAGTCGGTTAGGTCTATTTAATAAGGTCAACTTCAAGTTTGGGCAAAGGTCACGAGATGTAAACAGGGCTAGCGCTAATCCCAACCCTAACCCTAGACCTACCCTAACCTACAATCTCGCCACCAATCACGTGGCCTAATCTGATTTACATCTCAGCGACCTTGACGAAAATTGAGCTGGCCTTAACAAATAGATTTAGCCGTACTAGTGCCGTATTTACCTATAGGCATGTTAGGCTTAAGCCTAGGTCCTCAAGATGAAAGAGGTATCTGGGCAAGGTGTATAATATTTTTGACACTGTCAGAAGCCTTTCTTATACGCACAGTAGTCTCAAACTTCCGACATCATTCTCGTCTCTGCTCAATTGTGTTTAAAACATCGGGGAATGGGAGGGGCCTAAGGCCTTTCTTTATCTATATCCGGCACTGCTAACTGCTAATCATGATGTTTTTGTTAATATGTTAATGAGTGTAAGGCTATACTAAGGTATTGCGAAATCTAAAAGAGTGTCCTTCTTAGGAAACTTTTAAGAAGACTTTAAAAACATATCTATTTCAAAAAACATTCTGCAAATAACAATTTGTATTATGTGTTTATTTAATTTAATTTATGTGTGTGTGTGTGTGTGTGTGTGTGTGCGTGTGTGTGTGTGTATATATATATATATATATATATATATATATATACTGTTCATGGAAAGCGCCATTGAATACATCGAAGATGTTATAATGAGCGCTATATCAAATTCAATAAACATAAACATTATGATATTTATATATTTGTTGTTTTTGTTAAAATGTATAAAGCTGTACCAAGGTATTATGATATTATTTTAATATATTTGTTTTATTAAGATGTAAATGAGTGTAAGGCTATACCAGGATTATGTGTGGGCGGTAACTGTGTGAACACGCTAGGATCTTATAGATGTGGATGTAAAGAAGGACAAATTCAAAACCCAATAACACAAGTCTGTGAAGGTCAGTGGAAAGACTATATATTATAATTTAAGATGTTTTCAATCGAATTTAATCTTTCTTTTTATTCTATAAAAAAATCCAAATCCATTACTTCTCAAAAATTAAAAAAAGGTCCAGCTTTTTTGTTATTAGTTTTGACCAGTTATGAAAGATGACGTCACAATTCCAAGATGGCAACGGAGACGCCGTGCGCGGTTCCTGGTTCATGTAGTAATACTATTGGGAGATGCTAATTGTAGGCCGGTTCGGGATGTTCGGGAAATTCCGATGATTGCCGATTCCATTCCCATAAATGAGTATTTTGAAGAAATACCAAGCCTAACCCTTTTTAGAAGACTGAACTTGGATCCAATTTACCTTTTACCCCTCTTAAAAAGGTTAGGGTTAGGGTTGGTATTCCCCCAAAATGCTCATTTAAATAAAGAGGCCATTGTAGACACAACTTCGGTCCCACTAACCGTCGGAAATTCCCGAATGTCCCCAACCGGCCTACCATTAATATCTCCCAATAATATTGTTGTATGTTAACCTATTTTTAATATGATAATTATATATTTGTTGTTATTTTTCAGATATAAATGAATGTAAAGCTAACCCGTCTATATGCGGTGTTGGACAATGTACCAATACAGAAGGGAGTTATTTCTGTACTTGTCCACCGGGATATGAGGCTTCACCTGATCGATCAAGATGCACAAGTAAGCCTTTAATAATCATATGCATGGATTGTTAAACAGACTTACCACGGAACTTCATTATTGTTAATGTAGACTTTTGTTTTATGGGTATCGGATTTTGAGAATAGCCAGGGTTCAGAAATATTATCTTGACTTTTCATCAACTGGGGCCTTGTTGAAGAAAACTTAAACTAAATAATACAGTCTTTTTATTGGTCAATATCTGCATTTTATACACTGACTTTAGTCCGCAGCCAATGAACAATCAGATTTTAGGATTATTTCCCCTGAACGACTGGCAATAATTTAGATAAAGTTTTGATACTGTTAAGTTAGCCATGGTGGTATTCCTCGTGCATTGGATTACATTTAAAATACAGATGTGACGTCATCCTTTGATGTTGGCGTGCCATTATTCCAAATAAAGTTCAATGTGCCAAGCGTACATTATTTATACTAGTTAAAATTTTGGACCCGCGTGCGGTATTTCATCGCAAAGCAGGCGCGGGTGTTTGTATTTGAAGTGGTGTAATGGTCTCGAGCTTAAGACATTGCGTAATGTATTGACATATAATGTCTCGCTCTCGAACTTTAAACCACACATAAATTCAACATATACACCGCTATTCATATTAAACCTCAAACAATTATAAATAATCGTAATCATTTTACGAACGAAAGATCTTTTCCGTCCTTTAATGTCGAATGCCCTCGTCTTGGTCAGTTGTTACAGTTTTCAAAAGAAAATTGGTCAAGTTCTAACGTTGACCAAAGGTCATTCAGTGCACATATTGTTTTACTAATACGACCCAATTATAAGACTGTGTATATTTTCACAAGTCCCCACCCATCCAAGAACCAAGAATCCCAGAAATGAATCTACAGTTCTCTAGGTCTTAAATGACTTACAGATGTGCTCAAAACGAGCGGGAAATACTTGGATATTTGGTGTTTCCGACGAAATAAAAGGTCAAATTAGAAACGATATTGTTTTGTGAAAAGTAAGTTATCAAGAAAGAAAATAGCAAGATCCGGTGTGTTTTAATGGCGATCCAGGACGGATACAATAATTGCGTTTTAGGCGAAACCTTTAGCGATAATTCGGTTGGAAATAGGAGGTCAGGTCCGATAAGGTCGTCGGCATTTCTCCGTGTTTTATTATGCGGAACGAGTTTTGATCTTACGGCATTGTTCTGTAATGAAATGAACTGAAATTAGTTTTAGAACCCTACCTTTCTGAAACAGCGACAAAATAATGCGAGTGTAAAAACAATATAGAACTGTGTTTAGCGTTCCACACCGAACAAGTAGTTCGGTGAGAATAGCGCTGGTCCGCCACCCATATCGTATGAGTTAAAAACAAAACAAACGAGGTCCCGTATATACCATCACGTGATAAGAAGTCCTGGCATACGAAATGAAATGAAATGGGGTTTAACGTCCTACTGTTCTGTTCCGACTGGGCTAATGAAGACGGGCATACGCCATACAGTGTGCTATGAGGGAAATTTTGTCCGGCCAGCGACACTATGGCTTAGTCTTATATCGAATTACAACTGCCAAGGGATCTTTTACGTGTACGCCAGTGCGTAGACTTCGATTTTTCGTCCCACCCGAACGACTAGACAGCTGTCCTTGTCAGTCCCTCCGTCCTGCATCACTGATAAGGGGAAACCACGTCGGAAAATCCCGATAAACTTTCTCGAACCTTCAAGATAGCGAGCCAGCGTCTTACTCACTTAGCTACCGTGACTTCTTCCTGACCGAAATAATAGTAGGGGTCTTTAGCAATGAGAGGAAACCAAAGGACCCGGAGAAAACCCACGAGGTGGGACAGACGACCCTACTCCTTGAAACGTACATCCGGGGAATGGAAACCACGGCAGTTGACTCAATGACAGACCTTATGATACAACGCGAGCCCCACCCATTTAATTTCAAATTAATACCGAAGTCAGTATTGGACTAAAATCTGTTCATTCCATTCGATCAACTAGACATACGGTATTTTATTAGTCTGAACAAGTCTATAAGCAACGGAAATAAAGCACATGTATTCATTGATAGGAAATGATTGCCCACTACGTCATGTAATCCATGTATTAAAGTCTATTATTATACACGTGTTTTTAATTTGTTAAAATGGTTTTAAAATTCAAAATAGCGCAACTGGATCTTTGATATATATTCGTTATCTATGAGATCATGCGATTAATGTCACGAATGACACTTAAAACATACCTTTCAAAGTTTCAAATATATATATATAGATATATTATATATATATACATAAACATTTAACCGCACACGGTGTTTCCCCGAGTTCTGATATAACCGATATAACTTCCTGTCAAATGTTCTTATAAATATTATGACATATTATATAAATATTTGAGTTATTTTAAAATAAATTAATATACATCTAGTTTTACGATTATCATGTCTGGTTTATGTACTAGGCTTATTCATGTTTAACCCAGACTTAAAGCAAGGGTACCGTGTACAGATAACCCAATGGTTAGCGCGTGCTGTCAACTGGTGTGGTTTCGATTGCCTGGTTGTACGTGACAAAGAGTAGGGTCGCCTGTCTGATTTATATACTAGATTTATTCATGGTTAACCAAGGCTTAAAGCGAGGGTTCCGTGTAAACACGTCTGGTTTATATTCATGGCTTATTCATTGGGCTTAAAGCGAGGGTCCATGGCTTATTCTGGTCTATACTTAGAGAGAGAGAGAAATGGAGTTTAACGTCCATCCGACACAGACTAGGTCATTTCGGGACTAACATATTGTTTTTTAAAAATTTTATTTCAATAATTCGCTTGCTTGTAGGGGTCTTTAGCAGTAGGAGGAAACCGGAGGACCCGGAGAAAACCCCACTCCTTGTCACGTACAACCGGAGATTTGAAACCACGCCAGTTGACTCAATGACAGGCCTTGTGATAGAGCGCGCACGTGCTAACCATTCGGCTTATTCATGTTTAACTCGGGCTTAAAGTGAGGGTCCCGTGTACGCATGTAAAAGATCCCTTGACAGATGGAATTCGATATAAGAATAGACTGTAGCGCCGCTGTCCGGGCAAAATGTTCCTCATGGCACCCTGTATGGCCTATAGTTGAAGCAGATCACAGTATAGGACGTTAAACACCATTTTTTTCATTTCATTTCTTAAAGCGAGGTTTCGTAAATTCCGATGGACACGGGGTCTCGAGGAGTAAGGCACTGGTTTGATAAGTAAAACGGCCGTGAGTTCGAATTCCATGCTTTTCGGATTGTCCAACCTGGTTCCCAATGGTGCATGACAGAGGTTCTGACAAAGAATCAGGTTGTCCGATGGGGCAAGAAACCGATATCCCATGTTTTCCTGTTGGTAGCACGTTAAGTATCCCTTGTAAAACGACCAGATTAATAAACAGCTTGATACGATAATTGTGTTTGAAATGAAATGAAATGGGTTTAACATCCTACTTTTCTGCTCCGACTGGGGTAATGTAGACGGGCATACGCCTTACAATGTGTTAAGGCCCAAATTGTGCCGGGCAGCGGCGGTACGGCCTACTGTAGTATCTGTCTAGGTTTTATTTACGTGTACATGGAACCTCGGTTTGTCGTCCCATCCAAACGACTAGACAGCTGTCCCTGTAAGGCCCCTTCACGCTGCACCGCTCACAATTGGAAACCACGTCGGAAAACCCCGTGAAATTTTCTCTGCCATCACCGGGAGCGAACCCGAGACCTCCACTCTAGCGAGTCAGTTCACTAAGCCACCACGTCTCCTTGTTTTAAATGGAATAAGCCACAGAAATTGAAGTATAGAAGATGACCTCACCCCCTCGTGTACACCATATGAATGAAATCAAATACTTTAAAAGCATGTTATTTTATTTATGCAAATAATTTATATCACACGTGGTAGACGTCTGTCTCCGTTGTAGAATGGAAAATAAATTTATAAGCATTTTTAAAGGGACATTTTATAGTCCAGGGGCCGGTTGCTCAAAACTAAGTTATTTTAAAGATCCGTTATCTTGCTAACGTGTTGTTTGTTAACGGTCTATTAAATTTCTGTTGCTGGTAAGTCAGTTTCATTATCCGTTAGCTAACGGACTGATTAAAGTTAATCCAAAATAAGACTGTTTGTTCATTGGCTGAATTTTAAAATTTTAAATCCAATGTATAACAGATTCATAGTTAGTATTAACAAGAAACTGAAGACTGTGGGACAACTGTGCAGTCTGTTCACAAAACTTGATTAAAGACAAAAAGATAACTGTAGAATTTACTACAGAAAACACCATAAAAAGTATAGCATACTTTATCTTTTCCTTTAGAAATTTTAGCGCAAATCTGTAGGAAAAAATATGAGATTTGCATTACAGAAACTGTAGAATATTTGGGGCCATTATTTCCTACAAGCCCCCAAAATTCTGTAGAATACTATAGAATTTCATCCTATAGAAAATGGGATAGCCCCCCATTGCCCAACCGTCTAGCATGTACTATAGAATTCTATAGAAAACTACACTGGTAATCTATAGGAATTTTTGCTAAGGGTATACTTCGACGGATAACCAACTAATTACATCGTTAAACAGATAACGGAGCTCAGCACCTTCGTTAAATACAACACCAAGTTAACTCCATGTTAAAGTTAACGGGGCTTCCAGCAACAGACTATCGCTCCATTAAAGATAACCATATTTGTTAACTCCATGGCTCGGTGAGCAAGACGTTGGCTCGCCAATCTAGAGTTCCCGCGTTCGAGCTGATTGTTTGTCAAGGAAGTTCATAGGGATGTTCCGGCGTGATTCCCACTTGTCAGAGGGCGTATATTCTTTCGAATGGAATGAAAAACCGAGATCCCATGTACACATTAGCGTGCATGTAAACGATCCTTTAGCAGGTCAAAATCGATATAAGAGCAGGCCGTAGCGCCACTGTCGGAGTGCGACTGTTCATTAGCCCAGTCGAAGCAGAATAGTAAGACGTTAAAACCAATTTTATGATGCAACCATGGATAGAGAGTAAAAAGCGTTTTGGCTATGACTGTACAATACTGACTGACAAATTTATTCCCTCTACCTAAAATAATGAATAATAATTCATGTACCCTCTCCATCTTTTTCAGGTATTCAGCAAGGCTTTTGTTATACCAATGTAGTAAACCTGAATTGCCAGAACAGGATAGCTGAAAGAACATCATTAAAAGATTGTTGTTGTTCTATTGGTAAAGGTTGGGGACAAGGTGAAGAATTCTGTCAGCCATGTCCATTACCAGGCCAAGGTAACTAAACTAGAATAAAGAAGACTTTGTATCTAGAGCTATATTCACCGTCAAGATCCGACAAGAGAGCATTTATGTCAATAAAACCAAAATTATTGCATAAAGTGATGGACAAGTAAAGAAATGTTAAAGAGAGAGATAGAGAGAGAGAGATGGGGTTTAACGTCCACTCGACACAAACTAGGTCATTTCGGGACTAACATATGGCTTAATTTTATTTCAATAATTCGCTTGCGCGTAGGAGTCTTTACCAGTGGGAGGACACCGGAGGACCCGGAGAAAACCCACGAGGTTGGACAGGCGACCCTACTCCTTGTCACGTACAACTGGGGATTCAAAACCACGCAAGTTGACTCAATGACAGGCCTTATGATACAGCACGAACGTGCTAACCATTCGGTCATCCAAACCCCCGAAATGTTTTGTACAATCTAATTTGAACATCCTTGGCATAACTGATAAGTCAAATCGCTTCAAGGATACTATAAGATATTTTTGAAAAATTTTTCTTGTCGATCTAAATAAGCCTATTCTAAATCAATCAGATTAAAACACAGATCTATATTTCGTTTCTCTTTTTTATACTTCCGATGACCTACACTACATGAAGATCTGACTAGTTGTAGTGGAAGCTCGCGTCAGAGGTCATACGACCGGCATTAGACCCTATGACGTCAGGCATTTCATTAACCAATCAGCGCTGGTGTTTTTAGTGGGTTACCCACAGTTCCTTTGACATCACATCATCCAGAACGAGGGTTATATAACTACTCTTCAAGATCCTAGTGTAGTAAAGACAAGTAAAACGAAATTTTGAACTATAAATAGATGGATCGCTGCGTGCAGTATGGCAAAAACTCGCCGTAAAAGACCGTGTCATTGGCTAACCCCTCACATCATCCAGAACGCGGGTCAACTCTTCAAGATCCAAGTAAAACGAAATTTTGAACTATAAAAATTGAAACGGAATAGGATCTGTGTCTACATATAATCTACAAACTGTAAACGATTTCATAAAAAAATGGACTGAGTTGTTGATAATTGATCGCAAAACAAAACTAAACAGTCACGTCGACAATTTTATTTTTGACATTATAATACAAGACAGATAGGGAGTGTACATAAACAGCAACAGAATGATATTGTAGATCACAATAAGAGTTCAGGGGAAGAACGATCTAGGTCACTTTTTTGTCTATTCGCATAAAAGCAAAACAGACTTTTGGACGAGAATGCTTGACGCGAACATAACAACGAGTGGGTTTAATTACAACTTCAAAATGACGTTTAATACGAATCATAATTAACAGTACAACAACTAACTTCCACTTTTCAGCTTAATTACGGTCAAATAAAGGGTACGATGGACTTGTAATTGTCCGGGAGGCCATTTCAGAAGGGCCTCGGTTCGATGTGACTCCGATCGTTTTTACCTGAAATTGATTGTTCTACAGAAAGCTTATACAATTTGCTACCGGATGGCACCATTAAATGGGGTTCGTTGAAAAAGTGACTTAGATCGTTCTTCCCCAGGGCTCTTTATATGAAATCGTGTGAATGGATACATAAACTATAACCAAAGGTATAGTGCTAAATGATAAGGCCAGCTCAATTTTTCGTCATAGGCACAAGATGTAAACAGGGCTAGTCCCAATGCTTACCCTAACCCTAACCTACAATTACGTGCCCTAACCTTATTTACATCTCAGCGACCTTGACAAAAATTAAGCTGACCTTAACAAATAGCTTTAACCATAACCAAAGCATATCATAATTTTTACACGTTGTTCTTTCAGATGCTTACAAGAGAATATGCGAAAGTACAGAACCCCTAACCCGACCAGTTGACGAATGTGCCATGTTTGATAAATTATGTCAAAATGGCCGATGTGTGGATACTGCTGACTCGTTTCGTTGTGAATGTAATCGGGGTTTCAGACATCAAGCAGGCAACTGTATAGGTAAGAATTCATTTATTGATCTTGTTCGACCAATGAGAATAATAATTATTTTTGATATATTTTCGTTTTTCGTTACTCCGTCCACAACTCTTGTTAACTCTTTTGAGTTCAGAGAGATTCCGCAGCGAGTTACTCCCCTTGAGCATACTATGGTATATCGACATCGTCGTTCCCCAGACCCGTCCGTATGCAACTATTTTTCATAGAGTTACTTCCCTTGCCACCGACATTTTGTAAACGATCTACAGTTGGGTTAGATCTATTTGATAAGGTCAACTTTAAGCTTGGTCAAAGGTCACGAAATGTAAACAGGGCTAAGCGCTAATCCCAACCCTAACCCACAATCCTCGGCACACAATCACGTGCCCTAGCCCTGTTTACATCTCGTGACCTTGACGAAATCTGCAGATGGCCTTAATATTTAGGTCTGACCCTCTACAGTATTTAAAATTAACTAATCAAACTTCTCGAAATTCAAACGCCCATCAATTATATATGGAGTTATTGACCGTGAACACGAAAACTTGAAGGCCCTCTTTAAAAGTCGACTATCTGTAATTATTCATTGCCTGGCAACGCTATGTTTTCAATTGTTTTAATTATTCCTTCACAACCCCCCCCCCCCCAAAAAAAAAAAACAACCTAATTCCGAGAATGTAACGGAAGAATATGATTCTTCAAGCACGATTCACGAATTGATGAGAACCAAAATTCTTATGTATCGTTCAATTCTTGAAGGAATTTAATTTATAATTGACTAGTGTTATTGTTGGCTATACTTTGACCTTAGATTTCACTAGGAAATGGTACAACTGGATTTCCGGTTTAGTTCAATTACATGTGCGGCCATGTGCCAGTCATTCAGAAAAAACACTCCATTTGTTGCTGTGCTACCGTTTAGACATATATTCCATGTATGACTAAATACGAGAGTCAGCGCACTTAAACAACCCCCTTGAAACCATTATAATTATTACTTGAGGCATGAAATATGTTACACCACATGGCTGTAATTCTTGAACTGAAGTTCATTTTTAAAAACACCACTTTGATTTATTCATTTAGAACAATTTTTTTTTTAGAATATTCTGTGTTAAATATGTTAATATGTTTTCATGTAAAATATGTCACAACATTGGATACGTTGAGTAAAGGGGGGTTGGATGGCCGAATGGTTAGCATGTGCGCGCTGTATCATAAGGCCTGTCATTGAGTCACAACTGGCGTGGTTTCGAATCCCCGGTTATACGTGACAAGGAGTAGGGTCGCCTGTCCATCCTCGTGGGTTTTCTCCGGGTCCTCCGGTTTCCTCCCACTGCTAAAGACCCCTACGCACAAGCGAATTATTGAAATAAAATTAAACCATATGTTAGTCCCGAAATGACCTAGTTTGTGTCGAGTGGACGTTAAACCCTCTCTCTCTCTCTCTCTCTCTCTCTCTCTCTCACGTTGAGTAAATGATTTGTAGAATGAACTTGACTTGTTGATTAACGCGCATGTGTAGAATAGTTCTAATTTTCTAGCATAACGCTTTCACTTAGTTTTTACTCAACTTACAATTTCTTAAACATACATTATGGTTAGAACTTAAACATACATTATGGTTAGAACTTAAACATACATTATGGTTAGAACTTAAACATACATTATGCAAGAGATAAATCTGCCTATTGCAGGTCTTTCTTTAGGCTTGAAATGTTATCTAAATGCGCTATTTAGCGAATTGGAGTACATTTATCTATTTTTGAACTAGTATTATAGTGAGAACTGTCAGCGCTTTATCTAATCTCCCATAATGCCTCTTTAAATTTGTACGATGTGCCTCAAAAGAGGTTTTACCGCAATTCCATTCCTAAAATTGCGAAGCCACGGTGATGTGCGAGTATGGCACTGGCAAACTAACCATTCCTCAAGAAAGTTCCTCGGGCCTGCTTGGCCGAATAGTTAGCGCGTGCGCGCTGTATTATAAGGTCTGTCATTTAGTCAGTTGGCGTGGTTTCTTTCGATTCCCCGGTTGTACGTGACAAGGAGTAGGGTCGCCTCTCCAACCTCGTGGGATTTCTCCGGGTCACCCGGTTTTCTCCCATGCACAAGCGAGTTATTGAAATAGAATTAAACCATATGTAAATCCCGAATTGACCTAGTTTGTGTCGAGTGGACGTTAAACCCCATTTCTCTCTATATATATATTTTATAAATCTATTTTTAGATGAAGATGAATGTTTAAGACCGAGGGTATGTGGTAATGGCCGATGTGTTAATACACCTGGAAGTTATACCTGTGAATGTGAAGCTGGTTTTGTTCTTTCACCTAATGGCTACTGTACAGGTACGGTACGCAGTCCTATACCTAATTATAATCTAAAATTAAAATCACTTTAAAGGGGGTGTGACTCTATTTTTTGGAACCTTGAACTAGACAAACATGATTCTAAAGCACATATTGGTGTAATATGAATATATGTAAAGAGATTTATATTCAATTTTTGAAAAAAATATTATAATTTCTAATCAATTATGTTCGGTGAAATACGTGAACAGCTCAAATTGAACGGCAGTCGTTTACGCCTGCTTAGTTCATTTTACACGTTTTTTAGAAATTATTTTTTTGTCGTTTGTGAATCAGCCTATACGAATTACTTCCACATTGTGTTGTTGGGTATGATTTTATTTGTTGATTACAAAATAGCATCTGAAACCATAGGGTACACGACTCGTGTACTGATTATAAAATGTTAATTGTATCTTAAATATTGGATATTAGGATCCTTTAGTTTCACTGCAAGATAACAACATCATTGAAATTAATCAATATTGAATTCTAATACGTGTTTTTAATTTCGAATATTATGGAAAATATTGAGTTAGAGACTTAGCTCCTTCAATGAGATCTGAATTAATCCGATCATGGTGTGGTGGTAATATTATTTAAAAAGTCGAAGTAGGGCGTGTGACAAAATGGGTGAGAAACACTGGATCCAATTTATAATATTTCTTCTTTCTAATGCTGGCCGAATAGTTAGCGCGTGTGCGTTGTATCAAAAGGTATGTCATTGAGTTAACTGGTGTGGTTTCGATTCCCCGGTTGTACGTGACAAGGAGTAGGGTCGCCTGTGCAACCTCGTGGGTTTTCCCCGGGCCCTTCGTCTTTCCTCCCACTACTAAAGACCCCAAAGCACAAGCGAATTATTGAAATAAAATTGAACCATATATGTTAGTCCCAAAATTACCTAGTTTGTGTCGAGCGGATGTTAAACCCCATCTCCCCTCTCTCTCTCTCTCTCTCTCTCTCTCTCTCTCTCTCTTAGACATAATATCGTCATTATTCCCTGACATATTGTACACATTCTCTGTACAGATATGAATGAATGTGCTACTGAAGGAATGTGTCCGAATGGTATCTGTGTCAACATGGATGGATCGTATAAATGTCAATGTAAAGAAGGATATAAACAATCCAACAATAGACAGGTCTGTTATGGTAAGTATTCTACAATCAAAGTTTATCCATAATGCTAGAACTTTGGATTATTATTGTGTCGAAATCAGTTAGAAACTAAAATGTACGATCTTTCTTGGGTCGAATAATGGGAAGCTTTGTTATGGTATGTCTTCCAGTACCACAGCTTATCCATACTGCTAGAGAGCTTGGGATATTATTTTGTGAAAGCCAGTTAAATTATCTATTTAGAAACTATATATATATGATGTGATATGGGTTGGAGTTTTCTAAAAAAATATGCCAAAATATGGATAGTTATTAGTATTATTTGGGCATGTCATTGTTATTATTACTCGAATATGCATGTCCGCACTCGTGATAGTTTTGTCGTCAGCATCCCCAGCCCCCCCCCCCCTCCCCCCATCCTCATCAGCAAGTGATCAGTTTATATTATATCTACCGTGTTTTGTGTTTCCGATTATTATGGGCATGTCGATTGGCTTTAGTTCCGATTTAATTCTCCCTTGCAAAATCACTTTGATTTAGAGCTTTTACCGTCTCTAACATCTGACAATTTGATACCTACACTGGTGTATCGACTAACCTTGATTACAACTCCAAGTATTTTGGTTTAAATGAATCAAGCTACATTTTTCATGAAAATAATCAAAATAAGACAGCTGTTCTCTGTTTAAACCAGTTTGGTTCGACCATATATAAAAGGGGAATAAAACTGTTTAATTTTGTGTTAAAAGTCCTTAAAATCCTCTACTTTGGGGTCGAGCAGCTAACCCAATAAACGTGATACGTTTTCCAACGGCAATAGATTATCAGGTCACCCAACGAACGAATTGACCGGACATCTCAAACGGGTTACGTGTCCGGATAAGCGGTTTTGACGTTCACGTCCAAACGACTCAGTATTTTGAGCTGAAATTTTTAGACAAGGTAAATACACCATTCCTGTATAGTCTAGCGCTTAAATTTCATACGTACACGGACTTTTATTTCTGAGACTCTGTTAAAATTGGGATGGTCCCTTTAAACCCTCTTGTATTTTAGATATAAATGAATGTACAGAGAATGGACGACTGTGTATTAATGGTCAATGTAGAAATACAGAAGGAAGTTATTATTGTCAATGTAATGCTGGATATAAATTATCTCCTGATGGCGCTTTCTGTTCAGGTATAGTACCAATTATACATTGTTTTAGCACAAAATAGTTCATCATTGGGTGTGAATCGATACAAATAGATATTTACTTGACACAAGTTTCCATGGTCAGAATCACCCGAATTCCATCATTGTGCTTATTAATAATTCAACGCTTCAACATTTTACTCCCAAAATTTTCATCAAATCTGCATAGATTTGTATAGATTTCGATAATCGATATTTATTCGTATAGATTATGATGATTAATATTTATTTGTATAGATTACGGTGATGGATTTCGATAATCGATATTTATTGGTATAGATTACGATGATCTATAGTTATTTCTATATATTACAATGATCGATATTGATGAACGAGCTTTATATGCATAGATTATGCTGATCGATATGTATTGATATTGATGATCGATATTTTTTTACAGATTACGATGAATGTAGAAGAACAGGGATGTGTACTAATGGCATGTGTATCAACATGGATGGTAGTTTTAAATGTATCTGTAAAGTAGGGTTTATATTGGCCCCAGGAGGTGAAGTCTGTATAGGTAAGTTATTGTCCATATACCACCTTTCATGATTTATATTGGCCCCAGGAAGTGAAGTCTGTATTGGTAAGTTATTGTCAATATACCACCTTTCATGATTTATATTGGCCCCAGGAAGTGAAGTCTGTATCGGTAAGTTCTTGTTCATATACCACCTTCCATGATTTATATTGGCCCCAGGAAGTGAAGTCTGTATACCACCTGTCAGCGATCCTTCTATTAATTCATGATTTATATTGGCACCGTTGGATGTGGGGGTGGGTGGGCTGTACAGGTATGTCATTGTCTATTTACATTTCATGATTTATATCGGCCCCAGGAGAAGAAGTCTGTATCGGTAAGGTCTTGTCCATATTCCACTTTTCATGATTTATATCGGCCCTAGAGGGAGAAATTCGTTAATTTCATTGATTCATTTATAATTTAGTTAAGTATGTCATTTCTCGTTGTTTATTTTAATAAACAATAGCCAATTGTTATTTTCTCTCGACAAACAAGTTATAAAATTATTATTTTATAACATTATTATTTTATAACATTATTATTTTATAACATTATTATTTCATAACATTATTATTTTATAACATTATTATTTTATAAACATTATTTTATTAGCCATTTTTATAAAACATTGGCATTTATTATCTATTTTATAAACATTGGTATTCATTAACTATTTTATAAATATAATTATTTTATAAATATCATTACTTTATAAATATCATTATTTTATAAATATCATTATTTTATAAATATTATTATTTTATAAACATTAGTATTTTTAAACTATTTTGTAAATATTATTATTTTATAAACATTTTTATAAACATTTTTGTTATTTTATAAACATTTTTGTTATTTTATAAACATTTTTATTATTTTATAAACATTTTTATTTTATTTTATAAACATTGTTTTTATTTTATAAACATTATTATTATTTTTTTATAAACATCATTATTATTATTTTATAAACATTATTATTATTATTTTATAAACATTATTATTCTTCTTGTAAGAACTTTCTTCTTCTTTTTTTCTTGGAAGAGCTATTTTATTGTATTTTCTTTTGCCTTATTATTTTTTTCTTGTAAGCCTGACTTATTATGATATACAAATTTATATTTTTGGGGGGCAAGATCTTATTTATTATTCCATAAATATTTTTGTACCAATGTTTGTAGGTATAAACATTTTTATTTTTGTACCAATTTTTGCAGATATAAACATGTTTATTATTATATTAATGTTTGTAGATATAAATGAATGTGTGGTAAATCCTGAAAGCTGTGTTAATGGACAATGTATAAATAATCAGGGAAGTTTTAGATGTGAATGTACTGGTGGAATGACTCTTGGTCCAGATGGAAGAACTTGTCGAGGTACGTTCAGAAAAGCAGATTGTACATCAACCTTTTGAAATAATATATTTATATTCGACTTTCAAAGTTATCATATTCTGTGAGTTCTACGTATGTTGCTTTAAGGCTAATTATTAGTCTAGAATACCTTGTAGTAGAAGTGTGACACTATACTATGCAGCTGTCCAGTTGAGTGGTGTTACCGAAATTGGTTAACAACTCCAAGATTTCTCAACGTTTTGAAGGAAACTATAACCCGTTCTGTGAAGCTACAGGAGTCTATTTCTCAGCTTTGCTCAGCGGATTGATTTGCAATTAGTCACAGTTGCAATTGGACATTGGTTTTATATCAGCCAAGAATTGATTTACCATGTTGACTACCTCTGGGGTTTCTCCGGGTCCTCCGGTTTCCTCCCACTGCCAAAAACCCCTACGCGCAAGCGAATTGTTGAAATAAAATGAACCATAGTCCTCAAATGATCTCGTTTGTGTCGAGTAGACGTTAAACTCTTTCTCTCCCTCTCTCTCTCTCCCTCTCTCTCTCTCTCTCTCTCCCCCTCTCTCCCTCTCTCACTCTCTGTCTCTGTCTCTCTCTCTCTCTCTCCCTCTCTCTCTCCCTGTCCGTCAAAAACTAAGTAAACCTTTAGAACTGATTATTCTTTATATATGTTTTACAGATACGAAGAGAGATTTATGTTTTCCTGAGGTACGAAATGGTCGCTGTGTTAATCCTCTTGATCAGCTGGTCACCAAATCTATTTGTTGTTGTAGTATGGTGAGTCCTGGTGTTGCTTGGGGAACAGGATGTGAAAGATGTCCAGCTATGACTGATCCAGCCTTTAAAGCCTTGTGTCGTAACGGACATGGGATGGACCACGATGGAGCAGGTAAGTCTCTGAACATCATTTGCGGGATTGTTAATCCCTTACAAAATATGAAGCGGCGGGAGGTTGGATGGCCGAATGGTTAGCAGGTGCGCGCTGTATAATATGGTCTGTCATTGAGTCAACTGGCGTTTTTTCGTTTCCCGGTTGTACGTGCCAAGGAGTGAGGTCGTCTGTCCAACCTCATGGGTTTTTTCCGGATCCTCCGGTTTCCTCTCACTGCTAAAGACCCCTACGCGCAAGCGAATTATTGAAATAAAATTGAACCATGTGTTAGTCCCGAAATGAGTTATTTTTTGTCGAGTGGACGTTAAACCCCATTTCTATCTCTATCTCTCTCTTTACAAAGTATGAAGTGAAATGGGGTTTAACGTCTTACTGTTCTACTAATGAAGACGGGCACACGCCATACAGTGTGCTATGAGGGAAATTGTGCCCGGACAGCGGAACTTTGGCCTGCTCTTATGTCGAATCCCAACGTATTGGACCATATTTAGAAAATAAAATGAAACTGTCAGTGGAAATGAAATGAAATGGGGTTTAACGTCCCACTGTTCTGCTCCGACTGGGCATACGTCATACAGTGTTCTATTAGGGAAATTGTGCCCGGACAGCGGCACTATGCCCTACACTTATATCCAATTCCAACTGCCAAGGGATATTTCACGTGCACGCCAATGTATACACGGGACCTCGTTTGTTTGCCCCATCCGTATGACTAGACAGTTGTCCTTGTCAGACCCTCCATCCTGCACCACTGACATGGGGAACTTTCTCGGTCAATGCAGGGATCGAACATGCGAACTCCAGGCTAGCGTACCAGCGTCTTACCCTTTTAGCCACCGTGGCTCTGTCCTCTGTTGAAACCAGCCTGATTGAACTTTATTGGTCAATGCAGGGATTGAACACGCGACCTCCGGGCTAGCGAGCCAGTGTCTTACCCACTTAGCCAACGTGGCTCTCCTTACAAACTACAGTATTGTTATAGTTGATTCTCTAGTAGTCCACAAATGGTTCAGTAATTGTTAAGATATGATCAAATGACATTTTGTAAACATTCGGCATTCACTGCAAACGATATCTATCTCTATCAATAAAATGAAAGACGTGTGTATGTATATGGCCCATCACATATGTGATATCAGATTAACAGGCATGGATGACCCCCGTGAATGTTTTAGGCCATGATTTATGAAGGTCAAGAAAGACAGCTCACAATTCTATGGAATACAATTACTGCTTATTACTGAGTGACGTTTCGACTAGGCTTCTCTAGTCATTATTAAGCAATGATAAAATATGAAAATATGACAAGACAATATATACATGTACACAACAATACTTAGTTAATGCTGATCAACCAGAGATACCCCTTAATTACATGTACCAAAAATCCATGTTGGATTGTGCCTGTAGGCGAACTGTTTTACTGCAATTTTAACGTGTAACGGGAGGTAACTCTGTTTATTCTGGTCATTAAAATTAATAATAGTAACAGATGATGTAAACTACTGGGAAAGCATGCAAGAAATGAAGATGGTGAGTAAGCAGATATCACCTTAGGTGGAAGCGGATGTTAAACACCTAGAACGAACGAAAAAGCAGATTTTGGGCTCAGGGTGAAGACGGGTGAAGACGGGTATCGAACTAGTTAAAGGGATAATAACACTCTTGCTTGCTTGACAGCTCCAGAAAATAAAAAAATAGCCTTATTCTAAGTACTAGATGTGTTAGTGTCCTACCTGTTGTGTAAATTATCCATTAAATCCTATTTTACTTGTCCAGAGTGTTCAAAAATATTTTTAAATCCAAGTCACATTTGAAAAGCTTTACGTCAGGCTTTTCAAATCATTTAGCTGAATTTTTTTAAATTAGGTGTGTTAAGATGAAATTTGTATCATCAATTAATTGGAATATTGTAAAATAGTGCAATTTGTTGACTGGAATAAAGATTGGGACATATTATTCAGTTACAACAAGAGTGGTATTGAGCCTTTAAGAATACAGACAACACAAGCCAGCGCTAGCTCAGAAACTTTTGAAAGGACAATGTCACTACGACCTACTCTTATTTCATGTTCCAACTGCGAGGGTATCTGGTGTTAAAGTATGTTTTTTTTTTCTAATATTTGTAGATATCAACGAATGTCGAATGTTTCCCAATATCTGTGAAAATGGTGTTTGTGAGAATATAATGAAAGATTATAGATGTATTTGTAATCCTGGATACCAGGTTGATAGATCGGGAAAACGCTGCAATGGTAAGTTTCAACAAGCCTGTGTAAAAGCGAGTTAATTAAAATTAAAAATCACTAGCTGATTAAATTAAAAATCCCGAGTTAATTAAAATTTAAAATCCCGAGTTAATTAAAATTGAAAATAACGAGTTAATCAAAATTAAAAAGGTGGGAGGAAGAGGGGGGGGGGGGCGGGTCCGAATGGTTAGCGTGTACGCATTGTATCATAAGATCTGTCATTCTCTCTTTTTCTATACCTCTAATTATAAATTGTTAAAAATATTATTTAAAATAATCAGTTGCCAAAAAGTGTCCATTTAATTAACAGAACTAGAACAAAATATTTCTCGATGGCTGATTTTTTCAAAACCCGAAAAAAGTGGTGCCGAGTTCTATCGACGATCTCGTCTTGGAACGTTAAGGTTGATTTTAATGGTTTTGTTCGGTTAAAATGTCAGTGCCATGCTACCGTGAAAATGAATATATAATAAAATCCTAATTGTTGATATATTTCAGATATTAACGAGTGTTCTAGGGATCGTAATTTATGTGATGGTGGTCAATGTCGGAATACACCAGGCAGTTATCAATGTATCTGTCCACAAGGACTAACATTTGATGCTATATCTAGAATGTGTGTGGGTAAGTTATCAATGTGTCTGTCCAGAAGGTTTGATGTTATATCTGGAATGGAATGTGTGAGGGTAAGTTATCAATATCTGTCCAAATATATGATGTTTTACATGCATACAAGAGGGTTTTGTTGTTATATTAAAGGGACAATAACACTCTTGCTGGCTTGAAAGCTCCAGAAAATAAATAATATCTCTATCTAAGTACTAGATGTTTAAGTGTCCTACCTGTTGTGTAAATTATCCATTACATCCTATTTTACTTGTCCAGAGTGTTCGAAAATATTTTTAAATCGAAGTTTCATTTGAAAAGGTTTACGTTAGACGTTTCAAATCATTTAGTTGACTTTTTCCAATTTTTTAAATAAGGTGTGTTAAGATGAAATTGTATCATCAATTAATTGGAATATTGTAAAATAGTACAATTTGTTGACTAGAATAAAGATTGGGACATATTATTCAGTTACAACAAGAGTGGTATTGAGCCTTTAAAGTCATCAAAATTATTCATGTGGACGAGAAAGAGTGTAATGTTACATCTGATTGAAATACAGATTTATATTTCGTTTCGTTTTTGTTCATACCTCTGATGGCCTAAACTATATGGCAGGTCGCATCAGAGGTCACACGAGCGGCTTTTGACCCTATGAGTTGGACAATTGATTAACCAATCAGCTTTGATGTTTCTAGTGGGCTACCCACAGTTCCGTGCACCTCGTGCCACTCGTCATAACAAACCGTTTCATTTCATTGGCTAATCCCTCACTTCAACCAGAACGCGAGTTATACATCAACTCTTCAAGATCCTAGTGTAGTCAAGACAAGTAAAATGACATTTTGAACTATAAAAAACGAAACGAAATAGGACCTATGTTTTAATCAGATTGTGTAATATTATGTTTAAACACAAATGCTTTATCTAGATCTAGAAGTTATTCCATCAATAATACCCATTTAGACAGTAAGTTAGTAAGAATGCTGCTTGTCTTTTTGTCTGTGCGACGTTTGATAGAATAACGCATTTATAATAATTAAGGTTCACACTATTTGAAAATTGGGTGTTATACTTTATTTGTTATTTGTTGATGGCACTGAATGTGGAGAAAGTTTAGGTATAAAAGAAAAATGTGGTAGTATGTGAAAACTGGATTCTTCTTCTTCGTGGGGTGACGCTCTTCGAAAAAACCCAAGGCTACGTCAATTCAAGTCCGATCGTCATGAATATTGACATGCCTGTTCTTTGAACAAATCTGTATCGATTTGGTGAATTAGAATTTTGAATTTCATCCCACAACATGGACCAGGGTCAGTTCCTGGTCCATTGCACGATCGTACATGTTTATTTGTTTTCAGATACGAATGAATGTAGTGACAACCCGTGTATAAACTGAGTTTTATATTTTCAGATACGAATGAATGTAGAGAAAGTCCTTGTATCAACGGACAATGTATAAATCTAGCTGGTAGTTTTAAATGTAAATGTATCTCACCTGGTACAGTATTAGATCCAACAGGCCTCATCTGTCTAGGTAAGATTCAGTTAGTTCTTCTGGAACATCATGTCTGGTTTTCTCTGGTTTGTTGCGAAGGGTGAAAGGCAAGCTATTTAAGTGGTAGAAATGGGATTTACTACAACATAATACAGCCAGATAGCACACCTATATCCGAAATATTCGAAATATATCTGTAATATTTATCATAGTTCAATCAGCACTGGTTATTTAAATCGGAATAATTTTCCACCGATGGTCGATGCATTAGATTTAACTGCTTATTTTGATAGTTTTAATAGGAAGAGGCTGATTATTTCCAGTATTTTAAAGGTATCTTGTCGATTTTAAAATAAAGATGATTGTCATGTAGATAAATATTAATATTAAAATGACCATTGTTGTTGTTGTTGTTGTAGATAATAAACGAGGAGCATGTTGGTTAACTATTAAAAATGGAGTTTGTGAAGGTTCTATCGATTCTATGTTATTACAAGCTGAATGTTGTGGTAGTATCGGTAAAGCCTGGGGTAGTCCGTGTCAACCATGTCCTATACAATGTAAGTATATAAATCACTGAACAGAGTCATGTCAACCATGTCCTATACAATGTATATAAAACACCCTGTTCATGTCAACCATGTCCTATACAATGTAATTATATAAATCACACTGAACACTGTTCATGTCAATCATGTCCTACACAATGTATATAAAACACCCTGTACATGTCAACCATGTCCTATACAATGTATATAAAACACCCTGTTCATGTCAACCATGTCCTATACAATGTAATTATATAAATCACACTGAACACTGTTCATGTCAACCATGTCCTACACAATGTAAATATATAAAACAGTGAACACACTGTCCATGTCAACCATGTCCCATACAATGCAAGTATATAACACACACTGAACACTGTTCACGTCAACCATATCCTACATAAATTAAGTATATAAAACACACTGAACATAGTCACGTCAACCATGTCCTACATAAAGTAAGTACATATCCTAGAGTGTTTACTCTTCAGCCATTAAAGGACACCCAAAAAAGAAAATACTTTACAACAACATTAAAATCCCCAATACCATAATTTTATGAAGCATTCAGCTTCGTACATCACCAATAGCTCTGTGTGATGAGATGCTTTTTGCAGTATACTAAGCTACTGTTTTCATTTTCAGCGGAACTGCAGTGTCCTAAAGGGTTTGCAAACCGATTGGGTGTCAATTGTGTCGGTAAGTATTTATTTATTGGTATTGGATTGACCATGGCTCGAAGCCCCGTATCAAATATTGTGAACTATAAACTTAAACCCATATCCTGTTGTAGTTTAAAGCTGGAAAAATGGTACATATCTTTGATTCCAATCTTATTAAAACACAGATCCTATTCCGTTTCGTTTTTTATAGTTCAAAATTTCTTTTTACCTGTCTTTACTGCACTAGGAACAATCTGTTTTACAGAGGAATACGAAAGTCTTCTAATATATCTGTAAAACATGACTACCTTCAACACGTGACTTTCATCAGGCGGCGTCAATCATTGGCGCAATGGCGCGTGCATTGTTCACATAAGACCTTACTGGTTCGGGCGGAATGGAGCATTTTTACCTACAAATACGTCAAACGTCTTTATTTATTTTTCTAATACATAAAAAAATGTTTTAGAATTTAATGTGTCGGAGGAAAAAAGTTAATATTTGTGGCTCATTAAGTCGATTCGATGTCATCCTTATCAGTGATTGTCGCGGCCTCAGCGACACGTATGACCCCTGACGCGAGCTCCCACTACAACTGGTCAGATGTTATGTAGTAGAAGTCATCTAAATAATATAAAAAAGAAATGAAATATAGATCTGTATTTTATCAGATTGATTGAATCATGGACATTTTTGTTTTTATTTTACAGATATCAATGAATGTGAGGTGTTTCAAGATATATGTAAAGGTGGTGGTCAGTGTGTAAATCTAGAAGGCTCATTTAAATGTACTTGTCCATTTGGTTTAACATTAGACCCAACAGGATTACGATGTGTTGGTATGTATTTCAGTGTAGAATTTGGTTTAACGTTAGATCCACAGGATTACGATGTGTTGGTATGTATTTCATTGTACCATTTGGTTTAACGTTAGATCCACAGGATTACGATGTGTTGGTATGTATTTCAGTGTAGAATTTGGTTTAACATTAGATCCAACAGGATTACGATGGGTGGGTATGCTAAATAATAACTATATTATTAATGAGGGTGAAGAGGGGATGGTGGGGATGGTCGAGCGACAGTCCGTTAATTTCCATACGGCCTGGGGTGATGTAATTAACTAGGACTATGGTCATTTGATGCTAGAATTATCATCGTACGATATTACATTATTGCACATCTGATATATGCAGGGAACCACAGTGGCTGAATGGGTAAGACGCTGGCTCGCTAGTCTGGAGGTAGGAGGTTCGATCCCTGCATTTGCCGAGAAAGTTCATCGATATTTTCCGACGTCTTTTCCCCCCTCCCCTTGTCATTGGTGTAGGGCAGAGGGTGTTACAAGGCCAGCTGTCTAGTCCTTTGGGTGGGGCGAAACACCCAGGTCCCGTGTATACATTGGCCTGCAGGTAAAAGATCCCTTTGCAGTTCGAATTCGATATAAGAGTAGACCATAGTGCGACTGCCCATTGTGTTTGTTCTAATTGTAGATATGAGACGGGAACATTGTATATTATAAATCATGTTTTGTTCTATCTGTAGACATAAGACGGGAACATTGTATATTATAAATCATGTTTTTTTCTATCTGTAGACATAAGACGGGAACATTGTATATTATAAATCATGTTTTGTTCTATCTGTAGATATAAGACGGAAACATTGTATAATATAAATCTTGTGTTTGTTCTATCTGTAGATATGAGAGTAGGAGTTTGTTATCAGGATTATAATAGAGGATTCTGTATGAGACCAGTAACAGGTGCTTATTTACGTGGTCAGTGTTGTTGCAGTATTGGTACAGCATGGGGTCAACCTTGTCAACCATGTCCAACTCGTGGAACAGGTAAATTAACATAGATATAAATGGGTTGATACCTTTCAACTATGCCCTATTCGGTGAAAAAAATAACTTTAATACTAAATGAAAACTTGATTGTCTGACGAGTCGTTGTTAATCAGGCTAACATCCTAGTATCAAGAAATAGCCCGAACATATAAATGTTAGGATATCATTTTAACTTGCATATCATTACTTGATTAATACTTCATTTAAACATACATTACACAAGTGCCTATTGCAGGTCTTTCTTTAGGCCCTAAATTTTATATAAATTATTTATTAATTAACTTACCAAGACTATAATCAACCCCCGATGCCATCGGATGTCTATGATATTTTGTGGATTCAAATACTGTTTCTGGTGGATGCGGTCTTCTTAAAACGGATAATCGAGGCTTGTTTATTATCGTAACAGCGGTATTAATGACAATTCAGCCTGGCCTATAAATTATATCGGGGATTCCTTTGTTCAAAGTGAAGTAATTTGACTGAAATTTTCAAAATATTATATATTATATAAGCTTACATAAGGCATCTATAATATATCTTACCAAATTCCGCTTTAATAATGTTTTTCCAAATATTCAATTACCTCATCTTTCACTTTTTATACCCCCACATTGAAATGTGGTCGTATATTGTCGTCGCACCCGTCGGTCCGAGGCTAAAGATAATATCCGATTTTCACCGATTTCCGATAATTACTGTCTGAGTTATGGCCCTTGATCATTTTGAAAAATATTGTGGACGCTCTTGTTAAATGTATAAATACTCGTTTTTTGATTAGTTTAAACACATATGTTTCACCATACATTTTTTATTTTCAGAGGCGTTTGAACAGCTGTGTGTGGACAACCCAAATTTCGAGATTGGAGGTAAATTAGACAGAAAAAATAATATACACGAGTTGTTGAAGATGCAATCTGATTAAAACACAGATCCTATTTCGTTCCGTTTTTTATAGTTTAACATTTCGTTTTACTTGTCTTTACTACACTTGGAACAGTTGTTATATAAACGGCGTTCTGGTTGAAGTGAGAGATTAGCCAATGAAACGATCTGTTACGGCGAGTTCTTGGCGTGCGATCCACGGAAGTGTGGGTAATCGAATGTCTGGCGTCATAGGGTGAAAAACCGTTCGTACGACATCTGGCGCGACTTTTCACTACAACCGGTCAGATCTTCATGTAGTGTAGGCCATCGAAAGTATAAAAAAACCGAAACGAAACATAGATGTGTATTTTAACCAGATTGTTGAAGATGCCCAAATAAGGAAATCCTCCCGTTATACAAAATAAGCACTAAAGAAACAATGATTACTATTTGTAGAAGTGGGTCTCCATCAGGACCCCCTCGCCCCAGGTGGAAAGCCCCAAACCCTAGTTGTAGAGACGAATCTTCATCTGCCAAACCCTCCCGTTCGTCAAAAATAAAATGGTCTTGATCTGGAAACGCCTTCAAATGGATGAATCTGTTCCAAATATTTTTGTTGCCTTGTTGGCGATAATGTATCAATGAATCTGTTGTTTAAATATTGAGTGTTAAATCTCGAAGGAGCCACGGTGGTTAAGTGAGTAATACGCTGGCTCGCTAGCCAGGAGGTCGTGTGTTCGATCCCTGCATTGGCCGAGAAAGTTCATCTGGATTTTCCGACGTGGTTTCCCCTTGTCCATGTCGCATAATGGAAGGCATGCCAAGGACATCTGTATAGTCGTTCGGATAGGACGGAAAACCGAAGTCCCGTGTATACATTGGCATGCACGTAAAAGATCTCTTGGCAGATCGCTAATTTACCTGTGGCAGATAACACTGACAATCGGGTTCGTGTTTTACTTATGGAAAGGATATATTGACATAATTACTTGCATTATTTAAAACAATTATGAAGTTTTTCCGGTGATGTTTAATGTTATTGAATCAACTATTTACAGATATAAATGAGTGTCAATTATTTCCTGATATTTGTCAGAATGGTAGATGTAGAAATACACAAGGTAGTTTTACCTGTACCTGCGAACCAGGATTCGCTAAAGATGATATGGGAACCAATTGTACAGGTAAATATGTAGTATATATAGTTAAAAGGCAACCAATTGTACAGGTAAAAATGTAGTTTATATAGTTGTCATGGTAACAAATTGTACGGGTAAATATATAGTATAGTTGTCAATGCAACCAATTGTACACGTAAAAATGCAGTTTGTATAGTTGTCATGGTAACCAATTGTACAGGTAAATCTATAGTTTATATTGTTGACATGGCAACCGGTTGAATTACATTTATTTGATGATAAAGGTATTGAATAGTCCGCCATTTGAATGATATTGTGATCTTGTAACATGACATTATCAGTAACGTAACTATTTGAACATATTATAGAACAGGGGGTCAGGGATTCATTCCCGGTGTTGGTCGAGAAATTTTTCCGGGGATTTTCCAACGAGGTATGCAGGTGTGCCAGTTGTGCAGGAGGTCCTGTGTACATACTGACATGCACATTACAAGTGCAATCCGATAAAGATCAATCGGTAGTCTGATTATTGCCGAAAAGTAGGACATTAAACTCCATTTCAATTTTTCTTGGAGTGATTATTTCAGGACTTACCTGAGCGTGAATTATTAAACACGATTTATTGGTTTTCCAGATATTGATGAATGTCGTATTTCATTAACTGCTGTGTGTAATAATGGACAATGTGAAAATACATTAGGGGGATTTAGATGTATTTGTGATGCTGGTTATGAAGGCGTTATGATGGACACCATGTGTATGGGTGAGTAACGAACGACAATAAACGCGGTTATCTCCCTTTATATTACATTACACACAATTTTAAAACCAGGGGGCTGTTTCACGAATTTTTAACTAAGATAAAATCTAAATTTTAGTAATTTGATTGGATGATATTAGATTGATTTTAGTCATTAGCCAATCAAAATTGAAGTATCTACTAAAATTTGGATTCTATCATTAGTTAAGATTTCGAGAAACAAGCCTCTGTATTACATTGACATATAGCCGTGTTTACATATTCAAATGCCAATTGCATCAAAGTTATAAACTAACTTTTCCAGATTCTAGTGTAGTAAAGGCAAGTAAAACAAAATTTTGAACTATAGAAAAAAAGAAACGAAATAGATTGACGTTCGTTGATATAAATTAGATTGTGAAATAATGATACCATGTTTTTGTCTATATAGATATCAATGAATGTGAAAGTGATGGACCAATGTGTCGTGGTGGGGTATGCGTTAATACACCGGGTAGCTATAGATGTGATTGTCCAGACGGTCATGAGTTAGGCCTTGATGGGCTGTCATGTAAAGGTATGCTATATACAATATTACACACGTCACTGGTGACCAATAAACATGGTACATATAGATCTGACAATGTTCGTACATTTAGCTGACAGTGTTCGTACACTTATCTGAAAAAAGGTTGTACACTTATCTGAAAAAAGGTTGTACACTTATCTGGAAATGGTCGTACTCGTATCTGAAAATGGTCGTACATTTAGCTGACAATGTTCGTACACTTATCTAAAAATGGTCGTACACTTAGCTGACAATGGTCGTACATTTAGCTGACAATGTTCGTACACTTATCAACAGTTATTTAGCTAACAACGGTCGTAGATTTATATAAAGTTATCTTTCAGTTGACTCTTGTACAGTGACACAGGCGGTCATACAATGAAATGAAATGAAATGGAGTTTAACGTCATACTTTTCGGCTCCGAACTGGGCTAATGAAGACGGGCATACGCCATAAAGTGTACTATGAGGGAAAATTTGCCCGGGCAGCGGCGCTACGGTCTACTCTTAGATCAAAAGCCAACTGCCAAGGGATCTTTTACGTGCAGGCCAATGTGTACATGGACCTCGGTTTTTCGTCCCATCAGAACGACTAGACCGTTGTCCTTGGCAGGCCCTCCATTCTGCACAACTTACAAGGGGAGACCATGTCGGAAAACCCAGATAAACTTTCTCTGCCAACACCGGTATCCAACCCGCGACCTCCAGTGTAGCGAGACAGACTCTTACTCACTTAGCCACCGTGACTCCAGGCAATACAGTAATCAGCATTATTCTTACAATCATCAACAGCATACACAAAATGATTCTTGGTACATTTTAATATTTCAGATGTTGATGAATGTGGAACAGACAGTAGTATATGTTCTAATGGTCATTGTGAAAACTTTATGGGCGGATATCAATGTATATGTGGACAGGGTTATCAACCAAATTCTTTAAAAACTTCCTGTATAGGTAAGAACATCAATGTTTTTCCGTCAAAATGGCTCCTAAATCCCGGATTTGGAGTCCAGAATAATAATAATGATCAAGAATAATTTTTGTTTACTCTTTGAAATGGGTACGTAATATGTTGATAATTAACTCCTTAATTAACCTATTATAGAAGATTTTGACTTGCTCTCAGACCTGTTCCAGACACTTTGTGCATATCTTGAATGAGTTAGCAGTCACACCAAGTTGTTCCATCCTATCACGTTACCAGATGTGGCGAAATTAAAGGTCGTAGCTTCTATGAGTCTTTAAAGTTGGTGGGGGAAACGATCAACGTCAATAGTGACGAATAGAATGCAAACCATTCCCAGAATGCCGTTTAAACCATGAATATCTAACCTTGCCGTTCTCAGAACGGTTCAGTGACCACCTCAGTGATTCAGATTCGGAACGTTTGCAGAACTCAACGCTAACGCTTGAGTTGGACTTCCAAGAAAAGTGACCGGTGATGTCGTTTTCCAGCTCTTGATTCAAAATAAACTTTTCAAATTAATATTTAAATTCGCACTCATTTTTACAGATACAGATGAATGTCGAGATAGAAATGGCGGTTGTGCGGCTGAATGTGTTAATACACCAGGAAGTTTTTCATGTGGCTGTGAAGCTGGATATAATCTCATGATAGATGGCAGGACTTGTGTTGGTAAGTGTTTGTAACTAAGGCATATCCAAGAACACTTAGATTTATTTTTTTTAATATAATACTATATCTGTTTGTTTCTGGACCCATGTTGGTGCAGCATAGAAGGACGTTACATCCCCCAAACCCCTCAACTCCTCCATTTTCATGTTCTTTCATGTGTGTAGGATTATTTAAACATCCAACCGGTTTCACAAAGCATTCTCAGACTTCAGTTAAAAATATACTCATCTTTCAATCACTGTTTATAAGAAGTATCTTTGATCTTGAAAAACAAAACTTTGTACATAGTTTTTTATTGATGTATTGGATATTTGAAAAAGGGCTATAATTTATTTTAAATAAGGCGAACAATTTTACGTAAATTGTTAACTTAAGACTGAGAATGCTTTGTGAACTCGAGACCTGAACCGTAATCCGTTGCTGATAATCTCCATCGGATGTATAGTTTGGCCAGCACATACTGTGTGCAGGGGCTATTGGTTATACCAAATATTGTTTTATTGATTATCAACTCGATCATATTTTTAATTTAATTTAACCAGATGTTGATGAGTGTACGGAGCGTGATACCTGTAAAGGTGGTAGATGTATTAATGAACCAGGTGGATACAGGTGTTCATGTGATGGCGGACTTACAACCTCACCTGACCAAAGGCAATGTTTAGGTGAGTCTGACACAATTACAATACACGTTTTCGTTGTAATACGGTAGTCGAGTTAGAATCGCGAAGAAGCCCAGATTTTAGTTGGTTGTGATACGTATACCGGTAGTCGTTTCGACACATATGCATACTCAGAGTCACGATATCGCGACTGGACGTTACATACTGCTTGGGGAGATAGGCTAGGAATGTTTTGAAGCAGGAACTGATATTTATCTGCTTGCCGCGTTGTTTTTACTAAAGCCCACGGTTCCGCCAGTACCTTTACGATAGACATGACAATTTAGATTGCGCATCAATTTGTGATAAGTCGTCATAATTCAAAGATGGATGCAATGACGTCATGGACCATCATGGTCGGTTCCTGATTCACATAATACAACCGTTCTTGCGATTTAAAATAACTAACTGTTTATCCGGACAGATTGTACGGACAGAATCTTGTGTGGTTTCCTCATGGGAGTTTCGTGAAACCAGAAGTAGCATAACACCGATATATGTCTGTTTCACTCCCTTGTTCGGGCTGCCCTGATGCCCCGAATTTGAGCCTCGGGGCATTTCTATCGTATTCGCGAGTCCCAATCAGAGAGACATACCACGACAGATACATGTATATATAAAATAATATTCTATTATTATTCCAGATATTGACGAATGTTTCTTGAATAGGAATCTATGTTTAAGTGGATATTGTCAGAATACACATGGGTCTTTTATATGTAAATGTGAAAATGGGTATGCTGTAGATGGAGAAGACAGTAATGCCGGTTGTACAGGTAATCATGTTTCAGTGTTTTCGTGTTGCTTACAAAAATGTTCAGGATTAAGGCGCTGGTTGCTAACCAGAAGATCGCGGTGTTGACCGATAGGTTTCCTCTGGATGTCCAGCTCCATTACTTCTTTTTCAGTAAGGCCTGTAATTGCAGGGGAGGGGGGAGGTGACGTGGTTTCGTTTCCCTGGTTGTACGTGGGTTGTCTTTTCAACCTCGTGGATTTTCCCTCTGGTTCTCCGGTTTCCACCAACTGCTAAAGACTCCTACGTGCGTTGTATCATATGGGTTGTCATTGATTCCCCGCTTGTGTGTGACAAGGAATAGGGTCGCCTCTCCAACCTCGTGGGTTTTCTCCGGATCCTCCGGTTTCCTACCACTGCTAAAGACCCCCACGCGCAAACGAATTATTGAATTAAAATTGAACCATATGTTAGTCATGAAATGACGTGGTTTGTGTCAAGTGGACGTTACCCTCTCTCTCTCTCTCTCTCTCTCTCTTTCTCTGTAATTGCAGGGGTTCTAATTGTTCTGTGTGCCCAAAATACGGTGCACGTAACAGAACCCTTGGTTATTGGGATTGTATGGAAATTAAAAGTTCCCTTACAGCACAGTGCATGTACATGTGTATGACCGTTGGTACAGAACAAAAGGACATGACACCCCATTTTACTTCAACATGAATAATCGACTTTATGATGTTTAAACGGTCATATTGTAGAACAAATGATAAGATTTATGAATCGTATATCCATTTTTACAGATATGGATGAATGCGAATCTGGAGAAGCAGCTTGTGATGACAGTGCTAGATGTATTAACACAAGGGGTTCTTATAAATGTGACTGTTTACCAGGATTTACTGGAGATGGTTTTACATGTAGAGGTAAGTTTATCAAGATTTACTGGGGGTAATTTTACATGTACGGGTAATTTTACCAGGATTTACTGGGTGGGTGGTTTTACATGTAGAGGTAAGTTTACCAGGATTTACTGAGGGTGGTTTTACATGTAGACGTAACTTTACCATGATTCACTGGGGTGGTTTTACATGTAGACGTAACTTTACCAGGATTTACTGGGGGTGGTTTTACATGTAGAGGTAAGTTTACCATGATTTACTGGAGAGGGTATCACATGTAAACGTTAGTTTACCAGGATTTTCTGGGGGTGGTTTTACATGTAGAGGAAAGTTTACCATGATGTTCTTTTTATTATGTTTCTTTTTCTTCTTGATCTTCATTTTTTTCTCCTTTTCATTCGTCTACTTGTTCTTCCCCTTCGTCTTCTGCGTCAATAAACCAGTGTTGTATTTATATTATTTGTAGATATCAATGAATGTGTACGAGATAATGGTGGCTGTGCTAGAGATGCTGCTTGTGTTAATGTACCTGGAAGCTTTAGATGTGTCTGTGATGATGGCTTCAGTGGAGATGGTTTTGAATGCAGAGGTATGGAAATATGACAATCTGATTAAAATGCAGATCTATATTTCGTTTCGTTTTTTTATAATTTCAATGGCCTACACTACATGAAGATCTGACCGGTTGTTGCGAAAGGTCACGTCAGAGTTCATACTTGCATGCCAATGTGTACACAGGACCTCGGATTTTCGTTCCATCCAAACGACTAGACAGCTGTCCTTGCCAAGCCATCCGTCGGAAACCACGTCGGAAAACCTTCTCGGCCAATGCAGGGATCGAACACGCGACCCCCAGGCTAGCGAGCCAGCGTCTTACTCACTTATCCACCGTGGCTCTCGAATTTAAAAATAGGACTCTTGTCGAGTGCTGGAAGGTTAATACAATATGTATCCCATCAATGTCCTGATGTTTTTTTTAATGTAATGTGATTTGGTAATGTCTTTATTTCAGATGCTGTTTTTTAATGTAATGTGATTTGGTAATGTTTTTATTTCAGATGTGGATGAATGTAGTATTAATCCCAATCTATGTGAGAATGGCCAGTGTTTAAATCTTCCAGGATTATTTAGATGTGAATGTGATATGGGTTTTGCACCAACCGAAGATGAAAGAGCCTGTGTTGGTAAGTGTTATACTAGGTCACGATTCGCGCTACGATTTAAATTGTAGTTTTAATCGTGGAGTTATCGTGGTGATCCTATCAGGTCTTATCATATTTTGAGGCCAGTCGTTGGAATCTTGTTGATCGTATCGAAACGTATCCGAACGTATCTGCACGTACCAGATCATGGACTCAATAGGAACAATCCTATCGTAACGCATCTCACGACAGTGGGAACCTAGCATCGCAGCTAAATAGGATGTTATGATTATAAGTTATGACCATAACACCCATTTTAGCTCTGAGGAACCGAATATGTTATTAATGGTACTCTGGGCAACTGAATATGTTATTGATGGTACTCATGGCAACAGAATATGTTATTAATGGTACTCTGGGCAACTGAAGATGTTATTGATGGTACTCTGGGCAACAGAATAATATGTTGTTGATGGTACTCTGGGCAACAGAATATGTTATTGGTGGTACTTTGGGCAATTGAATATGTTATTATTGATACCTTGAACTACTGCATTTGTTATTGGTGGTACTCTGAACAACTGAATAACACGAATCTTGTGTTTCAGATATAAATGAATGTGACATGTTCCACAATCTCTGTGTTAATGGCCGATGTGAGAATGTATTTGGAATGTTTAGATGTATCTGTAACCAAGGTTACCAGTTAGATCAAACAGGCGGAAACTGTACAGGTTGGTAACCCTTTACTTCATTTTATTACTGCACAATTTCAGTACTGGACAATTTCAGTACATGTTGTTTTTTTTAAAAGTATGTACCACTGAATGGTACTCTGACTGGACTTTTCGCCGGGTCCTTCGGATCGGACTAAATATCGAGGTCCCGTGTACACGTGGGTGTGCACGTAACAGAACCATTGATAGTTGGATTTTGAAATAAGAATATGCTGTAGCGTCATAGCACACTGTATGATGTATTACCGTCTTCACCAGCCAGGTTGGTGCAGAACAGCAAGACGTTAAAGATGCATTTTATAAGATTTAGATAAAAAGTTGGCCGTTCTCGCTATATTATTTAAAAAAATAGATTCTCGCCTATAACAGTATACCAATTCGACTGAGGTATTCTTATCTAACTAGCGGATACTCTGACACTGCACGGGTTTAAAGTAGTATAACTCCGAAATCAGAAGCGGTAGTCCAACGTCACCTGGCCAATATTACTCCCCGGTCCGAGTTAGCTATATGCGCCGAATTGGACAGCCCTAGTTTAGCCGCCAACCCTAGACAAACAAACAGAGAACAGTCACAAATATTATAGACCATAAACCTTGAAAACTGACTTGTAGAAAATCGTCTATATCTCTGCAACCGTACACGTTATAAACCATTTAGCGATATCTATACGTTCCCATGGGTTCATTCTATTTGTTCATTGTGAGCAAATATCTTAATTATCAACATATTAATATTTTATTTTCGTATTTACCACAGATATAGATGAATGTTTAAACCCTGATAATTGTCAGTATGGTACGTGTGTTAACAGACAGGGGAGTTATGTTTGTCAGTGTTTGTCCAATTATGAACTCAATCCAACTGGTACTGGCTGTGTTGGTAAGTACATGTATTCATTTTACAACATTAGTTTTAAATTTTAAAATTCTCTCCTTTACCCTCTTATTGCAACTAACCAATTAACTTTGTAAAATAAATATTTCACGCTGTGGCCCATTTTTGCCTTAAAAACACGAGGTAGAATTCAATAATGGTGTATTTCAATCAACATTGGTGTTGTTATTTGGTCGTGAAAATATGGGATCCTTATATCCGATATTTAACATATATCTATCATTTCATAATCAGTAAACGAGGCGTGTATTTTATGGTTTCGGGTGCCATTTGTAATATCCTAAAAAAACAATGCGGGAGTAAGTAAATTCGTAATGGCTGATTCACAAACGACAAAATAATAATTAAAATACACGCGTAGAAGGACGAAGCAGGCTTAACCACTGTCGTTCAATTTGAACTGTTCACGTTCATACACTCTTTAATATATATTGTCATATATCAGGGGAAAACCTTGTAAACAGTTGTTTAGGTCATTGATTATGGAAAACCAAACAGCTCTTTATTCAGTATTCTTAGTTCTTAATTCATAGTCTTTAATTTTTGTTTCTTCATTTGTTGTCGTATTTCGACATGTGTACACTAAAATCAATATTTGTATCTTAAAATCAATATTTGTTTTACATATCAGACATTTGTTATATCAGATTTATAAAATGTATCTTTGTTTAACTTGATTGTTTTTCAATGTAAAGATAAAAATTTATTTTAGAAAATCAAAAAATTAGCCTACATTTACATTTCATTAAAAAACTATAACGATTTTCTTTTATATTTTAGACAAGCGGGTTGGTACCTGTTATATGACGCCGCCATTTTCTACACGTGGTAGACTAGGTGTATGTCGAGATGAGATAACACGAGGTGTTGCTAGGGCGACATGTTGTTGCTCTGTAGGAAGAGGATGGGGTGATGTTCCTGGTTTCTGTGAGGACTGCCCTACAAACGGAACAAGTAAGAAGAATTCATTGTATAGTTTTGTTTCAATATAAGATACTGGTTGGCGATATCACTCGTGAAATAAATTTATTTCACTGATACAAGATGTTACTAAAAATCAATCCGATTACAACAAAGATCCTATTTCGTTTTGATTTGTTTAGTTTAAACATTTCGTTTTACGTGTCTTTGCTACACTAAGATCTGGAAAAGCTGTTATATTACCGGCGTTCTGGTTGAAGTAAGGGATTAGCCAATGAAACGATCTGTTTTTGGCATGCGATGCACGGAACTGTGTAAAAACCAGTAGTAGCGTCAACGCTGATTGATTAATCAATGTCTGACGTCATAGGGCCAAAAGCTGCTCGTAAGATCCCTGACGCGACCGTCTAGTACAATCGGTCAGATCTTTATGTAGTGTAGGCCATCGAAAGTATAAAAAAGACGAAACGAAATATAGATCTGTAATTTTATCAGATTGCTATTCTTCTACTTATTCCTACCTATGAGTGGTCTTATCATCCATTGGTCCTTCTCCATTAACTGCAACATTTGCTGGTTTAAAACTTTCCCTTGACTACACATAGGATCGAATCGAACCCCCAAGCGGGCGAGCCACGGCGGCTCAAAAAAGGTATGCTATACTAATCCAGGTATGAATCTTCGTGTTTCAGGTGAATACAACGCTCTATGTCCAGGTGGCCCCGGCTTCAGACCAAACACACTAACTCTAGTACTAGAAGATATCAATGAATGCCAGGAAATAGATAACTTATGTAATGGCGGGGAATGTCAGAATATGTTTGGAAGTTATCTGTGTGTTTGTCCTCCTGGATTTCACCTCGATGGAACCATGCATAAATGTATTGGTAAGTAAAATTATATCGTGTGATAAGCTGTCTATCAAATTATGTTTCTTAATAGAGGGAATTTTAAAGAGAGACAGACAGACAGACAGACAGACAGACAGACAGACAGAGGGGGGCTTAAAGGGTTTTCTCCTGCTCCTCCGGATTCCTCTCACTGCTGAAGACCCCTACGCGCAAACGCATTATTGAAATAAAATTTAACCATATGTTAATCCCCAAATGACCTGGTTTGTGGTCGAATGAACGTTATACCCTCTCTCCGATTTGCTTCTACTACTAAAGACCATACGCGCAAGAGAATTCTTGAAACAATTGGCAGTTGGAATTCGATATAAGAGTAGGCCATAGTGTCGCTGTCCGGGCAATTTCCCTCACAGTACACTGTATGGCGTATGCCCGTCGTCATTAGCCCAGTATAGGAGCAGAACAGTAGGACGTTAAACCCCATTTCATCCCTCCCTCCCTCTCTCTCTCTCTCCCCTCTTTCTCTCTTTCCATACTAAACAATGGTTTATAATAATGACCACTTAATGATTTAATGATAAAATTTGTCATTACTAAAAGCTCCAGGTTCTTAAGTCAATGTTATCAGCTTACCAGTAAGCTTGGCACTTTAACGATCTTAAATAATGTGTGCTTAATAACAGATATAGATCAATCTGATGTTGATGGTGGAGATATATGTGGATTATATCTGTGTTTATTGGTATTTACATGTGTATTTGGAACTATACCTGTATTGATGTGATGTTGATAAACCTGTATTTATTATTTTTTACAGATATTGACGAATGTGAAGTAGATGCAGGTATATGTGGATTAGGCACCTGTATAAACAGAGAAGGCAATTATACCTGCCTCTGTCCAGAAGGTTATATGCCTATGAATGGCGGCAGAGATTGTATGGGTAAGATTCACCCCATTTTGAATTCGATTGTTCTGTGAATGATGATAGAAATTGTATGGGTTAGATATGGATGACCCTAACCTATGTGGCATTAATTTCATTCTACGTATTGTTTTAACATTCGACTGGATACTTGGTATTTTAATATCCACTGAACACTTTAACATTCCACGTGATACTTTATCATTCCACTGGAGAGGTTATCATTCCATTTGATACTTGAACATTCCACGTGATACTTTATCATTCCACTGGAGAGTTTATCATTCCATTTGATACTTGAACATTCCACGTGATACTTTAACATTCCATGTGATACTTTAACATTCCACTGGAGAGTTTATCATTGCATTTGATACTTGAACATTCCACGTGATAAACATTCCACTGGAGAGTTTAACATTCCATTTGATACTTGAACATTCCACGTGATACTTTATTATACCACTGGAGTGTTTATCATTCCATTTGATACTTGAACATTCCACGTGATATTTTAACATTCCACTGGAGGGTTTATCATTACACGTGATTTTTTAACATTCTACATTATAATTTAACAGTCCGCTTGACATTTCACTTGATACTTTAACATTCCACTTCATATTTTATATTTTAACATTCCAGGTGATTATTTAACATTCCACTTGATATTTCACTTGATACTTTAATATTCCACTTGATATTTCAAAATTCCACGTCCACATGATATTTTAGCAACCCACTTGAACGGTCCAGGTGATAGTTTAACAGACCACGTGGTAGTTTAACAGACCACGTGGTAGTTTAACAGACCACGTGGTAGTCTAACAGTCCACGTAATATTGTAACATTTCGCGCGATATTTCAATCTCGATCAGATTAAATTATTGCTACATTTTCATAAACCCCAGATCTAAAGCCGAAATAGGAATTGTTGGGAATAAATATTCAACAGTTTGCGTCATTTAAAATGATTTATTTTGAAGGCAGGTGTCAATATAGGTTATTAAAAGATTAATTTTAAAAAATGAGACTCATAAAAAATCTTTATTTTCAGATATGAGAAAAGAAAGTTGTTTTTTGGAATATTTGAATACGACAAGAAGACCATTCCGATCTATCTGCGAGAATCCTGTATCTAGCAATCTGACTAAAAGACAATGTTGTTGTACTGTTGGCGCTGCCTGGGGTGTCAATTGTGAAACGTGTCCCAGAGAAAGATCATGTGAGTAATATTTAAATTGGTGACCATGGAATTGCTAGGTCAAGAGAGAGAGAGAGCGAGAGAGAAAGAGAGAGAGAGAGAGAGAGAGAGAGAGAAAGAGAGAGAGAGAGAGAGCAAAGTGGGGTTTTAATGCCCAATCGACGCAAATTAGGTCATTTCGGTACTAACATATGGTTCAGTTTTATTTCAATAGGGGTCTTTTAGCAATGGGAGGAAAAGCGGGGGAACTGGAGAAGACCCACGAGTTTGGACAGGTGACCCTACTACTTGTCACATACAAGCTGATTCACAAAACCGTGTCATTGTATCTATGAAGAAATTACAGCACATTTTTTAACAGTAGGATGGTTAATTTAATAATATAATATAATATATTTGTTTCAGTACAATACAAAGTTTTATGTGAAAGTGGCGCACCAGATATAAGAGGTAGGACTGCGAATTTTTAGATACAGATCTAATGTTAAACAGATCCCCCAACCCACCCAAAGGAACAATGGTGCGTAGATGACAAGAAGGGTCTGACAAGGGCAGTTGTTTAGTCGTTTGGACGGTACGAGTGACCGAGGTCCCGTGTACACATTAGCGTGAACATAAAAAATCCCTTGACAGTTGGAATTTAATATAAGAGTAGGCCGCAGTGCTGCTGTCCGACCAAAATGTCCCTCATAGCACACTGTATGGCGTAATCCCGTGTTCATTAGTCAAGTCGGAGTGGAACAGTAGGACGTCAAACCCCTTTTTTTTTGTTTTTCCTGGTTAATGGCCCAGCACCCCCCCCCCCCCTCCTCTCCCCTGGAGCAACCGTAGTCCCCATGACAAAATGTATTTTAGTAATGGTAGTATATTACAATTTAAACCTTACCATTGAATTAATGCCGAACTTTTGTCAGAATGTTAAATTGTTACTTTTATTTAATTACCATCCAATTTATTTGATTCGATTATGTGATGTAAGTGAAAATGAATAATTGCCGAACTTGTGTCAGAATGTTAAATGGGGGCTGTTATTTTAATAAAGAACCAATTTATTTTATGCGATTAGGTGATGTAAATGAATGTGAATTAATGCCGAACTTGTGTCAGAATGGACGATGTATTAACACAATTGGAAGCTTTAGATGTGAATGTTATAGAGGTTTTAATTATAACCCGGATCTACATATCTGTGAAGGTAAGATGTGCAAGAATAATTTGTCCTATTTTATCGATTGACTTTCCTGCAAACTACGGTATTGTTCAATTCTAACAGAACATAGTTTTGGTGGGAACAATCACTAGTTTTATTCTATAGCACGACCTTTCGACAGTGTGCTTGATAACGATAAGAGGATACTTGTCGAAACGTCATGAATTAATAATCCCCAGACAATCGTCATCCTTCGTGAAACAGCACAATCCATAAATCTTTTGTTTACTTAATTAAATGTTAATTCGTCAATTTGAATGCATGGATTAAGCCGTGATAAAGTACACATTGTGCGAAAAAGGATATGAAACAGTTATGTTTATATCCTGTTATTAGTCATATAACAGGTCAGACTGTTTTTCCGTGAGTGGAACCATGGTGGCTAAGTGGGTAAGACGCTGGCTCTCGTTAGCATTGGCCGGGAGTGTTCATCGCATTTTCCGACGTGGTTTCCCCTTTTCAGTGGTGCATGACAGAGGGCCTGATAAAGACATCTGTGTAGTCGTTCGGATAGTACGAAAACCCGAGGTCCCGTGTATACATTGGCGTGCAGGTTAAAAATCCCTTAGCAGTTGGAATTCGATATAAGAGTAGGCCATAGTGTCGCTGTCCTGGGACAAATTCCAGCATAGCACACTGTATATCATATGCCCGTCTCCATTAGCCCAGTCGGAGCTGGACAGTAGAACGCGGTAAACCTCATTTCATTTCATTTTTCTATCTTTTCTTGCGTTGCATTTGTTTTGTCCTTTTCGGAAATTATAATTTTCTATAATTACACTATTTAGATGAGAATGAATGTCGACGTCAGTTACCACCCTGTATGGGTAATGCAATATGTACCAATACACCGGGTAGTTATGAATGTACCTGTCCACCCGGTTATAAACTTAGATCGGATCGACGACGATGTGAAGGTAAGTCACGATTTCGACTACTTTGTTTCAATGTTTAAATAACGTGTGTAAGAAAACTTTAAATACCAACCAGCAAAGTCGATGAGTGTTCAGTATGTAAGTTCAGATTGGGATTTTACTGAAGAAAAAAATGCAAAAGGTGGTTTGATGGAAGCCATGCGTTAGACTGACTTGATTCAGAGTTGAAGTAAATTGTTTTGAAAACATTTACCAACCAGCTGAGATGACTGTTTATTATGTAGATCACATACGTGATTGGTATGTAAGATCAGTTTTAAATTTGGAGGAGACAAATGTGGTTTTATGGGGCCTATTACCACCTCTATGATAAGTAAATAGTGCATTAGTTAGGCCGTAGGGCAAACATAAATACTCATTACCACGCAATATTTAGATTTCAATTTCGAATATTTAGATTTCGTTATAGAATTCTGGAACCTCTTCCCCCTTTTCTCATTCAATACCTATTCTTGTCTTTTTAATGATTCAAAATACAATTCAATTCTTTTTTTGTGATTTTATTAGACATTAATGAATGTCAAGAAGTAGCCGGTGTTTGTACTAATGGCAACTGTCTCAATGTGGTTGGAAGTTTTAGTTGTATCTGTAGAGACGGCTTTAGACTCTCTGCAAGAAGAGATTCATGTATCGGTAAGTTATCGCAAACACAGACGTAAATGTATATGGACTTGTGATTTCCTCTTCTGCTAGGTCTCTATTATCTAAATTAACTCCAACTGATCCAGAATAAAGATTGCACTAACCAGAAGCAGAAAAATAGAAGAAAACCAAAAACAAAAACAGATTACATATCTCCGGTTCTTGTGAAATTACATCAGCTTCCAAATGGTTATTAAATTATCTGTATTAACCTACAAATGTAGTAATTGCGACTTTTCTCTATTTCATTTACAGAAGCCTTTTAATCAATTACTGCCCTTCCCGCCAGTTGAACTTATTTCATTAAAGCCCCTTAGCGATAGTCCAAGTGTTAAACACTGTATCTCCTTAACATACAAAACAACATATATTAGTTGATGGCAGGATTGATGGCCTGACAAGAACAGCTGTCTAGTCGTTCGAATAGGACATGCACATAAAAGATTCCCTGGCAGTTGGAATTCGTTGTAACAGTAGGCCGTAGCACATTATATATTATATATGCCCATCTTTATTTTATGATCAGTAGTGGAATACCGCGTTTTATCAGTGAAATAAAAGTGTTATTCCACTGGCTAGTTGTTTTTACCTAAAATGATTGTAAAATCATAAAATAAATAGAACATTTGTCGTTTTGTCGTGAATGACATATTTATCTCTAAGCAAGAAAACGTTTATATTTTCACTCATGCTACGCATTCGTGAAAATATAAGTTTTCTTGCTTCTCGATGAAATAAAATATGTTATTCACTCTAAAACGACAAATGTTCTATTTATTAGCCCAGTCGGAGCAGAACAGTAGGATGTTAAACCTCATTTCATTTCATATTAGCGCAGTGGTTCTCAACCTTGGAACACCTGAAGAAATAGCGGCACACCTGGCTAAATATATATGAAAAATATCTGAATTTTGCAAAATAAAAACATGGTTAAGTCAGACGGCATACAACCGTAGACAGAGACTAGTCATAGACACTTAGAATGACTCAAACTAAATGAAGAAAAACACAGCTATAAACTCATCAGTAGACACCAGTGAATACTCAGTTAGGATCATGTGATTATCACATTTTCTTAGTGTGCCGTTCATAATTTCGCTGCATACTTAGGAAGATCTCGCGGCACTCTGGTTGAGAATCAGTGTATTAGCGGATGTCGTAATAGATGATGTAAATAATGTCGAATGACTGTGACTTTAAATGATTAATATTTTTGTCCAGAATATAAATTTCACAGTAATAATTTGGTCTAATTAATTCCCATTGAATATAGCATTAAATGTTATTTATATTTGTACAGATATCAATGAATGTACATCACGACCTGGTATGTGTAGAAATGGAACATGCAGAAACAAGATGGGGGACTACATGTGTTTGTGTGATCCTGGTTTTGAAAGGTCACCACGTGGGGAGTGTGTCGGTACGTATTGCATCGGATGCCATCCCCAGTAACCCGGCTGGTACGGACAAATGGGAAGGTCAACCGCTAGATTGTACTTTACTAAATCAAATATAAAATTAGCATAAATCAACGGAAAAATAATAAAGAAATCAAAGGGTGTTATTAACATATGAAAACAGATTTATTCTTAGACTTAATATAAATCATGTTTAGGAGATAAGCACAATCTGATTAAAATACAGATCTATATTTCGATTCGTTTTTTTTTAATACTTGCGATGGCGTATACTACGATCTGACCAGTTGTACTGGAAGGTCGCGTCAAGAGTCGTACGAGCGGCTTTTGACCCTATGATGTCAGCTGTTAGGGGATTACCCACAGTTCCGTGCATCGCACGCCAAGAACTCGGGGTAATAGATCGTCTTATTGCTTAATCCCTTACTTAAACCAGAACGCCGGTAAAATAAAAACCCTTCCAGACCTAGTGTAGTAAAGACAAGTGAATTTAGATGATTTATTTTCCTTTTAGCCATGCTAGAATCAGTAGAACACGAATCGCGACCGCTACAATAAATATATTCTACTTTTATTATCTTGTGATGGAAACGTGAAGTATATACCCGTTTTTCTTTTTTAATTATTTAAAAAGGAAAGAAAGTCAAGCCTCATTTGTTGTAATCTTTAAATGTATTTTTGGTATGTTTCATTTGAAAGTTTAGATTTATATTCGTGCTCTGTGAAGATTTAATTTTGCAAAAATAAATATAATCAAGGATCAAATTTCAGAATCAGACGGCTTGAAATAGAAAGGCGGGAACATTAACAGATTGTTTCTCTCTTAGAAATGTTCACAAACAAACAAACAAACAAACAATCCTCAAACAGATACTCGGCACTGCGATCCCACCCCACGCACATTAAAATATTTTATTTAAGTTAACGCGCTAGAAAGGACTAGAAACCTCTCACATGGTACAAATATATTTCCTGTAATTACTTTGTGGTTTATACATACATTATGTAAGAGCTAAATCTGCCTAATGCAGGTCTTTCTTTAGGCCTGAAATGTTATATAAACTATTACTCGGAATTTATTAACAAAATAAGACCATAATCAAATCTCGATGGAATCGGATACTCGAGATTTTAACTAGATTAAAACGGTTCGCCAATTAAAAAAATAATTTAAAAATGAGAAAGCGAGGCTAAGTCTCGAATATACAAGTGTCCTGGTTACTACAATGCACACATCTTGTCAAAACTACAAACAGTGATAACCTGTCTCCGAATGAAGTAATTTAAATGAAATTTTCAATATTTTCATTTTTCATTATCTATTTTTGAATTATTATATCAAGAATGGTCAGTTCTTTGTCTAAATCTTACCTAATGTATCTTTGATGTCTTGTAAATACTAGCATAATCCACAAAAGAATAAAAATATGAGAGCCATTGAGGAAATGTTTGAAAATTGCATTAATGGTAGAAAATGGGTGTCATATTATAAATATGACGTGGTGCGATTCGTGTATGGCATTGCAAAAAAGAGATTAAAACACAGCTCCTATTTCGTTTAGTTATTTATAGTTCAAAGTTTCGTTTTCCTTGTCTTTACTACACTAAGATCTGGAAGAGGTATTAGCTAATGAAACGATCAGTTACGGCGAGATTTTGGCGTGAGGTGCACGGAACTGTGGGTAACCCACTAGAAACATCAACGCTGATTGGTTAATCAAATATCAGACGTTATAGGTCAATAGCCGCTCGTATGACCTCTGACGCGACCTTCTGCTACAAACGGTCAGATCTTCATGTTGTAGAGGCCATCGAAAGTATAAAAAAAACGACACGAAATATAGATCTCTCTCTCTCTCTCTCGCTCTCTCTTTAGTATATAAAGCTAATATCTGGTAAAAGTATTTGAATGTCCAACCTCGTGGGTTTTCTCTGGGTCGCCCGGTTTCCTCCAACTGCTAAAGACCCCTACGCACAAGCGAATTATTGAAATAAAATTGAACAATATGTTAGTCCCGAAATGACCTAGTTTATGACGATGTTGTATTACCTGATATTTATTTTATTTTATCAGATGTTGACGAGTGTAGAAGTATGATTGGTATTTGTATGAACGGTCGATGTATTAATAAACTAGGTTCATTCCGATGTCAGTGTCAAGAAGGCTACACCCAATCTAATGATGGACTCAACTGTATAGGTAAGTAAATTAAATGAAATGGGGTTTAACGTCCTACTGTTCTACTCCCACTGGGTTAATGAAGACCATACAGTGTGCTATGAGGGAAATTTTGCCTGGGCAGCAGCACTATGACCTACTCTTATATCGAACTCCAACTGCCAATGGATCTTTTACGTGAACCCCAATGTATACACGGGATCTCGATTTGTCGTCTCATACGAATGACTAGACAGCTATCCCTGTCAGGCCCGCCGTCCTACACCTCTGACAAGGGTTGTATATGTAAAAATTTTATTATATTCTATCTTTATAGTACATTCCCGTGAGGTAAGTGAGTAAGACGCTATTTCGCTAGCTTCGAGGTCGTGGGTTCGATAACGGGATTTTCTGGCGTAATTTCCTATTGAAAGTGGCGCAGGACGGATGACCTGACAAGGACAGCTGTCATTCGGAAGGAACGAAAGTCCCGTAAAAGATCCCTTAACAGTTGGAATTTTATACAAACGTAGCTCGTAGCGCTGCTCTCCGGACAAAATTTACCTCATAGCACACTGTATGGCGTATGCCCGTCTTGATTATCCCAGTCGGAACAGAACAGTGGGGCGTTCAACTTGATTGCATTTCATTTCTAACCAAGAGAAACTGAATTCGATCCTGGTGTTGGTCGAGGAAGTGCACCAAGATTTGCAAGCGCGGTTTACCCCTTGTAAGTCGTGCAGGATCAAATGACCCTGGCACGAAACAAACAGTGGATAGTCGTTGGGATTCGGCATACAAGAGATCCGTTTGACAACTTGAATTTGAAATAAGATTAGGCGGGGGTGTTTTGTCATTTTATTATTATAAATGAAATGATTCACCTTGAATTAGTTACGACAAAGTAATAAAAAATTCGAACTTTTTTGTTTTGATCATGGCCTGGGGCTGATATCGTACTCTTGGAAACTTCACATTACTAAGGAATCCCAATTCTTCAAAATAAAACAGTATTACTCCTTAATTAAAGATACCTTATCTAAGAGCTAAATCTGACTATTGCAGGTCTTTCTTGTGGCTTCAAATGTTATGCAAATGATTAATGAGACATGACAAGCCCATAATCAAACTCTCTAGAGCATCGGATGGTTGTGATTTGGAACGGATTGGTGCACGATAACTCTTTAATAATTTAGAAATGGATAATGGAGACTGTGTTTGTTATTCTAACCACGGTAGCAATGAAAATCGAGACTACGTTTAGAATGTAGTAATTTGATTATCTATATCATTATCTATTTTGTAACTATTATATGCTAGGTTCCCACTATCACGATTCGCGCTACGATCGAAGTCGTGGTTTTAATCTTGGAGTAATCGTGGTGATCCTATTAGGGCTTATCATATGTTGAGGTCAGTCGTAGCAATCGTGTTGATAGTATCGGAACATATCCGAACGTATCCGCACGTACCAGATTGTGGAATAAATAGGGACAATCTTGTCGTAAAGCATCGCACGACAGTGGGAACCTAACAATAGCGAGAGCTGTCAGATCTTTATCGAAATCTTACATAAAGCATCTTCATTCTCGCTAAAAGAAACTTCACAAAATTATTTGCTTTTCCAAATGATACCCCTTTGTCATTATCCTAGCTGCTGAAGAAAAGTAGGACGTTAGATCCCCTTGTTTTCCAAATGATGTCAAATCCGAATATTTATAAATAAACTTCACTGTGATACAATTTGGCGCCCGTTGTGTTATTTTCAGCCATTATTATATCTGAAAAATTGGGCAAAAAACACAATTCGCGTAATTACTATATATTGCCAATTTTTTATCTTTTTTTTTGTTTATAGATATTGATGAATGTTCTGAAAGACGAGGTGTCTGTCGCCATGGTACCTGTCAGAACTCCGAGGGAAGTTTCTTCTGTACGTGTTTTGACGGTTACAGGTTAGACAGATCACGTGATCGATGTATCGGTGAGTTAAATAGTATACAATGCTAGTCAATGTTAGAGCGGGGTGGGCCTAGTGGTCTAAAGTGTCGCGCTTCCACCTCTAGCTGGCTGGTCACCTCTGGCTTGCGGTTGTGGTTTCGATCCCTGGTGTGAGCGTATTTAGCTTGGAGATAGGGACGCCTTCTCAACCTCGTTGGTTTACTGCAGGTACTCCGGTTTCCTCCCACAGGAAAGGCCCATGTGTCTGGAGCTGCGGTGGTCCAGTGTGTATGATTCTTGCTCGCTCACCAGAAGGTGGTTTCAGATTCGATACTGATGCCGGTCGAAAAAGATCCTAGAGCTTTTCGGTCGTGGCTTCTCCTTATCAGTGGTGCAAAACAAGGGGCGGTGTCTAGTCGAGATCCCGTGTACGTAAAATTCGAAATAGCAACTGCTGGATGCACGTCATCATTAGCCAGGGGGAGGGGGTTGGATGGCTGAATGATTAGCCTGTGCGTGCTGTATCATAAAGTCTGTCATTGAGTCAACTGGCGTGGTTTCGAATCCCCGGTTGTACGTGACAAGGAGTACGGTCGCCTGTCCAACCTCGTGGGTTTTCTCCGGGTCCTCCGGTTTCCTCCCACTGCTACCCCCCCCCCCACTACGCGCAAGCGAATTATTGAAATGAAATTAAACCATATTTTAGTCCCGAAATGACCTAGTTTGTGTCGTGTGGGCGTTAAACCCCATCTCTCTCTCTCTCTCTCTCTCTCTCTCTCTACCTCTACTCATTAGCCCTTCGGTTCAGAAAATTAGAAGGTTAAACCCCATTCCACGTCCTTGTGTCGCTCTATGTTATGTATACGCATGTGTTATATAATGAATATTGAAGAATGTTCTTTAAAGCCCTGTGTTTTATTATTTAAAGCCAAACATTATATTATGAATATTGATGGATATTATTTAAAGCCAAACATTAAATTATGAATATTGATGAATGTTGTTTAACATTGATTGATTGTAGATGTGGATGAATGTCGAGCTATACCAGAATTATGTTTCAATGGACGATGTCAGAATACAGCTGGTAGTTTTAGATGTGTTTGTCCACCAGGGTTTACACTCACCAGTGATGGCAGAGAATGTAGAGGTATATTTGATTATACATATCAAAATATGAATCTAACTACATTATTTTAAAAGACGGGAGGAGGAGAGGGGCAGGGAGGGGATAAACATGTCAATGGGTCGCCAAGTTGATTAATTCCTCTGTGATGTTATATAAACGACTTGAGTTGACTGACAGTTTATTTATAGCTTTAGGTATCTCCCCACAAATACAAAGTTTTGAGGGGGATTTGAAGCAAAATTTTGATAGATTGATTAGTTTGAACATGTTTTAGTCCAAATATATCATCAAATCACACTGTTTATACATGGGAAAGTATTTTTAATTTCATTTTATTTTTTCAGTCTTGTTGTTATATTTTGTCTCTATAAATAAACCAAACGATGATTTCCATACGTATGTGGTTTTGTTCATTATGTCAATTTGTGTTACAGATATGCGTAAAGGGCAATGTTTCCGTCAGTTTTTAAATGGTCGATGTTCTGCTCCACGTCCTATGAATACCACCAGAGCTCAGTGTTGTTGTACTAAAGGTGAAGCATGGGGTGGATATACATGTGAGGTCTGTCCATCACAAGGAGATGGTAAGAATTTGTTTTTAAACTAAACACTATTAATAAATACACAGAACACAGGTCAATGGAATACAATTACTGGTTATTACTGAGCGGGAACCACGGTGGCTAAGTGGGTAAGACGGTGGCTCGCTTGCCTGGAGGTCGCGTGTTCGATCCCTGCATTGGCCGAGAAAGTTCATAGGGATTTTCCGACGTGGTTGCCCGTGACAGTGGTGCAGGACAGAGAACCTGACAAGGACATCTGTCTAGTCGTTTGGATGGGACGCAAAACCCAGATCCTGCTTTACATTGGCATAAAACGTAAAAGACCCCTTCGCAGTTGCCATTCGATGTAAGAGTAGGCCATAGTGCTGCTGCCCGGAAAAAATTCCCCTAATAGCACACTGTATGGCGTATGCCCGTCTTTATTAGCCCTGTCGAAGCTGAACAGTACGACTTTAAGCCCCATTTCATTTCATATTTATTACTGAGCAACGTTTCGACTAGGACACATGTCTATGGTATACGTTTACTGGTTACTTCCGAGGAGTGACGTTTTGACTACGATTTGACTACGATTCCGCAGCCCTTGTCAATGCTAGCAAAGGTGACTCAGCCAGTAGAACGTTGAATCGTTAACCTGGAGATGCCGGGTTCTAGTCGTTCTGGACTAAAACCGAGGTCTCTTGCACGTAAAATAACCATTGTCAATTGGATTTTGAATACATGGACATCTCTATTTACCAATTGTAGTTTTGTTTGACGGCTAAATCTATTTGTTAAGACCAGCTCAATTTTCGTCTAGGTCGCTGAGAGACAAGTAAGTCGTCAAGGGCACACGATTTGACGAGAGATTGTAGGTTAGGGTTATTGGGGGTGAGGATTCTTTACAGACGGTACTGAAGTATCTCTATTTATCAATTATAGTTTTATTTTTCACCTAAATGGTTGTCTCATGCTCTAGAAATATATCTCAAATATGGCTAGATTGTCAGACGTAACTCTATACGATATCGAGCTAACAGCATCAATTATAGTATTAATCTTATTTAAGGCGACACCGTCACTTACAGCTACTTATTAAATATGTCGCACCCTTTAATACACGTAGTTCAATATTTAAACGAGAGAGAGAGAGAGAGAGAGAGAGGTCAATTCAGGACTAAAATAGATGTTGTTTCAACAATTCGCTTGCGCGTAGAGTCATTAGCTATGGGAGGAAACCCAAAAGGTTGGACAGACGACCCTGCTCCTTGTCATGTAGAAGTGTAGGCTCCAAGATATGCCACTTGACTAAATGACGGGCCTTGTGATCTAACGTGCATGCATGATATCATTCCGCCAACCACCCCGCAAGATAATTGAATGTAAATGAAACGAAAAGGGTTTAGCGACCTATTTTTCTGTACCGACTGGGTATTGAAGACTGTCATACGCTATGCCATGTGCTTTGAGGGTAATTTTTCCTGGATAGGAGCACCAAGATCTGCTCTTATTTCGAATTCCAACTCTTCCAAGGTGAAATGAAATGGGGTTTAACGTCCTACTGTTCCGCTCCGAACTGGGCTAATGAAGACGGGCATACGCCATACAATGTGCTATGAGGGAAAATTTTGCCCGGACAGCGGCACTACGGCCTACTCTTATATCGAATTGCAACTGTCATGGGATCTTTTACGTGCACGCCAATGTGTACACGGGACCTCGGTTTTCCGTCCTATCCGAACGACTAGACAGCTGTTCTTGTCAGGCCCTCCGTCCTGCATCACTGACAAGGGGGAAACCACGCTGAAAAATCTGGATGAACTTTCTCGGCCAATGCAGGGATCGAACACCCGACCTCCAGGCTAGCGAGTCATTGTCTTATCTCTTCCAAAGTACCCTTTACGTACCTGCCAAGGTGCACACCGGACACAGGACACGGGATCTCGTATTGTGGTCCTATCCACACTACATGTACTAAACACTACTCCTTGTCCATGTGCCCTGTCCTTCACCAGGATAATTGAAAGTCAGCATTATCAACTTCCGAGATTCCTTTTACGTCCATGTCAATGTGCACACAGGACCTAGGATCTCGTTTTGTCATCCCACCCACACTACTAAACGCTGGTCCTAATTAAAAGTTAGCATAATCAACTATAACATTGACTTAGAACATTTAGTTGTAGACTAGGCCTACATTTTTTTTTATACATTTTACCTATGTGGTTACTTGTATAGTTAAATTTTACTACAATATGCTTACATTCATATTTCTTGTAACATATAGCAGATCATGACTCATGCTGGCATTACACAATGGTCTCTCTGGGTTTTATTCCTGATTGTTTTCAAATTTGAGTGAAGTCTGTGTCACTACAGGCCCGGGACTGTACAGCTTAGTGGACGCTCACGGCTAGCCCCCGAATCCGTTCACTTTATTTGAATTGTGCGTTTGTTTGTGAGTTCTGCTTAATATATCTTGTCCGTATATTTGTTGTTGTGTAAATTATGTGTGGTACAGTCACCCTGCACTTTTATTAATATGTCGTATAACATAACTACAGTATCTTCTTTCATTGTAGCCGGATTCCGACATCTGTGTCCAGAAGGTTACGGCTACGTCAAATTGATGCCAGAAGAAATAATGACAGGTAAAAAACATTAACTTGGAGTAGTAGACGACTTAATAATAGACCGGTAGACGTAATTATTATTGTTATGAATGATACCTGACAACATTATTGATATGTTATGTCTAAGTTGTTGATTTCAGGAAAATCTCTTTCAGACAGTTTAGGGTTACATACATCATCCAAAGTCTTTTTAATTTATGCCTACACTGAACTTTTGTCGTATATTATCGACACCCGTATCACCCTCTTTTGCCCGTCTGGCGCCCACAATTGTTTGAGGACACCCTAGAGGTCAAAATTATCATCGGATTGCACTTTATACACGGTAGCTATATTCGTCTTGATTTTCAACAATTTTCAGTGATTACTGTCGATGTAACGACCGTAGTCATTTTGTATTCTAAAGTTGTCATCGATACACATTGTTCATGTTCATGCCTCAAAGAATCCTATTGATCTTCAACAGTTCCGATAATTAATGTTGGAGTTATAGCCCTTGATCAATTTGAAAAAGGCACTGGACTTCCTAGTGGCTTATGCTATCACCCGATTGATTTTTAAACGAATTTCAATAATTTGAACACCTTAAGTTATAATCTGATTAATGGTATCTCATTTGTTTATGCTAGCTCTATGAAAAACAAGAGGTCTACCACATTATAATTATTTATGTTAATGACTACAACGCCTGTTACCCTTGATCCATGTTTGTGAAACAGCTCCATTTAACGTCCGCTTCCACCGAGGTGATATCACAGACAAGTAAATGAAGAGTCCAGGGGAAGAACGATCTAAGTCACATTTTTGTCTGTTCGCATAAAAGGCAAAACAGACTTTTAGACAAGAATGTTTGACGCGAACAGTGGGTTTAATTACAACTTCAAAATGATGTTTAATACGAATCATAATTACCAGTACAGCTGACTTCAACTTTTCAGGCAAATTAAGGTTAAATAAAAGATACGATGGACTTGTATTTGTCCGGGAGGCCATTTCAAAAGGCCCTTGGTTCGATGTGACTCCGATGGTTTTTACCTGAAATTGATTGTTCCACAGAAAGCTATTTTCAATTTGCTACCACATGGCGCCATTAACAGGGGTTCATTGAAAATGTATAATTGCAACAACCTTTAACTGTTAATTACTTCAAGAGTTGATATCCTTAATCCATTTTAGGGATCCAATTGCCTGCCAACGGATATAAATACGACACCCTTTATTGACCATACGGTCGACATAACTATTTCGGGTTTTGTTTTTGTTGCCTGTCAACCTATCTTTTTATTGACAGACGTGAACGAGTGTTTGATGCATCCTGGTATATGTGAAGAAGGTGCGTGTATTAATACTGATGGATCGTTCCGGTGTGAATGTCGACCAGGCTATACCTTGGATGCTAGCGGAACCAGATGTGTTGGTATGTTGATATGATTTCGTTTGGTTAAAAATGTAGTGTGTACGGAATAAAGCAATCCTCATTAATGCAATGTTTCCTCCGTTCTACATGGTTTTTTTTATCATTATTTTGTCGTTTGTGAATCATTTTTTATACGCCCACATTGGAAATGTGGTCGTATATTGCCGTCGCCCCCTTCCGTCCGTACGTCTGTCCTTACATCCGTCCGTCGTCCACAATTTCTTGTGAACACTCTACAGACTACATTTATTATTTGATTGTTTTGAAATTGATATATGTTGTGTACATTACTGAGTTGAATAAGCCTATGGATTTTCAGCGATTTCCGATAATTACTGCCAGAGTTATGGCCCTTGATCACTTTGAAAAATCGTGTAGACTAGAGGCTAAAGTTAATATCCGATTGACTTTAAATTTATACATAGTGTTTAAAGTCATGAGATGAAGGAGCCAATTGATTTCTAACGATATTCGATTATTACTGCCAGAGTTATGGCCCTTGATCACTTGATCACTTGCTCTAGAGGCAAAAGTTAATATCCGATTGACTTCAGATTTATACACAGTGTTTAAGGTCGTGAGACGTAGAAGCCCATTGATTGTCAGTGATTTCAGATAATTACTTCCAGAGTTATGGCCCTGGATCACTTTGAAAAATCTTATGGATGCTCTAGAGACCAAAGTTATCATCCGATTGACTTTAGATTGATAAACAGAGTTTAAGGGTCTTGAAACGAACAAGTATATTGACTTTCAATGAATTTTGATAACTTGAACAGCTAAATCCATGATATTAAATGTTCCGTATATTAAACGTTAACATGGTGCATAACTAAAAGCCAAACAAATTCTAATGATTTTATGATAATTACTGAATGAGTCGTTACTCTTAATCAGATTTTAGTGTATTATAAATATTAATGTTTCATTACCGACAATAGAAAAAATATACGACAACTCATGTTGACTGCCCGGACGATTTAGCTGCTGTGGGCGTATGTTTCTTTGCCTGGAAACCTATCTTTACTAATTACTTCCGCGTTGTCTTTAGGATAGGTTTGTCTTTATTCATTACAAATTTCGTTCGAAACCATAGAATATTCGACTGTTTATGAAATGTTCATTATGTGTTAAATATTGGATATTAGGATCACAACATCTCTGTTGATTGAAATAGGCCATTATTGAATTCTAAGTCGTGTCTTTAATTTCGAATATTATGGAAAATATCGAGTTACTGGTTTAGCTCCTTTAATGTAGGTTTTTGGTATGCCCTAGTGGATCCGTACGTTTGAAGGCTGTTCAAATTGTGTTTAAGTGACCAATGAGTAGCCGAATTAATGATCGAATCCCTTCAATTTTGGCCGACATTCCTCTCCCATATCCCAATCTTACGGTTCCTTTGGCCACTAATGGGAGATTAGATAACGAGCTGGCAGTTCTCGCTATAATAGTTAAACACTAGATAATGTAAAGGGTATTTGCTGAAAATTTCAGTCAAATTGATGCACTCTGAACCGAGGATTTAACAACTGTATTTTCGGCCTCGATCATCATTACTAAATTTGCTACGATAAAAAAACGTAATCTCGATTATCCATTTCATGATTTAATCATGAATGAAAGTTGACCAGCAAATCGGATACTAATCCGATAAATATTGATTATGGTTTGGATAAGTTAATTAATGTCTAATGAATAATTTAGATAACATTTCAGACCAAAAAAAGACCAGCAACAGGCAGATTTAGCTCTTGCATAATGTATGTTTAGATTAACTACTGTAATAGAATTTTAGCCGTAATATTTTTATTAACGTGATTGTTAATTTCAGATGCTAATGAATGTCGAGATAGATCTGTGTGTGGAAATGGCACGTGTACCAATATGTTAGGTGGTTTTGAGTGTTCGTGTATGGATGGGTTTGCACCAGGCTCAAGTGGAAGATGCGAAGGTAAGTAATAAGTAATGATATCACGTGGTTTCATTTGATATTATGGGAGACGCGGTGGATTAGTGGGCAAGACGTTGGCTCGCTAACCTGGAGATCTCTTGTTTGATCCCTGTGTTGGCCGCGAAACGTCATCTGGATTTTCAGGCATGGTTCCACCTTTCATCGTTGCAGAACAGAGGACCTCTCAAGGGACAATGTATAGTTGTTTGGTGGGACGGCAAAGCGGGGTCCCACATGCATAACCTCAAACTCCTTACCGTCTTTGTCTTGGCATCGGCTGTGACTGTACGTATATTGACTGGCAGTATATGCTTTTGAGAAAAAGGACTCACATGGACCCAAGAACCCCCAACTCTACCCAGGGAATTACATATAATAGGTTTATTCCTTTTCTTTCAGATTTGAATGAGTGTGTGACGTCAGCTAACCAATGTGCCTTCCGGTGTGTAAACATTCCTGGATCGTTTAGATGTGTCTGTCCAATGGGATATAAAGTGGCTGAAGACAACATCCACTGTGAAGGTAAATACCATTCGGGTTTCTATAAGTCTGTTTCCAGCATTATTCATCAGTCATACACTACATCATCACTTGGGTTCGATGGACCCACGTTGGGACGCGTGTTCGATTCCAGCTTTCGCCGAGAAAGTTTATCGGGATATTCAGGTGTAGTTCACTCTTATCACTGGTGTGGGGAGGAAGGCTTGACAAGGTGCAACGTGTAGTCTTCGGATTTTACGAAACACCGAGGTCTCATGTTCATAGTCCCGTTGACATAAACGAACTATTGACAGTTGGAATTCGATATAAGAGTAGGTCGTAGTGGTTCTGTCCGGATAAAATGTCCCTCATAGCACACTGTATGGCGTATGTCTGTCTTCATTAGCCCGGTTTGAGCAGAACAGTAGGGCGTTAAACCCCATTTCGGATTCGTTACACCCCATTTCAGTACATAGCCATATCGGTGAAGAACAGCAGGACGTTAAATCCCACTGCATTACATTTTGATAACACCATACAGAGACATACATTCATAACCACGTGGAAGTCACGGAGGCTCGTTGAATAAGTCGCTGGTTCGCTACTTTTCGCGTAAATTTCTAGCGTTGTTTACCGTTGTCAGTGATAGAGGACGCAGAAACAGAATCTTGTCATTCGGATGGGACAAAAACAGTGTCCTTTCGTGTGTATGAAGGTATGCACGTACATGAAGTCTTCATACTCGAAATTTGATGAAGAGTAGGACGAAAAGCCGCTGCCCTGGCAGCATGTCCTCCATACTACACTGCATGGCACATGACCTTCTTCATTATCCTGATTGGTACAGAAAATATGACGTTGAACCCTATTTCATTTTTTATTACTTTATGTAATCATTCTTTGACAAACTGGAATTAGAAGACAATTTCGTTACCTTAACATCCCACATATTTTCTTTAAATCATGTGTTCAGAACACGTGGATTCATTGGCCTATCCGATGTCTTGTATTGGTATACGGAAATGTGGGATATTAGAGAGTTTGCGCAAACAACGAATACCAGAACTAATACATCATCAGTTTATGTGCTGACTTCACTCGTATTCGTCTCACCAGCCATTTGGATACGCGTTCAAACCGAAACGAATACGGTTTTCGTTTTGTTATTCTCACACTTTCTGCATTCAACTCAAATCACCTCAAAAATGCATTATTTTGTGTCTAGAGTGTTTTTTCTATTATGTGAACTTGTTTTTTGTTGACAGAAAAATCGATTGAGTGTTTTATATATGAAAAGAAATTTATTGATTTATTACTTTTTTTCCATCTTGTTAGTCCCGAAATGAACTAGTTTGTGTCGAAATGACGTTAAAATCTCTATTTTAGTTCTGAAATTAATGGTCTGTGCTGATCAGACGCTAACCTCTCCCTCTGTCTCTCTCTCTCTCTCTCTCCATTTTAAAAGTACAGTCGCAAAAATGATCGGCATACAATTCCCTAGCTAAAAACAGGCGCGCATTTAAGCGTTGTCAGTTCTGTCAACTCTTAGTAAAAGGCAGAATTGGCTGGCAGGTCTCCAGATTCTGCCGCATTTTTGTTCCTCTCGTTCACAACTCCAATGCCAGGAAATTGACTAAATTTTCAGTCCCAGTCCCAAATAATTAAAAGCTCAATACATAATATACGTCGCTATCTGAAATGTTTTTCGCACCTATGGCCTCCAATTCCATTATATCATCATTCTTCCAACTCCTATGTGGTCTTATACTATCTCATCACTATCATATTTACAGTTATAGTGGACCGCCCAGTCATGGGGTGACAGATCCTACAAAACAGGCAGAATTGACAGACAGGTCTCGAGAATCTGTCCCATTTCTGTCCCTCGCGTATATACCGAGTACCTACTTTGATCTACCTATTGTGGCATGGATGTTACTTCCAAAACATATCCTAGTAGACCAGTGGTTCTCAACCTTTTTTGCCAACGGCACACCTTGAAACATATGAAAAAATAGCGGCACACCTGGCTAAATATATATGAAAAATATTTGAACTTTGCAAACTAAATAAAGAAAAACACAGCTATGAACTTATTGCCCGGACAGTGGCACTACGGCCTACTCTTATGTCGAATTCTAATTCCCAAGGGATCTTTTACATGCAGGCCAATGTGTACACGGGACCTCGGTTTTTCGTCCCATCCGAACGACTAGACAGTTGTCCTTGTCAGGCCCTCCGTCCTGTATCACTGAACCTTTGTCGGCTAATACCGGTACCGGACCCGTGGTTAATGAGTCAACGCCTTACTCACTGATCCATCGCGGCATCCTTATTAACTATGCCTCTTACAGTTAAAAGTCGGTTATGAATAAAAAAAAGCATAGGTTAGATTTCATTGTATGGATATGAGAAAAGCGTACACGAAAGGAAGTAACCATCTATTTTAAAATGTTTGACGTCTATCAACTACACTGATTGTCTACGTCTCTTCCTGACATAATAAATTGATTTACTGCTGCCTTTAAACATCGAGAGAGAGAGAGAGGGGGGGGGGCGAGAGAGAGAGAGAGAGAGAGAGAGAGATGGGGGGGGGGGGGTAACGTACACCCGACTAAGATATGGTTCAACTTTTATTCCAATAATTTGCTTGTGCTTAGACGTCTTTACCAGTGGTAGGAAACCGGAGGACGGGGAAAACCCTACTCCTTGTCACGTACAAGCTTGGGATGGAAACTACGTCACTTGACTCAATGACAGACCTTATGATCTAAATCGCACGCGTTAGACCATTTTGTCCCCAACCCCCTGTTAGTGAGAAACTTACCGGGTTTATAACACTAGAGTGAAATTAAATGTAATGAGGTTTAACGTCCGACTTAGCTTATGAAGACGATCATACTTTAATATCTAATTGCAACTGTCAAGGGATCTTTTATGTGAACAACAATTTATACACAGGACCTAGATGTTTCGTCCGAGCGATTAGACCACTGTCCATGCCAGGCCCTCGGTCCTGCAACACTGACAAGAGAAAGCCACGTCTGAAAATCCCAGTGAACCTTTCTCAGCCAATGAGGGATCGAACATCCGACCGCCAGGCTAGCGAGCCAGCATCTTAACCACTTAGCCACCGTGGTTCCTATAATACGTGAGGCAAACGCTAATTGCATACATCTGTTAAGCAAATCAGTTGGAGGTGGGGTTGGATGGCCGAATGGTTAGCGTAGGTGTGGTTTCGATCCCCCGGTTCTACGTGACAAGGAGTAGTGTTGCCCGTAAGGCTCGTGAGTTTTCTCCGGGTCCTCCGGTTTTCTCCCACTGCTAAAGACCCTTACGCGCAAGGGAATTATTAAAATAAAATTGAACCATATGTTAGTCCCGAAAGGACCCGGAGAAAACCAACGAGCTTGAACAGGCGGGCCTGCTCCTTGTCACGTACAACCGGGGAATAGAAACCATGCCAGTTGACTCAATGACAGATCTTCTGATACAACGCGCACGCGCTAACCATTCGGCCATCCAACTCCCCGTAGACGAAAGCGCGACTGTGTGGACAAACGTTTTCCTTCATGGGATATTGCGCGTCATTATTAATCTAGTTTAATGTTCATTTCCCTGTCCTCCCCATCCAGCGTGCCCCCCCCCCCTTGTCAGTGATGAAGGACCGAGGGCCTGACAAAGGCAGTTGTCTAGTCGTTCGGATAGGACCAAAAACCGAGGTCCCTTGTACACATTGGCGTGCACGTAAAAGATCCTTTGGCGGTTCGAATTCGATATAAGAGTAGACCGTTGTGCCGCTGTTCGGGCAAAGTTTGCCTCATAGTACACTGTATGGCGTATGCTCGTCTTTATTAGCCCAGTTCGGAGCAGAAGAGTAGGACGTTAAACCCCATTTCTTTTCATTTCATTTCATTTCTGTCCTGTCCATTTCCCGGTTGTACGTGACAAGGACAAGAGTCGCCTGTCCAACCTCGTGGGTTTTCTCCGGGTCCTGCGGTATCCTCCCCTCCAAAAGATCTCTCTCTCTCTCTCTCTCTCTCTCTCTCTCTCTCTCTCCTGTCCAGGCCAAACTTAATGATGAAAAACCTTTTACGAACTTCCTGCACTATAAGATATCAGTTTATTTTGAAATATAGAAGTCCCACATTTCTGATCAATTTCCTTCAAGACAGATTAACAAAGATAAATTGTCTCAACAGGAAAAGTGTTAATAGAAAATATAATGATGTTTGTCGTAAAAATGCGAGATGTTCTAATTCTATGTGTTTCTTAATAGTGACATGTAAAACTACTTCGTAGTTTTTCCATAATTTAAAAGACGAATATAATAAGCAATTTCCTGAAGTCATGTTTTATAGTGTGCTATACTAACAGTAGGTGCAGACGAACCGCGCTACACATGAATTGAAAAGAGTAGCAGGTGCTGCCCTTGTCTAAACATCTGGCATCTATTTTGGGGGGTTGGGTGGCCGAATGGTTAGCACTTGCGCGCTGTATCAGAAGGTCAACTGACGTGGTTTCGATTCCCCGGTTGTACGTGACAAGGAGTAGGGCCGCCTGTCCAACCTCGTTGGTTTTCTCCTGGTCCCCCCCTTTTTCTTCCATCGCGAAAGACCCCTACGCGCAAGCGAATTATTGAAATAAAATTGAACCATGTGTTAGTCCCGAAATGACCTAGTTTGTGTTGAGTGGACGTAGAACCCATTTCTCTCTCTCTCTCTCTCTCTCTCTCTCTCTCTCTCTCTGACACCCATTTTTTTTTAAAGATAACTTTTATTATATACAGTCAGCTCAAAAGTACAAATCCATTTCGTTACACTTTTAAGTAGCAAATTATGGCACTACACAATGCTCTGAAATACAGAAATGACAATTTTAATCTTTACAGAGTCTTAGATAGGAGATTAGTCCCACTTCCATTACCTCTCAGTGGCGCCACGATACTTGCCCTACCTGCCTTGTCGTAGACACGCGACTCATCAGTAAACTCGCAAATCATTAAAACACGTGATGGCGGGTGGGGGGTTGGGGGGGCTTGTTGGCTAAATCTATTTGTTAAGACCATTTTTGGGTAAGTGTTTCGTATTAATTGTACTCATTTGTGCACGAGATGACGGGACTATAGTACCCTACTTCCAACAATGGATACTGACATAACTGTCGGTGAGTTAGTCTAAGATAGTAGTAGAATAATACAAGCTACTTCATTGCCCTAGTTTTCGTCACACATCATGTAGGTAACGAATTTCTATATTAAACAGAACACCTTTCTTATAACTAAAATAAACCCTATAGTATTACACATAGTCCCGGATATGTAATCTTCTCTCAAAATAAACTCACAGGCCTAACTAAGTTTGGTTAACACTTCCACACCATTAATAGCTGTAAAGACATTTTACAGGGCGTAGAAAGTTTAAACATACATTATGCAAGAGCTAAATCTGTCTATTGCAGATCTTTCTTTGGGCCTAAAATGTTATATAAATTATTAATTAGGCATTAATTAACTTATCCAGACCATAATCAACTCTCGATGTCATCGCTAGACTGCCATGTTTACTGGATTAGATTCCTATTTGCTGTTCGACTTCCATTTATAATTAAATCATGAAATGGATAATCGAGACTATGGATTTTATCCTACCGACTTTAGTAATGATGATCGAGACTAGGCCGAAAATTCAATCGCTAAAATATCGGTTATTAGTGGATCAATTTGACTGAAATTTTCAGCAAATTCTCTTTACATTATCTAGTTTTTAACCATTATAGTGAGAACTGCCAACTCTTTATCTAATCTCCCATAATGTATTTTTTAATGGTTTTCAAAAAATAATGTTTTAACAAGCACAAAGAAGTCGGAAAACATCACAACGATCCTGACAAATCTTCACTTGCTTCCAGTTGCCTATCCAACCCCGTGGGTTTTCTCCGGGTCCTCCGGTTTCCTCCCACTGCTAAAGACCCCTACGCGCAAGCGAATTATAGAAATTTAAAAAAATTAAACGATATGTTAGTCCCGAAATGACCTAGTTTGTGTCGAGTGGACGTTAAACCCCATTTCTCTCTCTCTCTCTTTAATTTGATCGGGGGACGTGTTCGTCGACGTCGACGTCAATGTCAACTGACAACACTGCAAGAATTGGCCGTGGCACTGCAAGAAGAGTGGGTCAGATTGCCCCAAATCGTGATTGGACGGTTGATTAGGAGCATGCCACGAGGATTTGTGGAGCAATTACCCATTATTAAGACAAAAATCAAAAACTTTCATTTCACTTTTGACAGTGTATCTTTTTTCGAGTGAAATGGGGCCATCAGATAAACCGCAAATATGAACTGTTTATGTTCATGTGTAGGCAATTGGCCTGTTATTAACATACACTGGTTACCTCTAATAAAAACAGCAGTGCATTTCCGCAGTTCTGTATTCTTTTTGAATATCCCCTACTTTTTTTGAAAAGTAATTATCAAAGTTCTGATGACTCCATACAAATCCACAAAAACGCTAAGATCTACGGAAGACCAAACAGCTATTTATTCAGTGTTCTTAGTTCTTAATTCATAATCCTTAATTCTTATTCCTTCATTTGTTATCGTATATCGACATTTGTACACTAAAATTACATTTGTATCTTAAAATCAGTATTTGTTTTACAAATCAGAAATTTGTTTTACAAATCAGACATTTGTCATATCAGATTTGTCAATTAAGACCTAAGAACTAAGAAAACTGAATAAAGAGCGCTTTTTTCTTCCATATAGATCCACCGATAAACAATTTCTGCATCAACCATCACTGAATCGTGAAATTACAAAAAGATCTATCTCATTCTCCGCTTCTTTCTTATGGAATTCAATGCCTTACAACATAAGAGCCATTGACTCCTTGAATATTTTTTTTATCCAGATATACTTCAAACACCTTTTAGAAAACTGTTCTAGAATTCAATCTGCCAATATCCTACTGATAGGTTCTAATATTTTATATATTTATATATTTCTGTTTTCGTATTTATTAGTTAGACAATGCAGCAATACCACCCTTCCGCCTCCACCCTGCCAATATGCTACTGATAGGATTTAATATTTTATATATATCTTGTAGATACCAGTTAGATAATACAGCACCCCCGCCTTGCCAATATCATACTGATAGGTTTTAATATTTTATATATTTTTGTTCTTGTAGATATCAGATAATTCAGCACCCCCACCCTAGTGTCTTTTATTATTTTATATATTTCTGTTCTAACAGCGCCCCCATCCTGCCAATATCCTGCTCATACGTTTTATTATTTTATATATTTCTGTACTTATAGATATCATGGAGACAATCTGATATTTCGTTTCGTTTTTTTTTTATACTTTCGATGGCCTATACTACATGAAGATCTTACCAGTTGTTTTGGGAGGTCGCGTTAGAGGTCATACTAGCGGCTTTTGGCCTATGGCGTCAGACATTTGATTAACCAATCAGTATTGGCGTGTCTAGTGGATTACCCAGAGTTCCGTGCACCACATGCCAAAAGCTCGCCGTAACAGACCGTTTCATTGGCTAACCCCTCACATCATCCAGAACACGTCAATGGTAACAACTCTTCCAGATCCTAGTGTAGTAAAGACAAGTAAAGCGAAATTTTGAACTATAAAAAAACGAAACGAAATAGGATCTGTGTTTTAACCAGATTGTTATGGAGATGATACGTTTTATTATTTTATATATTTCTGTTCTTTCTTGTAGATATCGACGAATGTACCACACGGAGAAATAGATGTAAATACGCCTGTAAGAATATTATAGGGTCCTTTCTGTGCGTATGTCCTGAAGGCTACAGATCTATTGGACAAGATGAATGTCAAGGTTGTACAGGAATTTATTACATTTATTTTCTTAGAAAATCTAACCAAGTTTATTTGTGTCCTGTTGCTACATGGTTTTATCGTGTCGCAAAACAGATATTTGTCGTGTCGCAAAACAGATATTTGTCGTGTCGCAAAACAGATATTTGTCGTGTCGCAAAACAGATATTTGTCCTGTCGCAAAACAGATTTTTGTCGTATCGCAAAACAGATTTTTGTTGTGTCGCAATAAATTTTGTCGTGTCACAAAATTTGTATCTCTCAACAGATGTTTGTCGTGTCGCAACAAGTGCATATCGCAACAGATGTTTGTCGTGTCGCAACAAGCGTTTCTAGCAACATTTGACGTGTCGCGGAAAGATCTGTGAATTTATATTGATGACTGTACCCATTAACTTCACTGATTGTTATTTTCAATTCCCGGAATACGAAATCAACAACATGAATGGTAGATTCAGTGGTATTAAAAATAGACCTATCAAATTTGGCTGCTCGGAAGACTTAGCAGCTCGTGAGCCGTATGTTGCGTTCTCTGGCAAACTACTTTTGTCATGTTTACCATAAAAACATATCATATGCATAGGAACAATAGATGTTTAGCGGTAAACTCGTTAAATCTGTATAAACTCTGTTAGAACGGAACTGGTGTAGACATTATGACATTATAGGATACCAATTATAGCATTATAGTCCTATAACCTTCTACACAGATTCCAGACGATTTCTGTGTTTATTGATATTTTAACGAGCCTCAGAGTTCCGATCTGTTTTTGTTTTCAATCGGAATATAGCTATAGTATACTCCACCCTTGGGGTTTCAGGGCCGAATGGTCTAATGTGTGTGCGCTAGATCATTAGGCCTGTCATTGAGTCAAGTGGCGTTATTCCTCCGCTTGTACGTGACAAGGCATATGGTCGCCTGTCCAACCTCTTGGGGTTTTTTTACGCCCACATTGAATTGTGGTTGTATAAAACCGTGGCCCCTGTCCGCCCGTCCGTACGTCGGTCCGGAGGCCACAAATCCACGTGGACGCTCTAGAGGCTAAAGTTAATATCCGATTGATTTTAAATTTATACACAGTGTTTAAGCTCATGAGATTAAGACATTTTTCTCCGTGTCCTTAACTTTCCTCCCACTCCAATAGATCGATCGCTACGTGCAAGCGAATTAATGAAATGAATTTGACCCGTATGTTAGTCCCGAAATGACCTAGTTTGTGTCCAGTGAACGCCAAATCCCCGCCACCCTCTCTCTCTCTCTATGGCCCTTGGTTCACTTTGTAGAACGTTGTTAATGTTCGAACGACAAAAGTTATCATCCAATCCATATGAAATTGATAACAGTGTCTTGCAAATACTCCCATTATCCACCAAAGAAAACATATGCGGCAACACTTGACGGCTGCTCGGACGATTTATCTGCTGTAGTCGTATGTTTCGTTGACTGGCAACCTATCATTGTACTTGGATGTATATTGTTGCCGCCCATGTCCGTCTGTCCCTCCAGATGACTTTTACAAAGTGTGTGTGTGTGTGAAATAGCTTTATTTGACGTCCGCTTCCACTGAGGCGATACCGCAGACAATTTTACAAATAATAGAAGACATGGGATGGGACGACAATGTTATTCGGACCTTTTCCGTATGAAAGCTGTTCGATACATGCTGTTGTATCCGTGTACCGTATCACGTATGAGAAATACACATGCATTGGTGAAGTCATACGCAAAATCGATACGGATACGCGATACGGAACAGGCTTTTACGCTTGCCAAAAGTCTCTAGTATAGGGACAATCCTACCGTAACGCACGGGACGCAATGGGAACATAGCATTATATATTTATTTAATCTTGAAGATTTCTTCCGCCGTTCGGATATCAGCGTCAAACTACTAGCTAGGAGGTTATTAGGGCTCTACTAAAAACGGACCAGGGCAGATATGATATAGCTGACAAGGACAGCTGTCTAGTCGTTCGGATGGGACGAAAAACCGAAGTCCCGTGTGTACATTAGCGAGCATGTAAAAGATCCCTTGGCAGTTAGAATTCGATATAAGAGTAGACCATAGTTTCACTGCCCGGGCCAAATTTCCCTCATAGCACACTGTATGGTGTACGCCCATCTTCATTAGCCCAGTCGGAGCAGAACAGTAGGATATTAAACCCCATTTCATTTAATTTCTTTTATCAACAGATATCGATGAATGCCGTACTCAGCCCGGTGTATGTGCTAATGGTGTTTGTAGAAACACACAGGGTGGTTATAGATGTATCTGTAATAGAGGATATGATTCCAGTCCAGATGGAAAACGATGTTTTGGTAATTATAAATCTTGCTGTTGGTTTTCATGGGTTATCCTTCTGCCAGGTTCCCGCTATCACGATTCGTGCTACGATTAAAATCGTGGAGTAATCGTGATGATCCCGTTCATCGTATCAATGGGGGGTTGGATGGCTGAATGGTTGGCGTGCGCGCGCTGTATCATAAAGTCTGTCATTGAGTCGACTGGCGTGGTTTCGAATCCCCGGTTGTACGTGACAAGGAGTAGGGTCGCCTGTCCAACCTCGTGGGTTTTCTCCGGGTCCTCCGGTTTCCTCCCACTGCTCAAGACCCCTACGCACAAGCGAACAATTGAAATAAAATTAAAGCATATGTTAGTCCCGAAATGACCTAGTTTGTGTCGAGTGGACGTTAAACCCTATTTCTCTCTCTCATCGCATCAAAACGTTTCCGAACGGATCTAAACGGACCCAATCGTGGACTCAATAGGGGCAATCCGATCGTCACGCATCGCAAGGCAGTGGGAACATAGCATTAAGACGCAGAGCATTCGTGATATACCACCATTCAATCATTCTGTGTTTTTTGATGGTTTCTTTTTTGTGTGTTGGGGGTGGGGGGGGGGGGGGGGGCATGTTGTGATATTAGAATAATTGATAAATGGAATGTTATTCGTGATCAGATTTTAGTGCCTGGTAAATGTGTTAACTACCGACAAAAGAACAAAATAATATGCGACAACTCTTGATGACTCCTCGGACGACATATTTGATGTGGGCGTATGTTTCTTTGCCTGCCAACCCTATATTTATGTTTTGATAGGTGGTCTGTCGGGTTATTGTGGAACGGGTTATAATGTGTATTTTATGTTTGATAGATGTTCGATCGAGTTATTGTAGAACGGGTTATTGTAATGTGTATTTGTAATGTTTTTTTATAGATGGTCGATCGGGTTATTGCTATCCTATGTTGAATAATGGACGATGTCAAAGAACAAGAACGTCGCAGATTGCAACAAAATCAGAGTGCTGTTGTGGTCTAGCTACAGCCTGGGGACCAGGATGTGAACGATGTCCTAGACCTGGAACAGGTATGTTTCAGCTTATACTAGTCCAAATTGTAGAGAAGGTCCGGGTTCGATCCTAGTTTTATCTGGATTTTCCAGTCTGCTGTCAGTGGTAAAACATTAAGGTCTGGCCAGGAAGAACCTTTAGTCGTTCGGACGGGACAATAACCTAAGGGCCACTGGGTTAGCCTGCACGTAAAAGATCCCATGACAATTTGAATGTAATGAAGACCGAACGCGCCGCTATCTGGGCAAAATGTCCCCTCGCCATCCACTGTGTAACGTCCGCCCATCTACATCAACCTCGTTGGTGTAGAATAGCATGACTTTGAAACCATTTCATTTAATTTTCCATCCGAGAAAGTTCATCTGGATTTTCCGGCATGGTTTTCCCTTGTCAGTAGTGCAAGACACAGGGCCTAAGGACAGCTGTCTAGTCGTTCGAATGAGACGAGAAAACAGAGGCCCTGTTTACAAACTGGCGTGTACGTAAAAGATCCTTTGCAGTTGGAATCCGATATAAGAGTTGGTCGTTGCGCCACTGTCCGGGCACAATTGCCCTCATATAGTTTACGGTATGGCCCATTCACGTCTTCAATAGCCCAGCCGTTTCATTTCAATATTTTAATGTTACAAATTTCAAAGTAGCCCTCAAAAATCGCGTCCATCAAAAGCAATTTTAGATTTAACAATAACTATGGTAATTAAATATATTTATTACATTATTCAGATAAAAATGAAAACATGATTTATAGAAATTATAATGTAATTGGTTGTTAAAATCTTCGGTGGACATTTTACAATAACAATAGTTGTTAAATATATTTTTAGATTATTTAGATAAAATCAAAACAGATGATTTGTAGCAAATATAATGTAATTGGTTATTATAAACTTCTGTAAAAATGATTTTGGTTTTATTTATGATTTATTTCTGTAATTATTTCAGCTCAGTTTAAAGTGTTGTGTCCGCAGGGGCCAGGTTATAAGCCTGATGGAACAGGTAGGGTTAACCTGATAACTTCTCTACTTTATCCTGCAATAGCCGTCCTCGATGAAGGAATTCCCACCAGGCGTCGCTAGTAAAAATGCGGTTCCACGTGACCTTATCGATGGTAGGAGGAGCGTATTTCGACGTATCGGGATTAAATTCCATATTAACTTTAAATTTATATACAGTGTTTAAGGTCATGAGACGAAGAAGCCTATTGATTTTCAGCGATTTCCGATATTAAGAACAAAAACTAACGTTTGTCAACACACCAGTTTGTAATGAATGTACAGGAAAACAATGCTGTAAGACAGTGTTCTTAATCAGCTGTTTTTTTGTCGGCTTTAGCCGATTGATGTTTAATCTAGCCGATTGGTGAAACAAGGAACCGGCCACTATGGTATCATAAATCAATCTACTTTCGGCTAAATTACATCGGGTTAATTATTACTTGATAATTAAGAAGTCAATCAACTTGCTTGTCGGCTACAACAACAGTCATACCTTACAGTGTAAGGTAAACAATGAGGTCACGTGGGACCGCCTCCTCTATGGCGTCACCTATAAATTATGTCCCTTTATCTCTAGCGAGGACGCCCATTATTTTAGTAGAAAACAAAACACAGTCTACTTGATACAGGAAGACATTTAAATGACCTTTGACCCCCTTGGATCATAATAATCGGATTTTCTGATCGTATTCTACTCCTTAAATGTTTGGGAGTCGCGGTGGCTCAGAAAGTAATGCGTTGGTTCATTAAACAGGGGTCCGTGGTTTCCCCTTGGTGCAGGATTCAGTGCCCGTGTACACATTCCTTGACAGTTGGAATTTGAATTCGAATAAGAGTAGGCTGTCCGGTAAAAATGTCTCCCATTGCTTACTGTATGTCGTCTGCCCGTCGTCATTAACGCAGTTGGACAGTACAGCTCTACCTCAAACAAAGGGTTGAATAAACTTGAATTGATGGTATGATTTATTTTCAGATATTGATGAATGTATTGGAATGCCAGATGCCTGTAGAAATGGAAGATGTTTTAATACAATGGGTTCATATAGATGTGTTTGTAATCCAGGATTTAAAACTGATTCCAGTGGTAAACTATGTATAGGTATGTATCACAGTGGTAAACCATGTAACACAGTGGTAAACTATGTATATATATGTAACACAGTGGTAAACTATGTATAGGTATGTAACACAATGGTGGACTATGTAACACAGTGGTAAACTATGTTCAGGTATGTAATACAGTGGTAAACTATGTGTAGGTATGTAACGTTATATTCTCAACGCCAAACGGGATTTTATTCTTACTGTCAATTAAAACTCAGACAAGTTGGTCAATTTATACCCCTCCACCCCTGCATTACAAACCGAACACATTACTCGACAGACAGTGTGAATACAATACCGTGACAATTTAGGTGGTATTCAATCTGATTAAAACACAGATCCTATTTCGTTTCGTTTTTATAGTTCAAAATTTCGTTTTACTTGTCTTTAGTACAGTAGAATCTGGAAGAGTTGTTATTTAAACCGCATCTGGGTGATGCGAGGGATTAGCCAATGAAACGGTCTGTTACGGCGAGTGTTTGGCGTGAGGTGCACGGAACTGTGGGTAACCCACTAAAAACATCAACGCTGATTGGTTAATCATATATCTGACGTCATAGGGACAAAAGCCGCCCGTGTGATCCCTGCCGCGACTTTCCACTACAACCAGCCAGATGTAGTGTAGGCCGTCGAAAGTATAATAAAAACGAAACGAAATATAAATTGTTTCAATGGCATTTAGTAATAACATGGAATATGCAGGTCACAATTCCATGGAATGCAATTACTACTTCTGTAGACATTATCAAACAATGATAAGATGTGAAAATATAACAAGACAATTAATCAATTTGTCTTAATTTTTAGGTAAAGGGGTCGTTGGTATTAGCATTAAACTTTATAATCCTTGATTAAGTTAGATTCCCTTTAAGTACATGTAATTAAAAGGGGTATCTCTGGTTGGTCAGCATTAACTAAGTATTGATGTGTACATGTATATATTGTCTTGTCATGTTTTCATATTTTATCATTAATTAAATTAGATTCTCTTTAGGTACACGTAAAGGGGTATCTCTGGTTGATCAGCATTAACTAAGTATTGATGTGTACATGTACATATTGTCTTGTCATGTTTTCATATTTTATCATTGCTTGATAATGACTAGAGAAGCCTAGTCGAAACGTCGCAATAAGAAGTGATTGCATTCCATAGAACTGTGACCTGAATATGAAACGAAATATAGATCTATACTTTAATCAGATTGGGTGATATAAACACAAATATTAGTAGAAGTGATTTTCACTTTCCAGTTTGTGAAATGGTCGGAACAGTAACTCTCGCATCGGAGCATTGAACAGTAATCAATATTTAACCCATCTGAACAGTAATTGTTCTGCGCGGAGATTGCAAACTTACCCTACCTTAAACGAAAAGACATAATTGCTATGAATAGATTGACCAATTACATGTCTTATCCCTATTTTCCCGTTTTTGAGGGGTTAAAAATAAAAGTAGCTAAGCAGGGATATAACGGAATATATACCAAAAGCCTTTCAGAGCAGTGACCCCTTCCCAACTAGTCATTGATGCCCCACAATCTTTTAGCACACCCCCTTGATGATATCAGTCCTCCATTCAGTTATGTCTCTAATTTTTTTCTGAAAGCATGGCAACTACGACTGTCCTTAAGATTTCAAAATTATAAAAAAAAATTGTATGGGGGCGAACAGCATCGATAAAGTTATCTTCTACAAACTGTCAGTTATTGAAATATGAACTCGGTTAATTTCAGGTTGATGTTTATTATATCACAGAAATTGAAATGTTAAAAAAAAAATTTTCTCTAAAAAAAACCCATATATAACAAGATTTCCTTGTTGTCAAATATTTTACTAATTGATGTTTCCGTGGACATTCGCGATCAATCGTATTATTGCATCATTACAAACCATTCGCAATCCTATTATTGTACAACTGGAATTCTTGTGTATTTTCTTCAATTCTCCTTATTGACTAAATGCTAAATGAAGTCAGCAAACTCCAGTACGCTTTATCTAGCCTCGGCTGTATGACGAAGTCCGCCATTGGAACTACCTTTAAGTTCCCGGATTACCAACGGCGTTGCCCATGACGACGCCTTTGAAGAATGTTTTATCATACAAAGATTTCAAAGTCTGAAGCTGTTTTTCTTTCAAGTTATCCGATTTTCTTCAAACAAGAACAACTTTGCACCGAAAATTCTACACACGCTTCGAAGGACGAAATTTTGATAACTTCTTTTGAAACGCGCAAGGTTTCCTAATAAGTAAAGCGGTGTCGCATCGCAATTGTATAGGCGTAGGTACATATCGCTTACCGTCATACAGCCCAGGTTAGATGTAGAGTAACGGAATCTGCCGAGGTTTGCCGAGTGGGTTGTTAATATTACTATATTCCTTGGTTAACAAATAATCGACAGCAGGCAATTAATGTAACAAATATTGGTTCAATGCTTAAAGATACATTATGGGAGATTAGATAAAGAGCTGGCAGTTCTCACTATAATAGTTAAAAACTACATAATGCAAAGGGGATTTTCTGAAAATTTCAGTCTAATTGATCCAATCTGAGCCGAGATTTTAGCGATTGAATATTGGGGCTAGCCTCGATCATCATTATTAAAGTCGGTAGGATAAAAAAAACTTAGTCTCGATTATCCAATTTTTGATTTAATTATGAATGGAGAGAGAGAGAGAGAGAAATGGGGTTTAACGTCCACTCGACACAAACTAGGTCATTTCGGGACTAACATGTGGTTTAATTTTATTTACATAATTCGCTTGCGCGTAGGGTTCTTTAGCAGTGGGAGGAAACCGGAGTACCCGGAGAAAACCCACGAGATTGGACAGGCGACCCTACTCCTTGCCACGTACAACCGGGGATTCGAAACCACACCAGTCGACTCAATGACAGACTTTATGATACAGCGCGCGCACGCTAACCATTCAGCCATCCAACCCCCCTAATTATGAATGGAAGTCGAACATCAAATCCGAACCTTATCAAATAAACATCGCAAGTTAGCGATGCCATCGAGAATTAGTTATGGTCTGGATAAGTTAATTAATGTCTAATGAATAATTTAGATAACATTTCAGGCCTAAAGAAAGACCTGCAATAGGCAGATTTAGCTCTTGCATAATGTATGTTTAACAGTAGATAAGCTCCAATATGGATATTGGAATTGACATAAACTTGTGTCTCCAAATATCCAAATACAGGTAAATCAAGTCAGTCCTTATGAATGTGATCTTGTTCTCCCAAATGCCACGTTTGTAGAATGCGCTCTTAACTCATTGATTTGTGTCTATATATCCCCATGCATTACCTAGGGCATTAATCGTATAAATCTATCGTCTATACAAACAATATACCCTGGTAACTAAACCGCTATAGCCCGTAGACGTTAATTACAAATTATAAGGTTAATTTGACATACAGGAGACAGGTGATTAAATAGAGGATATTTATCGTTTTAGAGTAAATAACATATTTTATTTCATCGAGAAGCAAGAAAACTTATATTTTCACGAATGCGTAGCATGAGTGAAAATATAAACGTTTTCTCGCTTAGAGATGAAATAAAATATGTTATTCACGACAAAACGACAAATTTTCTATTTATTTTATGATTTTACATTCATTTTAGGTAAAAACAACTAGCCAGTGGAATAACACTTTTATTTCACTGATAAAACGCGGTATTCCACTACTGATCATAAAATAAAGAAAGATATAAGACAATATGAAAGAGATATACATGGGGGTAATTAAGGTGGATTAAAATCCATTAAAATATAATTTACTGAATTAAGTAATACTGTGCGGATTAGCACGACGTATTAAACATTTACTATTGAGTCCAAATTCACCCTACTACATTATTAATTACAAACCATTACCATTCTAAAATGTATTTTTAACTATTTGTTAATATTTGTTAAACATACATTATGCAAGAGCTAAATCTGCCTAATTATTAAATAGACATTAATTAACATATCCAGACCATAATCAACTATCGATGGCATCGCTAAACTGTGAAATTTACTGGATTAGAATCCGATCTGCTACTCAACGCTCATTGATGATTAAATCAAAAAATGGATATTCGAGACTATGTTTTTTTTGTACCGACTTTAGTAATGATGATCGAGGCTAGGCGTAAAATTCAATCACTAAATTCTCGGTTCAGAGTGGATCAATTTCAATGAAATTTTCAGCAAATTGCCTTTACATTATCTAGTTTTAAACTATTATAGTGAGAACTGCCAACTCTTTATCTAATCTCCAATAATGTATCTTTAATATTGTTACAAACATATAAATAGTATTGTCTTCACTAATGCCTTTAACATATTTAAAAAAAAGTGATCTACTTGAAATTTACTAAATAATCCTATCAAATTACCACAATTTCTTATACTTTGTTTTGTTGCCTGGCAACCAGGGCTCAAACTGGTTTTCAATTTTTTCCGCCAAAATAGATGTTAAATTTTATATAAAAAACTGTTCATATTTTTTTCCACCAACTTGAATATTTTGTCTGTCAAAAATATGTGATATGTAACAATCTTATGTCTCAGAAAGGCTTATTATAAACAATTACCGATATATACAACAACTTTAAAAGTCTGTCTTTACATAATAGATTAGCTCTGTTTGGATTTAATAAGATCGGATTTTATTTTTGGTGACTTTAGTCTATTTGAACACCATACTGCACAATTACACGTCAAATCTCATCCAAGGATTTCCAATTTTCTATAAATTTATGTTTTGCGTGTACAATAGGCCTATTGTTATTTTCAGGTACCAATAGAATGATTTAAATTTCAATTATAATTGTAAGAGATGCTTACAAATATACCGCCTTTAGAGCGGGGGTTTGGATGGCTGAATGGTTTGCACGTGTGCGCTGTATCATAAAGTCTGTCATTGAGTCAACTGGCGTGGTTTCGATTCCCCGGTTTTGCGTGACAAGGAGTAGGGTCGCTTGTCCATCCTCGTGGGTTTTCTCCGGGTCCTCCGGTTTCCTCCCACTGCTAAAGACCCCTACGCGCAAGCGAATTATGGAAATAAAATTGAACCATGTGTTAGTCCCAAAATGACCTAGTTTGTGCCGAGTAGACGTTAAACCCCATTTCTTTCTCCCTCTCACATTTAGAGCATTTTGGCTACGGTAATTTGATACGAATGGTGAACTGTTTTCTCCCTCGCGAATCTCCGCTATTCAACTCGTTCTTACGTTTTCGACCAGTGGTGATCATATTTGAAATAATGATATCCGATAGGCATGCTTGTATATTTTACATGCCGTATGAAGCCACAGTAAACGGAATTCCACTATCAAAATGTTTAATTTTCTTCGAACAGAACTGTCGGCCATTTTGATTATATGTATTACCATTTTTTTAAGACGAAACGAAACATCAAATAATCACTGCTTGAATTAATCATTAGGAGTAAATAATGACTTGAGATATTGATGAATGTGGTGTAACACCACCTATATGTGGTGGTATATATATATATATATATATATATATATATATATATATATTTTGTGGCCTGGCAACCTACATTTATATGTTTCAGATGTTAATGAATGTTGAGTAACGCCACCTATATGTGGTGGTATATTTATATGTTTTGTGGCCTGGCAACCTATATTTATATGTTTCAGATATTGATGAATGCGGTGTTACACCACCTATATGTGATGGTAACTGTAGAAACAGTATTGGAAGTTTCCAGTGTTCATGTGAAAAAGGATTTTCTTTGTCTATTGATGGTCACACCTGTCAAGGTAATATAACATGTCTTTGTTTTAAATTCCAAATCAATTTAAGATAAAAACGTGAATTTCTTTGGTGTGAGTAGGACGTTCAGTTGGACTGCGTTTTTATATATATTAACCCGAACGACTCTAGGTCAGGGTTTCTATACGGTCAGGGTTAAGGTTTTAGTTCAATTCGAACAACTCTATGCGTCTTTTTTTCACTGGGGAAACCAGACTGCAGATACCACGGATCAAATATTATTATAATTAATCCGTCCTAACGTATGATATGGCCAACAACATAACGAATCAATCCTAAGGTAAGCTATGGTTAGCTCCATAATCAATCCGCCCTAACGTAAGATATGGTCAGCTCCATAATCAATCCGTTCTAACGTAAGATATGGTCAGCTCCATAATCAATCCGTTCTAACGTAAAATATGGTCAGCACCATAATCAATCCGTCCTAACGTAAGATATGACCAGCTCCATAATCAATTCGTCCTAACGTAAGATATGGTCAGCACATAATTAATCTTTTCTTACGTAAGATATGGCCAGCTCCATAATCAATCCGTCCTAACGTAAGATATGATCAGCACATAATTAATCTTTTCTTACGTAAGATATGGTCAGCACCATAATCAATCAGTCCCAACGTAAGATATGGTCAGCACATAATTAATCTTTTCTTGCGTAAGATATGGTCAGCAACATAATCAATCAGTCCTAACGTAAGATATGGTCAGCACATAATTAATCTTTTCTTACGTAAGATATGGCCAGCTCCATAATCAATCCGTCCTAACGTAAGATATGATCAGCACATAATTAATCTTTTCTTACGTAAGATATGGTCAGCACCATAATCAATCAGTCCCAACGTAAGATATGGTCAGCACATAATTAATCTTTTCTTGCGTAAGATATGGTCAGCAACATAATCAATCAATCCCAACGTAAGATATGGTCATAATCAATCAGTCCTAAAGTAAACTATGGTCAGCAACATTTCGCACTAATGTCTATAGATTTCATGTTCGGGTGGGGGGGGGCTAGCGTACAACGATACGGTCTGTCAATGAGTCAAGTGACGTTGTGTCGATGCCCCGCTGTGTTCGTGACAACAGATGGCGTTGTCCGTGGGTGGGTTTTCCTGGGTCCTCCGGTTTCCTTCTACTGCGAAAGACCATACGCGCAAGCGAATTATTGAAATAAAATTTAAGAAATGAAATGGAGCTTAACGTCCTACTGTTCTGCTCCTAACCTGGGTTAATGAAGACGGGCATACGCCATACAGTGTCCTATGAGGGAAATTTTGCCCGGGCAGCCGCGCTACGGCCTACTCTTATATCGAATTCCAACTGCCAAGGGATCTTTTACGTGCACGCCAATGTATACACGGGACTTCGGTTTTTCGTCCATCCGAACGACTAGACAGCTGTCCTTGTCAGGCCCTCCATCCTGCATCACTGACAAGGGGAAATCTGGTAGAACTTTCTCGGCCAATGCAGGGATCGAACACCCGACCTCCAGACTAGCGAGCCAGCGTCTTACCCACTTAGCCACGTGACACCCCCCCCCCCCCATAAAATTTAAGCATCTCTCTCAATTATTGAACATGGAACTGAAGACAGTATTAACCTAGGTCTTGTAGTAGTCTAAATTGCCCTGTTGTGTTAACTATGAAACAAATAAATTGCTGATTAACCTTCTGGCACATTGAAGATGGTCATTATTTTAACTAGGTCAATTTCATATTCTATTGGTCTTTCCCACCCGTCGGCCATTTTAAATAGAAACGTGGTGAATTTCACACACAATAACAATTGACCTCTCTCACCCGTGGATCATTTTAAATCGAAAACGGGGTGAATTTCACAATCAACTGACCACTCTCACCCGTGGACCATTTTAAATCGAAAACTTGGCGGTTTTCACACTCAATTGACCCCTCTCACCCATGGACCAGTTTAAATCGAAAACGTGGCGATTTTCACAACCAACTGACCTATTTTATATTTATAATGAGGTGAATTTCACCGAGAATTGAGCAAGTTCACTGTCTGCAGTTGATACCCAATGGCGAAACACAATACCCATCTTTTCAAAATATGTTTCCAGCGAATACAACCATGCAAAGTCTTTCAAGATATCGTTCATATTTACATAATGTGCTGAAATTAGGTACCTCGAATCCAGGATGGCGCGCGGGGGTACGCGTTTATTAGTTTAAAATGTGTCTCACAAGTCCCTGGGGCCTGTTTCACGAAATTTTAACTAAGATAAAATCCAAATTTTAGTAATTTGATTGGATAATATTAGATTGATGTGCTTAGCCAATCAAAATTGAAGTATCTACTAAAATTTGGATTTTATCTTTAGTTAAAATTTCGTGAAACAGGGCCCAGGAACCCAATTTTAGCTCGCTAAGGTGACAGTCTCCGCCCTGTGTGAATGTCGTCGCGACGGGCGGGGATGTTAACGAATGTGTATCAAGATATTGTTTATTTTTATATTCTATCTATACATGTTGATATATTGACAATCTGATTAAAACACAGATCCTATTTCGTTTCGTTTTTTATAGTTCAAAATTTCGTTTTACTTGTCTTTACTACACTAGGATCTGGAAGAGTTGTTATATAACCGGCGGTTTGGCTTAAGTGAGGTATAAGCCAATGAACGGTCTGTTGCGGAGACTTCTTGACGTGTCATGCACGCAACTGTGGATAAACCACTAGAAATGTCAACGCTGATTGATTAATCAATGTCTGACGTCATAGGGTCAAAGCCGCGCGTAAGACCCCTAGTGTAGGCAATCGAAAGTATAAAAGAACGAAATTAAAAATGGATCTGTATTCTAATCAGATTGATAGATTGTTTATCTTTTTTTTTATCTAGATGTCGATGAATGTCTAATGAATCTACACAACTGTCGTAATGTTAAATGTATCAACACATTGGGAGGTTTTGATTGTGAATGTCCTGAAGGATATGAAAGAGGTTCAACTGGAAATTGTGAAGGTAAATAAGTGCCTGTAACATATTTCCGGATTAGAACCATTCAATAGTGTACTCAAATTGTGTTTTTAACATTTAAACATACATTATTCAAGAGCTAAATCTGCCCACTGGAGGTCCTTCTTAGGTCCTGAAATGTTATCTAAATTATTAATTAGACATTAATTAACTTATCCAAACCATAATCAACTATCGATGCCATCGATAGCCTGAGATATTTACTGAATTTGAACCCGATTTGCTGCTCAACGCTCATTGATGATTTAATCCAAAAATGGATAATGTTTTTTTTATCGCACCGACTTTAGTAATGATGATCGAGGTTAGGCCTAAAATTCAAAAGCCAATATCTCGGTTCAGAGTGAATCAATATGAATGAAATTTTCAGCAAATTCCCTTTACATTATCTAATTTTTAACTGTTATAGTGAGAACTGCCAGCTCTTTGTTCTGTAAACTTATTAAAGCCATCTTTTTCATTTCTCTCTTCAGATATCGATGAATGTTTGGACAAGACTGACGTCTGCTCGCCAGGAAAATGTAGGAATACACCCGGGACTTTCAAATGTGTTTGTCCTCGTGGCTACCGATTGGATAAAACTGGCCAGAAGTGTTTAGGTAAAACCTTGAGTCTTCCTTATATCCTATGCTTTAATGGAAAGTGGTTGTACTTTAGGTTAATTATGAAGCTTTGTCAGAGAAAATTATTCAGCAAGCATGTAGAGCCCCAGGAGTGTAATTATTGAGAAAATATTTTTCTGGATTTTGTTTAAGGTTTATTATTTCAAAATAACATGGTTTTATGCGCCCACATAGTCATTACAATCTGGTCGTTGATTGGCCGTCTTCCAAACAGTTCTCAGATCACAATTTCTATCAGATTTATTTATTTAAATAGGGTTTTACGTTGGATGGTCGAATGGTTAGCGCGTGTGCTTTGTATGATAAGCTCTGTCATTGAGTCAACTGGCGTGGTTTCGATTCTTCCCCGGTTGTATGTAACATCTTACAGAGGCACTTGGGGAGTTGGGTGGCTGGATGGTATAAGCTCTGTCATTGAGTCAATTGGCGTGGTTTCAATTCCACGGTTGTATGTGACAAGGAGTAGGGTCGCCTGTCCAACCTCGTGGGTTTTCGCGGGGCCATCCGGTTTTTTCCCACTGCTAGCGAATTATTGAAATAAAATTAGACCATCTGTTAGTACCGAAATGGACGTTACCCCCCACCCTCTCTCTCTCTCTCTCTCTCTCTCTCTCTCGTATATGTGTTTGTATATATGATGAATAACGTGTTATGTATTGTATTTTAATAGATCTAGATGAATGCATTGACGGTAAATGTGATGGTGATTGTGAAAATACCGTTGGAGGTTTTACTTGTGAATGTGGGGATGGTTTTATCCCAGGTGGTGGAGGAGAATGTGTCGGTATGTATCCCCCCCCCCCCCCCAACAACCTACTGGTTACTTTGTTTAGTCAAGGGTTGTAAAACTAGTATGATAAACACAATCTTTATCTATATTTCGTATGTTTTTTCATACTTTCGATGGCCTACACTACATGACGATCTGACCGGTTGTAGTAAAAGGTCGAGTCAGGGGTTGTACGAACGGCTTTTGACCCTATGGTGTCTGATATTGATTAATCAATCAGTGTTGACGTTTCCAGTTGTTTACCCGCACTTCTATGCATTGCACGCCAAGACCAAGAAGTCGC